CAATAACAAAAACCCTTAAATTAACGTCGTTCTTGGGAAATAGGTAATTAAACAAAAACATTATTATACTTGAAATGTTAAGCATTTCGCCGAAGACTAAAATGTGTGGCGGTCTCGTGCGCTGCTCTTGCTTATTTCTGTCAATCAATACAATGTCGATAGTTTCATTTGTAATAATGCATGCAAGTTCACATGCGCGAATCTTTACACATGTGGACATGCATGCGAAGCACTCCGTTTTAAGTATTATATGAATGGGCATGAATGGGATAGCCCTTCCGGGGCACCACGGCCTTACAGAAGACCGGCGTAAAGTCAAAGTTTCATTTTTTCATGTTTCTTCTGTAGAGTGGAGCAGCCAGGGTCCTTTCTTAGAAAAGTTAGCAGCTCTTCTGCTAACCTCAGGTATTTTAGATGCCCATGGGCTACGGTAATCACTTTACACTCACCACAAGTAGACTGCGTAGAATAAGTAAATCTTTTATGGGCCAATGTATACGTTTCTACAACAAAATCCCAGAAAACGTTCAAAATGCATCAATAGCTAAATTTAAAAAAGTAGTAAAAGAACGTTTGTGTGTTAAAGGCTATTATAATATTAATGATTATTTAAATGATGACAACACACTCTGGTAATGGATTGATCGCCCGAGGCTGTTTCAATCAGAGTTTTTATATTGTATTGTATGTAATATATATTCATGTAACACTGTGTATTTCAAAAAATTAAAAAAAGATCCCACCGAGTTTCTTATGCCGGTTCTTCTCAGTACAGTGGCTTTCTTTTCCGAACCGGTTCTAGTATGTTAATAAAGACATTTCATTTGATTTACATCACATAAAAATAAAGTTCATTGCTATGATGCGATGATTGCCTGTTAGTATTCAATAACTAAATAAGTATACGGAACTCAATAACAAAAACCCTTAAATTAACGTCGTTCTTGGGAAATTGGTAATTAAACAAAAACATTATTATACTTGAAATGTTAAGCATTTCGTCGAAGACTAAAATGTGTGGCGGTCTCGTGCGCTGCTCTTGCTTATTTCTGTCAATCAATACAATGTCGATAGTTCCATTTGTAATAATGCATGCAAGTTCACATGCGCGAATCTTTACACGTGTGGACATGCATGCGAAGCACTCCGTTTTAAGTATTATGTGAATGGGCATGAATGGGCAAGCCCTTGCGGGGAATTACCACGGGCTTACAGAAGACCGGCGTAAAGTCAAAGTTAAATTTTTTCATGTTTCTTCTGTAGAGTGGGGCAGCCAGGGTCCTTTTTTAGAAAAGTTAGCAGCTCCTCTGCTAACCTCAGATATTTTAGATGCCCATGGGCTACGGTAATCACTTTACACTCACCACAAGTAGACTGCGTAGAATAAGTAAATCTTTTATGGGACAATGTATACCTATGTTTCTACAACAAAATCCGAGAAAACGCATCAAAATGCATCAATAGCTAAATTAAAAAAAAATAGTAAAAGAACGTTTGTGTATTAAAGGCTATTATAATATTAATGATTATTTAAATGATAACACACTCTGGTAATGGAGTGATTGCTCGAGGCTCTTTCAATCAGAGTTTTTATATTGTATTTGTAATATATGTTCATGTAACACCGTGTATGTCAAAAAATTAAAAAAAAATCCCACCGAGTTTCTTTCGCCGGTTCTTCTCAGTACAGTGGCTTTCTTTTCCGAACCGGTTCTAGTATTTTTACTATCAATAACCGAGTATACTTCTATGTTGAATAAAGATATTTGATTTGATTTACATCATATAAAAATAAAGTTCATTGCACTGAAAGCGACTACTTCATCCCATAAAAGACAGATCGACAAATAGAGTTACCTTCGCGTGGTTTCAGCGAAAGTGGGTTCGACCGTTGGCTACACTTTTTTTATCAAATAAAACTAGTTTAACGAGATCACCGGTTGGACACTTAGTTGCAGAGGTACCTTACATTACCTTCATCTAACTGTTCGCTTTTTAGTTTTATTTTTCAAAATGGCCGACTTAAATCTACTTAAGTGCTATCGATTTATAGAATGTATACCCACGTAGATTTTTCTATTATTTCATTACATACGTGAACTCACTTTCTTCGTCGCATTCCATTCTAATTCTTTTTTACAAATAACCAATACGGGTCAGTCCTAATTTCCTGCAGGTGAAACAAGACCGGTTACTTGGATACAGAAATGCGAATGCTTTATCGTATTTCACTATTGAATTATTTTTATAAACATAGAAATTAAAACAAAATCAACAATTATATTGGAGTATTTTCTTTCTACTGCTTTTTCGCAGCTCGATACAAAATATAAACAGCTTTCCGGTGTCCATAAATTTTCACCTATATTTTCGCATCGTTTTAAGACAAAAAAGTTGAGGACCACTTTAAGGTTTTGAAATGTCATTAGCAAGCAATTAATAAAAAATACGAAAGATCGTCAAAAAACTATTTATATTATCAAATCATTCTATACGTGCAGAAACACGCATACACACATTCTGATGTACCGATAAAGCATTAAAAGCAATACAAAAATAGTTTTTATTAACGAGTTTGTTGTTTATAATGATAACATTTGATATAACAGTACCAACTTCACATATTCATACTCAGACGGTCAAAGGCGATGTCTTCAAAACAGAGGACTATTTAATGTCGTTCCCAAGAATTGTGCCAAATTAAGGCCGGCAAACGCAACGAACGGTTTTATTACAGAATTCTGTATTTAAAACTAGGTCGCGAGCATAAGATGTGTCACCTTTTGCCGCCAATTTGGTATCTATACCTAACTGATTATTTAGAAAGGTCGCAAAACACACCTGTCATTCGGCTGATCAATTGTCGTTAAATATAAATGTATCATGGATCCTTTTAATGGAGAAGTCGGTTAAAAAAGGAGGAAAACGAACAAGCCGCTAAGTAGCTCATCGGTTGATTATTTATCAATTGGCTCTTCTTGATTAATTCATGCGTAAAAATTTGAATGATGCAAGGGTCCTTTTGCTCTGTTTAAATTGTTAAAGTTGAGTATGGAAGTAAAATACTTCTATACTACTATATTAATTTGTCTACTGCACGGCTATATTAATTTGTCTAAATTTACGAATTGCAACATATGAGTACTGACTAGGAATTAGTTAAATTGAGCCACATGCGACCTTGTCGCCTATTTAGTTGCAGGCGATGAGTCACAAGGGAAACAATTAGCACACTTGTAGTACGACCACATAAATTTGGAAGACAATAAAACTATTTATATTCTCATGACCAGTAACGAACGCGCGATGTAACCGGCTAAGATATCAACTACGACGTTTGAGAATCGTAAAAATAAATTTATTTTTAATACGAAATACAGCACCTACACGACTTTAAGTGAGTATTATTACACTAACAAAAGATTTTTTTTTATGTAGATGAAAATGAACCTTATAAACAACTTAGTTAACGATGTATTTTTCAAAGAAGTAATCGCATATAAACCCTAAACGCCCATGCGTAAATTCATCGGTTTAGGGATTGCCTTAATTTTAAAGGTGATAGCCAATGGACTACTCTTTTATAAATCAAAATAATTTATAAATGATGCGCGATACTTATTTTGTACGCTTATATAAAGACATAAATATATGGTAAATTTACCTTAACCCTTTATCTTATAGTGACCATATAAGTAAAGTAACAGATAAAAAGAGATAAACAACTAAAAATTGAATTATACAGCAATATCTAACAATAAATACGTCTTTTGGAGAAATTAAGTAAAGTAAAATTATACAGCGACACCATTGAATAAATACGTCCTTTGGAGAAATTAAGTAAAATAAAAGTAAAATAAAAGAGATAAGCAATAAAAAATTAAATTATGCATCGATGCCAAAGAATAAATATGTCTTTGGGGAAACTAAATTCATGGTTACCGTAAACCTTAGGGACTCAGACCAGTCGATGTCATCATACTATAGGGTACTAAATAATTAATCGTTATATATTCCTAATGTCACACTGTCTGTCCAGAAGAAGGTCAACGTTACGTTAGGGACAGTACGTGTTTATATTCATGGACTTACAGTTACATTGTTTTGCTAATGGTTGATGATGTTTCTGTATGGGTTGATACTGATATCAATCGTTAAAAATGTTTAAAACAATAATATAGACAAAGGTAACAGCGCAGATTTTGAGGGCTCTTCTTTGAACTGGTTTATTTAAGCATTTTCTTCTATGTATTAATACGTGATGCAAAAATTTTGTAGCCATTTTTACGCGGACGGAGGAGTATGAAATTTCCCACACTTATAGTTCATATAGAGAAGGAGTACAGAATGCTATTTTTTTAATAATGCCTAAAAAATACATTAAATCAATAAATAAAACATTACACACATTACCAAGTATTTGACACACACACGCATAATCGTATATACTTTTTGTTTATTGTTACAGTCTGTGGTCAAATTGAGAATAGATTAATATTGTTCAAACTTACAATTTAAATTAATTATGGTCTATTTCGACCACTGAACGACATTAATAAATTGATATTAATTATAGATTTTAATTTAGTTAGACGAAATCGAAACAGTCATTCGTATGGGGTAACAAACCGAAAATAAAAGCGAAAGAGCTGCCAAACATCTGTGATTAAGATTAAGCTGATACGAAAAAAATCGGCAATATTAGAACGATATAACAGAACACGCAGTGTATGCGGCTTATTGTAGTCGGTTCCAAAGTTCTGCACATGTACCGTCGGACTCAAAAATCGTATAGACGTGAAATGAAACCGCTTTAAATCTAAAAAAAATTGTTTTCCCAAGACCGGATAACAAAATTGAACGCAACCGTACCTACAAGAGGTTCTTATTCAGACCGGCGCAGAGCAGAGACGATACTCGTGACCAGAACACTGCACCTTCGACCAGTATCGGTTGACCTTCAAGGCGCATCCAATTTCCGCTGCTGTAACTCAGCTCACCTGCAGGATAGACGCTGCGAGGGCAGCCATTGCGACCAGCAGAAGCTGACCCTTGGCGTACTCGTGCAGCTGGTTTCCGCAGCCGCGCTGGTACAGCGTCGAGCAGTCGGCGGCGTACGGCTTGTGGAGCGCGTCGAGCGGGCCCTGGCCGCAGCAGGAGAACGGCACGTGGCCCAAGGAGCTGTAGTCGCCGGGACCGCTCACGCCGCAGCATTCAAACTGGGACAAGACGGAACACGAAGTTGGTACAACGTATGTACATGGCTGGCAATGGGCGGTTTGGCGATCGCGATATATTTTCTGGACACCATTAACGCATTTGACTCTTATTTGTCTGAGTATTTAGAGTCTGGAAAGTCGAGATCACACATTTGCCACGGGATGAGATGAGAATCACTAGACATGGCATGTTTTACATCTATATATTAATACGTGAAGCAAAAACTTTGTACTCCTTTTTACGAAAATTGCGCGGACGGAGGAGTATAAAATTTCCCACACTTATAGTTTACTAGCTTTTCGCCCGCAGCTTCGCTCGCGTTGAAGCCTTTAAATAACTATCTGTCACTGGATGAGATGGAAATCGCTAAAATCGCTACGGCAACTTTTATATAATAATTAATTAACTGTGGTAGGGCCTTGCAACAGCTTCGGCACGAATGAGGAGGTCCCTACGGGTACCATAACCTCACAGAAGATCGGCGTAAGGTGCATATGCGTTTCTTCCGATGAGTGAGGTAGACGGGGCTCAGCTTATCAAAAGGTGGCAACGCATCTGGAACCCTACGGGTGTATTTTCCACGAGCGGCGGTTATCACTTAACATCAGATGAACCACCAGCTCGCTTGCCTCTATATAATAAGCCCTTAAATAAATATCTTTCTTTAAAATATATATATATTTTTAAAGAAAGATATTTTCAACCCTTTGAAATGATAATAACTTCATAAAGATGGCCAATATTTTTTACGGATTTATGCACAGCTAATAAAATTAGAAGTGGCATTTGAATATGCTGAAGACTTAAACTTAAAACACAATTTTAATCAGTTTTCGAAAATGGCTGGACGTGACTGGTTGTTGTCTTTTACCTTGCAGAGAAGATCACGCCTTACGAAGTAGCATACCTATTGCGGAAGACATTTAATAACGTTTCACCTATTAGTAAAGGGGAATCGGGATTAGGGGCTACTGGTATTTACCCAATAAACCCCCGACGTGTTTTGTGAAGAAGATTTTCTGCCAGCCGAATTGCTCCAATAGGAGACTACTGCCATTCAAAACTAAGATGAGTCAGATGCTATTGATGACCCAGCACCAGGTCAAGGAGAATCTTCAATAACTGGCATATCAATGATGTTGGTTCACCACCGCCACCATCACCAACTCCTACCGCAGTTGATTGTCCAGCTCATCAGTCTGCGAGCTGGGATATGTTTGCGATTTGTTTTAGATTTTTGTTTGATCCTCATTGCCCACAAGGAGACCATGATTACCCTTACCTCGGTGCAATTGAAGTCAAAACTGTTTTCACTTTAACTCTTTTATTTGCCAAAGTTAATTATCAATGTGATGACCATTGATCTCAAATGATAGCCAAGTAAGTAGACTTTATTATGAGGCGGTTGCAATAAAGATTCCGTTTCGAATTTTCGCTTAAGTGACCCCCATTACCCCTTTTTCCCCTAAAGCGCACAAAGGATTTTGCAACATATAAGACTTTTCCCCTCCCAAAAACACTTGTTTCGCATGAAGGCAAACTGCAAGCAACACATGTTCAATTTGTCCAACAGATGTCGTAAAACCTAAAGCCTATGTGATTCACATATTAGTTAATGCTAGCAATACAAAATACCAAGATGAGCAATCAAAATACTACTTTAGATGTCGTGTCTAGATTTAAGCAAAATACCTTAACATGCAATTTGTCCCATCGCAGTGAATCCGTAGAATTCGGATCCGTGATCTCACTGGTCTCCATAAAGTAATTTGTCATAGTGCTTTTTATGTCGATCTCAATGTTCTCCCACACTACCATCGCCCAAACGAAGCACGAAAATTCAACCACAACCACCACAACGATCAAAAGGCCGGCCTGAAAACAGAATATTCATCTTTTATTAACAAAACTTGAACATGAAAACAATGTTCATAAAGGGTTCTTCATTAGCTTACGGTGGTAGGGCCACGCTTACGGTGGCCGGGCCACGCAGCAGCCTCGGCTGTTGCACGAATGGGCAGGCTCGTCCGGGTAAGAACCACGACCTCATAAAAGATCGGCGTAAAGTGGAAGTATAATCGTATACAAATAAGAGACATTCGCGTTTCGTCTGGTGAGTGAGGTGGCCGGAGCCCAAATTTTCAATAGGTTGTCAACGTATCTGCAACCCTTGGGTAGCAGATGTCCATGGGCGGCGGTATTCACTTAACACCAGGTGAACCTTCTGCTCGTTTGGCAACTTTTCACATAAAAAAAATATATATGTTTTTACCCACTTTTTTCTATAACTTGCCTTTCGTATAGAAGTTTAATTGAATAATTTCAACGTAGCAACCGAATTGTTTTTAAAATATGATTTTAGTTAAATTATGTATTAAGGAAAAAGTCAGATATCTAATTTGACTTTTTTCTTAATAGCAATTAGTATCATTTTGAAGGAAATTAATCCCGAGCAGTTTGAAATTGTTCTCGAACCGATGGGTCGAGTTGAGGCATACATTTACAGTTTTTATACATTAGAGATAAAAAATATCAAAATAAACATTATTTCGTAATTGAATCTGATTTACTTTTTTGTAAAATTTTAGATGTTGATGTGTTTTAAATTTAGGAAAAGTTTGCCAAGAGATGGCGCTGTTGTAACAAAAAAAATTAAACGTAATGTTTCTGCTATATGTAAAGATTCTTTAAAATAGTAAATAATGTCTTTAAATCTATGTAGTGTTTATGTCCAATTTTAAATAGTTAATTTTAATTTACTCTTTTGATAGTTACCATAACAACGTGTATCTGATGCATAGATTTTGCTGTTCTCCAGCCGATCCACGCTACGGAACAGGTGATGATCGCCATCATGAGAAGTACTATTGCTGGGTATTCCACATTTATTCCAATAAAGTGTCGATAAATGAACAGCCTATATAGGAGGAAACCGCTCACGCCGAATAATGCCACTGCTGACATCTGTTGTAAAAGACGAAAAACTTAAGTTGAAATATTATACGACCATATTTTATGAGTATTTTTTGTGACTTTACTAAATACAATCTCTCTGTCGCACTATATATTATCCAGTAAGAGCAACAAAGACGACAGCAACATATTAAGGGCCATTCATCGCGTATTGAAGTTTGTCACTGCTAGAGCGTTCAATTTAGTTGCGCTCATTTTAGAAATAAACTAGGCAACAAAAGCAAGACCTGTATGTCAGAATGCTATATAAGAAACTAAGTTTAAGAAAAAAAAAATAAAATTGAAGTAAGGTCTATCATATTTTACAAAGAGCTTAACATTGTTTGTGTAAAGTTGTTATGACAACTGAAAAACGCTGATTAAGCTTAACGGGACTCAGTCGGGGAAAAAAGTGTTTTCTAATTTCACGAAACAAAATACTCACGGCAAACAAGACATTGAACGTCAACACGAGATATTTCCAACAGTTCGACGATAGAGCCATTTTGTTGTTCACATGACAATCAAGCTAAGTTTCCAACTCGTCTCAAAACAAAGGCAGACCGTTCCACCTCGGGAAATGTTTGTATATCGCCGCGTCCGCGTTGCTCACTACTGTTGCAGCGAGCGCACGGAATTAAACAACCGGCATTTCATCTACTCGTTCCTCGCTTAATCTTTGCGATTAAAAAAATGCGTCTTCGAACTGCAAAACGAAGGCAATTCTAAGTAAATGATTAATACATATTATAGTGCGAAGGCACTTATCTTTTATCGCTGCGATAAACTGTTACAGTATCGTGAAAACTAACCTCATTTTTCGTTTAGGCACCATAATATAACGATTTCACTCTCTGTGACAGTATGTCAGGCAGCCCTGCAGATATATTTAAGTATTTATATAACAACATTGACGAATCTATTTTAGGTGCACCCGATAACCAGATTTTCGTCGCAACGTGAATAGAAGTGGTAGCAAATTATACGTGGTGGCTAATATTATTCATGTATTGTAGCAGAAGATTGATGTGTACCTAAAGTAGATAAATAAATTATGTCTTTTAAAGGACCCTTAACCCCAGTTCTCATTTACAGTTGCTTAAGAATGTACTTCTGTCTGTTCGTTACACACATTACAAATATTTATTAATTTACCTAATACTTTATGCACAAAAAATGTCTGTATAAAGGCGGACTTAATGCCTCAATTAATAATGTTGTACCGTTCGTTTGCATACTTTTGTACAAACAATGTGTGTTTAATATACCGCTTTAAGAGTTAATTGCAATTTGTAATTAAGGTTCAGTCACAGTGTCATTTTCATAATAATTATCTTACTTTCACTCGAACTGAACCGGGTGCCATTTATTTATTTCTATCCTACAGATTTTTTTAAATTATAAACCTTTAGGATTCTTATTGGATTTAAATACATAATTAAAAATTATGTATTAATTAGCATATACATAGTTATAGATTTATTCCGCGTAAACCATGCTTTTTATAATGTGCATTGATCAGACATGGTGTTACGTTAAGTGGACAAGTTAATAAATTTTGAAATAGGATTCAAAAGAAATATGCTATAGTCAAAGAATCGAAAATACTGTTATTAAATATAGTACAGAAACTACAGAAATGAAAGGAGCAATAAGAAGTTATTCGCGCGAAGAGGATGTTGACCGCTTAGCTTAGTGGTTAGAGCGTCTGGAAGCGTAATCAGGAAGGCGCAGGTTTGAATCCTAGCAGGCGCGAAAATTTTTTTCGACAATTTATGAACGCGTTTCAAGTTTCATCTTAAATGCGACTAAGAGACTAGCAGTCAATATAAATATTAAACAAGAAAAGAGTTGTTACGTTGAATATTTTTATAATTTTAACTGTGAGGAAGCCAGGGCCCACTTTATTAAAAGGTGGCAACGCATCTGCAACCCTACGGGTGTTACAAGCGTCAATGGGCGCGGTTATCGCTCAACATCAGGTTTTCTTATTAAAATATAAGTAATCAAACATTTATTTGACTTTGGTAGAGAGACGAACGTAGAGAGCTTCTGCACGAATGGGCAAGTTGGTCCGGGAAAACGGCACGGCTTAACAAGTGACTGGCATAAAAGGGAAGTATTTTTACTCCTGCAACTCGTCCCATTGGCGAGGTTAAAGTCACCCGATCTTTCCAAGGTCACACAGCTGAAACCACACAAAATCAAAATCAAAATCAAAAATATATTTATTCAAATAGACGCTTGCGCGCTCTTATGAATCGTCAAATTTTACATCAAAGATTATGTGTATAGGTTCGTAAGGTACCACCGGTTCGGAAAGCGGTTTCTGTTGAGAAGAAACCGGCAAGAAACTCAACAGTTGCTCTTTTCCAAAAATATCAGGGTAAAATATAATATACAGGTATAATAGTCTTATTCTAGCCTACGTGAGTATCAACAGTATTAACTCCACACATTGGCGTCGTCGAGATATTCCGATATGGTATAATATGCTTTAATCATCAGTTGATTTTTAATTTTACATTTAAATTGGTCAAGCGGCAGACTTAATATCGACTGTGGGATTTTATTATACATGCGCACACTTTGCCCCATGAACGACTTATTTACTTTTTGTAGACGAAACAATGGCGTAGTAAGTTTGTCCTTATTTCTAGTGTTTATTTTATGTCTGTCACTATTTTTTAGGTAATAATTAAGGTTATGACGTATATACAAAACATTACAATAAATGTATTGACAAGCAACAGTGAGTATATTAACCTCTTTGAAAAGATCTCTGAGTGAATTCCGGGCTCCGATATTGTAGATTGCTCGGACAGCTCGTTTTTGAAGAATAAATATAGAATTTATATCTGATACACAGTTGCATCACTTAACATCAGATGCCGTCTGATCGTTGCTGCCTTCTCATATAATTTCCTGCTCTTATCCCACCTAAGTGGCATAATCGTACGAGAGATAGCAAGGTCGGGAAAACAAGAATTTCAGGTAGGCCAGTTTTCAGATATGCTTTCTCTCTCACTCTCCCGGACGTCATACGGACTATCTGGCTGATGGCAGAGGTCGGATCTGGGTATTTATTACGCAATAAATATCCGACCTCAGAAACAGCTATCTTCTGGTCGAATAAACATTTACCCCGTGTTCTAATCTAACCTATGACTGCTGGGAGCATTGAAGGTAATAGCCACGAAGTCTTCGCTGCCTTGTCGTTTAAAAGCTGATATAAAATGTTGTTGCAGTCTCTTGGAGCTTGGAGCCGTTGCCTTGGTGATTACAGCAATCGTAAGATTATAAGGCTTTAGGTCGCTAAGACATTTCGCAGCAAACAATGGTTGCGCCTCATTCGGAGCGTTACGGCATCGCGCTCAACGCTAATTGCGAGCTGCATATACAATTAGGGACCGGCGGTGAAACCGGTGGCAAAGGTCATGCAGCATTACGTTCGGCTCTTTATGAAGCAACAAAGCGTTATACAAGCGATCCCGCTTCAGGGGAAAGCATATTATAACTCAAAATATATCGAGCACTCCAGGATGAGATGTGGTTTTAGTAATAGGCAAAATGTCTGCGAATCGATTTTTCAATATTACTTACCTTAAAGATTGTTAAACTAAAAAGTAAAAAACGAAGATGTTACCATTTATTCATATTTTGTTTCAAAGAGTGACTGCCAACCAAGGGACGGTAGTAATACCAGAGGCGTGTTGCCTGCAATAAACATTGGATGAAACGCAAATGCTTAATTACTCCTACTGTCTTCTCACTTAGTCTTCGTTTACGCCGTGCGTGCAGAAACGATGAGGTTATTTAAGCATCTGAAAATGACCTATCAGATTTTGATTACGGAGCGGTGGCAATTTACTATTTATTTTAAATAGTCTATGATCGATGACTTGGTGGCACATTTGCTAAGACAACGGCGGTCATGGGTTCCATTCCCACATTCACATTAATTCCTTCATTCAATCATTCTTTCATTGTTCGTCGATATTTTGTTGATTTTACTCTATATACCGATGTGAACTTTCTATTAAAGCTTTTAAAACATCCTTGTATACAAATAGTGAATTAGCGAGCACTTATTATTAAACAAAAAGATGAAAATAAGTAATTGATGCTCGGTATACGAGATAGTTATTAAGAAATTAGATGCGTTGACAACTTTCATAATAATATTTTTTTTTAATGTGAAAGTTGTCAAACGAGCAGAGGGTTCACCTGATGTTGAGTGTATCCCGCGCCCATAGACATCTGCTACACCCGAGGGTTGCAGATGCGTTGACAACCTTTTGAAAATTGGGCTCCGGCCACCTCACTCACCAGACGAAACGCGAAAGTATTATACTTTCACTTTACGCCGGTCTTCTGTGAGGTCGTGGTACTTACCCGGACGAGCCTGCCCATTCGTGCAACAGCCGAGGCTGCTGCGTGGCCCTACCACCGAAAAAATTAAAAATTACTTAGTCATATTCATATTACGTGTCACACTAATAAGAACGTAACAAATTACGAGTTTTCTGTTTAATACAACATAAGAACATAGTATACACAATTAAATAAGTCTCGAATTTAATTAACTAATAATAGTCGCACAGGCATAAATCTTTGGCCATAACGTCTGGCAAGTCTTCTACATTCAGGACCTTCATTAATCGATCTAGTTCTGAAACGATCTCTTTGTTCAATGGCCCCGCTTGTTTCGCAGTGCGATGCAGTGCCTTGGCTTTATTAACATCCCTTTTGCACATTGCCAGTACTGCTAAAAACGCCCAGCCGTCAGCGAGTAATGGTTCAGAATTGACAGCAGCTGCAGCCCATCGCTCCGCAAGTTGCTGCTCGCCCATTTTGCAATAAATTCTGCCTATTGTCAGTGCGGTGTGACCAGATGGGGCTATTTTGTGCGCGCGTGAGGCTCTTTGCAGAGAAGCGTTTAGATCGGTTTTCATACCGCCAAGAGCTGCACGCAGAAGCAACGCCGCACAGGGCTCCGCACCAGCATTATCGGCGTCTAATAAAGCGGTTTCACAGTCACCGTCCCAGCCCCTAGCGAACGCTAAGCAGGTGGCGCGTATCTGGGTCAATAACGCGCAAGGCCCGAACCGCTTTATCCCCTGCTCGGCTACTTCCAATGCCCAATCCAAATTTCCACGCACCATAAACGAAGCCACTCGCAGATAGTGAATTTCAGCTTGCGGCTCATACGCTATATTTGTACGGGCTCCACGCGTATAACAACCGTCTTCAACACACCGAAGGCATGTGTCCGTAAGTTTGAAACATCGTAGACACAGGAAGAAGGCAGCGGAGATTAATAAAGGGTTCCTTGCATCAATGGCGGCGGGAATCCAAAATGTCTCCTCCTCTCCACTGGAGTCTATCCACCGCTTCAAGCACTTCCTCCACTCTATAGGCAGCTCAAAGGATTTCCTCATCTTTTTAGCAGCAACGAAGGCCGCATAGTCGTTGCCGTTAAAGTGATGCATGGCGTGTAGCGCCGCCCAGCCAATTGCCCCTATGGTGCCATCGGACGTATCACCTTTAACGGCTATCCTAAAAGCGGCTGCCGCTTTCTCAGCGGCCTCCAGACCCTTATCGAACTGAATGCCACCAAACGTCCACAACAAATATCTGTTTCTGGAATGGACTTTCAAAGCTTCCTGTAAATAATTTAGGGCATCACTTTCGTTCCTGCCTTCGAGACAGCGTAATACTTTGGATAGAAGCACCCGAGGATGGTTTGGTTTGGCTTTCAAGTTTGTTTCGACATGTCGAATTGAAAGTCTAGTGTCACCGGCGTTTCGGCATCTTGCGACGGCCAAGACGGGCGTAGCGCGAGGTTTCAGTGAAGGAGGAGCGAAAGACGACAATACCGCACGTCGGGCTACTGAATGCTGGCTAGTTATGATATCTTCGTAGTCGGTCTGAGAACATTCCATTGGTGGAAATCGCTTAAGCATAGATCTTACACGCATTAGAAGGCGATTAGCCGCTGTACGCTTAATGCTCTTATTCATTTGCAACGTACTCTTCTGAGCCAAACTACTTAACTCCCTGTGAACTAACAGAGCACCACCCTCTCTACTAATGCGATGTTTGTCTAAAGGAGGTTCTTCTGGTGGGTTTAACAACTTTAATGCATCGTCAGTCACGTGTACTCCACTGGGAGGAGGAAAGCCCATTTGATCAAAAAGTGTTGTTATTTTCGATTTCGGCAAAAGTGGCTCTATCAAATCCATTCTTATAATAACGTAAGCATCGTGTCCCTGTTCATCAGATATCACATCGTTCTCACGGGCACTTCCTCGTGCACTGCTTGGTGGTAAATCCAATATCGTACCAAACTTTTCTGGTAAATTTTCATTATTGTATAACAAAAGCTTCGCGCATACAGTTACACCAGACTGACCCGGCTGTAGTAGAGCCCCAGCATCAATAAACGCAATATATCGCTCGCGCACTTCAATTTTCCCGCTTTTTGGAACTCCGGCCAAGTCCAGAAAAAATATTTCATTCAACCGGGCGCGTAAAATTGCAGGATCTACTAGGACTCGTCGCATAGAGTTCCAATAAATAGACTCACAACTAACAGACGTCCTAATTGATAAACCATTTGGAACGAACTTATCTTCGTTGGGGGTATCAAATGCCGAGTTAGCCGCGTGACCAGCGTTGCTGGCTGCACTCCATACAATTTTCGAAGCTGATGAAGTGCTTAATGACACCCCAAAATTGACGGCTGTTGGCTCATGAACACCATCGAGGCTTATACCACTGATAAAAACGGTACCTTCTTTAATGGTTGGGAGGCAATGCGCAGAAATCATTGTGAGCAAAAAAGGTGTTTTAGATGTTTCAGACTCGCCTACAGAATGAGCGTTAACTTCAATGAAATAACCTGATGGAAAGCCTGTATTAATAAATACAAGCGGTACAGTAATGCTTATCTTTTTCTCACCTAACACTAAAGGATACAAATCAACGTTTCCGCCTGCACGATTGTCAACATTAACGAGAGGGTCTGGATCCTTCGATGGTTTGCTGCTATGCGCCCGCAGTATAAATATCAAAGGTTTATCCGCGACTAATGCTTGATGAGATTCTTCTTTTAAATCCAAAGGTAAAGTAATATTATCAAAAATAAAATTATTTCTCCACTTTTCTTCCAATAAAATTTTTTCATTGAACAAAAGAATAAAATTGTAATCGCCAGTTCCCGGGTTTTCACCCAGTAGGGTCAAAGATAAATCCACTTGACGTGGGCATACCGATTCATCATCAAAATCGACAAAATCACTTGATTTATCAGTTACGTGCGATTTAATTTTCTTTCCACTTTTGTCTGACATGTTTGTGATAGGTCAAAAGTGAAATAACCTTTTTTTTTGTTATATGTCACAATTAATAAGATAAACTAATTCTTTTAACCTCATTAGAGTGTTGGTAACATAATTAAAGGTAATTAAACATAATTTAATATCCAAAACGTTGCATAAAAAAAATTGCTCAAAAATTAAAATTTTGAGGTATCATTAAAATGTTCATTTTATTACATTAAACTTAATAATTTTTAAAACTCGTTAAAAAATAAGGCATAAGGCAGGTATTGTGAGTTAACAAAAAACGGCTGATTTTTTTGTGTAAATCGCTATTAGCCGTTAGGCTTTTACATCTTCTTCGGAAGAAGTCCATATAGGATCCGCAGGCTTAGGAGAACAACGTAGCTGCATGATTGCGGTGACGACGTTTCCGCTGCAATTTCGCGATCTGTGTTAACGAAGAAACCAACATTAAGTAACGGAAAATCGACACAAAAAGCACAGAAAAACTTTCATATTCTACAACAAAAAAAAAGTCAACAGCTTGCGGACCTCTTCCGACGAAGATGTCAAATCCGCTGAGTTATAAAACTACCAAAGATCTTATACTTACAAACGTTAGTAAGTGTTAGGTCTTTGAAAACTACCCTGTTAAAAAAAATAAGTCATGTTTTGTTTTCTTAGTTACCTATGCCCAAAATATTTAACCTACGCTTAACGTCATTTAAGATGACATGCCATTGACATTTTTAAGCCTCTACGCTACGCTTTTTTTTTTCATTTGTTGTTGTTGGACTACATCTATGACATTTTCTATTTGTCACATTTATTGTTTTAATTTAATGTATGTAACTATTTAAATTAAAAATGATATAAAATGTACACTCTTTTAAATGGGTTTTATAAATATATGATACAAAAGGACGAATACTTCGTTTTGATATTAGGCCTTGACAATGCTGGCAAAACGGTATGTGTGAACTAAATGAAATTGTTTATTTTGATATAAATTGTCAAAATTATTTCTATCGGTAAGAATAAAAAGACAATTATATAGTTAATAAACGTAAAATAAAACTGTTTTCAGACGTATTTGGAAGCTACTAAGACTAAATATACAAAAAAGTATAAAGCTATGAACCCCAATAGAATCACCACAACAGTAGGACTTAACATTGGTAAAATTGATGTAGATGGAGTAAGGTTAAATTTTTGGGATCTCGGTGGACAGCAAGAGTTACAGTCATTGTGGGATAAGGTAATGTAATAATTTTATCAATAATTTTTTTTCTTGGATGGTAAATGCTCATTAAAATTCGAAGCAATATTGCAATTATTACGTGATAAACATAGTGCTTGACTAGGGTTTGGGTGTTTAAATATCTATAATAGGTTTGTATTTTTACTTTGGTAGGCCACATTTATTTTTCTTTCATGTTTCATCGGGTGAGGAAATTAACAAGGACCCAATTTTTGGGGTTAAAGGTTAGCATCCCCTCTTAACGAAAAAGCACAGCAGTATAGTTAAATATTTAATTTAACTATACTGCTGTGCTTTTTTAGTTTATGTAAATATCATCACAACAGAATTTAGTACTTGTGACCTAGTTCTTTAAAAAATATTATTAACCTGATTTTATAGTAAACTTTAATATCACATTTCACATCAAAATTAATTATGAAATCACTGTTGACTTATCATTTATTTATGGTAAACCATTCAGTGTTTTTAAATTTATTGATTTCAGTATTATGCAGAATGTCATGCAGTAATTTATATAGTAGACTCTTCTGACAGAGAAAGAGTTTCAGAATCAAAAGAAACTTTTGGTAAGTTAATTAAGCTAATATGTCCGATATACTTAAAATGCTTAGTTTCAATATTAATATGTACACCATAAACCTTTTTTCTGGTATCTACAGTGCAATAAATATTTTGTTTTTGAGATCTGATGAGTAATCTTAATACTTAGTGCCCTAACTATGGCTAAGTTTTGGGTCATGCATGATAGATTAATTTTAATATATATTTTCTATTTTCACTTTGGTAAGATTAGAACGTTTTTCAAGAGTGCAGTAATAGGAGCTTGTAATGGGCACATAAGAGGTTTCTGATGGCACTGTACTCATTGGTATATAAAATATAAAAAAATAGAAAGCAGACTCATAAAAAACAAAATGTTATGGAAACTGGGATTTTAGACGAGCATGCATATAAATCAAAATAATAATTTGGGCCACTTTATTCATTTTGTCTATTCTTCATGTCAAAATCATTTTTATTTTTGGTCCAGTATCCAGTATATGATACAGTACACTAGAATTATGGGTTCTCTTTGTGTTTACTAGTAACCAAAACAAACTGTACCTGTCAACCTATCAACTGTACCTGTGTAACCTGTCAAACACTTTATGTGTGCGTTCCGAAAATTCTCTTTCTATGTGCTCAGATTGACAAATTCCCTAGAAATAATTTATATGGCAAAACAACGTTTGCCGAGTCAGCTAGTAACAAATACATTGTAATAGAATGATTCTTTACCTACACCAAAATAGCATTTACTTATCAGCAAGTTCAAGTTAAATCAATTTAGGAAATTGATAAAGAAAAGAACATGTCATCACTAATTTCTTATTGATTTCTTCCACATAAACAAGAACTAAAATCTACATTTCTGGCAAATACTAAATACCTTATAGTGGTAGAATTAGAACTGCAGCAGATTTTGCTGTACGCTTTTAGATGCCATATAATAAAACACCCACACAAAACAGATTTAGGTTTTTTTGTTTGGGGGAAGATAACAGTGCCCAGTCTTTAAATTATTGGCAAAGCAACCATTTCAATGTTATCTGTTCACCTTTTCACAGAAAGGAAACATATCCGAAGGGTCTGTGAAAAATCAATATTTCAATGTATCTATTAGCAGAAAGAAAAAACACAAAACAACATTAATAATGTTCATTTAAAAAGAAAGTAAAATAATGAAAAATATGACAATATTTATTTATCTAATATTTACAAGATTAAATCTAAAATTCTAAATTTACATAATATTATCTAATAAACCTTATCCTCGCAGTATGGTGCCAAGAATGCTAGCTGCATTTCCTCACTGAATAGTTATGTTTAATGAAATTATATAAAATATATTTTTTTAGACAAAATGATAGCTTCAGAACATTTGTCTGGAGTCCCGCTGTTGGTGCTGGCAAATAAACAAGACATTCCAGACTGTATGGGTGTGCATACAGTTAAACCAATATTTAATCAAAATGCACATTTAATTGGAGCTAGAGATATTATGTTAATGGCAACATCTGCTTTAACAGGGTAATTATTTTCATTAAACAATTGCCTCGTTTATTAATTTTATTCTCATTATTGAAGAATTTTTATACTTGTTATCTAATGTGTGTAATTAATTAATGTTGTTAAAATTTGTCAGTTTCTACTCCAAAAAATGGATTTATATATATTTCCCCAGTTTTAAAAGTATTTGTTTATTGCAGTGATGGTGTTGATGAAGGCATCCGATGGCTAGTTGATTGTATAAAAAGAAACAGTATTGATAGACCCCCACGCAACCACGACGACAACTTATAAACCGATAACGACACCTGCACTTATTATTACGTTCACACATATACAGTGAATAATAATGAGTTTTCCTATTAAGATAATGTGACTAAGTCCATTGTTTTGTACATACTGTTGTATTGACATTTGAAAATAAAACATTGATAGAACTGTGTCTGTGTTGCTGTCCTTTTTCAGTGATAAGTTATACTTTTGATAAGAGATACGTAATTACTGGATATTTGTGGAGTACCTGCACCTGATAAAACACCTGATAACAGTACAGTTTGCACTGTATGTGTATTGTGAACTATTGTGCCGTGCTGAAATGTTTTAAAGGTTATTTAATTTTGCGATTAAAGCAAATATGGCTTATCCAATGTACGAAGTGGATTGGAGTGTATTACCGCCAGAACAAAATAGAAGGTGAGATGAATTAAAAAGTTTTTCGACGATTCTCAAGTTTGCAGATTTTACGTTGCATACGTACATTTTCGCTCACTTTAAAATTATTCTATAGTGTTATATTGAATGTAAAATAAAACGTAATTTAGAATTAGTAGATAGGATTTATAAACAATTTCCACGTAGCGACGACTCGTTCAAATATGTACACAATACAGTTGCCAAGTTTTATTAAAGTCATAACAAATCCTTCTTTGTTAAAAACCATTTATTGTTTTAAAAATTCGATGTAATCTAACTTAAAAACTATTTATATTTTTTACCTATAATTTATTTTATAATATTTTGTGATTTTAATAATTATTATGTAAAACGTAATAATATTTTGACTAAAACTTCAACGTCATATGTGAACGCGAGAGCGAGCTCGATGCGAGTCATGTCATGTTGGTCGGCCATGTTGAATTTCTTGCAACGCAGGAAATGTCAGCTGGCGGTTGTCGTACAATTTCTTTGTAAAATCTGTGATAAAAGATTTATCAGTAGATTTTCTGTAATACTTAAACAAACACACAACAATCTACAGATGTTGCAACCGAGTTGAGATCTGAGTGATAATATGACATTTGTATATCGCTGGTGGCATGCGATTTCTCTTGAAATTTTGTGGTCTGTTAGGAGATGAAATCCTGAAAGTGTATAGTGAAAGTTTACTTACTTCTTTGTTATGTTTTTAAGTGATTATTCGTTATAACTTATCTTTGGGACCAGTGTTTGAATACATCGGGTTCCTTTACTCTTCGTAGCCTCTACCAGTGAATCAAGACGGGAACATCTAGCCTGTTTGGAATCCTGGAAGATCTGTTATTTTGTTAACATAAATTATATAAGTGGACAACATGAACGGTTCTGAATCCGGGTAATTTTTCAAATTACTACTGTAATCATCTCGTATTATAGAATAGCATACGACTTCTGTCCCAACTTCTGATGATCTCATGAGCATAAACTTTTGTTAAAACTTATTATTTACTTAATTGTACAAATTTTTACCAAAATTTACTTTTTTTTTGGTATCGTTGTTTTATTATTTTATAACATATTTTTTACCAGCAACTTTTTAATGACTTTTTCTCAAACATAACCGTGACTTAAAATTTTGGATCTAAGACACTAACTACATAATTTGTTCAATAATAATCATCATGGCTAATTTTCTAATTGCCAATCAAAAACTGGTTTTATAGAATAAAAATTCTTAAAACAAAAACCAAATTTACAAAACTTCATCTAACATTTAGGATTACAAAGTACCTTTATCATATCCTAAGGTTTGTATAATGGAATGACAGAAACATCTCTTACAACTTTTAACAAGGAATATTAAAATTTGTAAAATACTTATGTGGTCCACACTTAAAATTCTGCATAAAATTGCAGCAAATTATTTGATTATCATTCAATTTGATATTTATAATCAGAGATTCAAACAAAATCAACATCAGTATACCTGTTTTTTAGTTTGTCGACCCTATCAATATCCAAAGTAATTTTTAGTTCAATATGAATGCTCACCTTTTAGTTTGCAATACTTATGTATTTTTATTTTATATAAACAGTTCTTGATTTTACTATTATGTTTACATTTTATGCACTATTTTTTTGTTTTGTGTGTAACTAGGTCTTTTTTATTTCATATTAGAAGTATTAATTCTATAGACCTGTAATTGTTAATGGATCAATATGTAAGCATAAATATTTACTGATCATATATGATATACACAACATTAAAAAATATAAATTATTCACATACTTTTCCAGCTTCCTAAATTAAAAAAAAATTATTATACTAATCCCTTATTATACATGAAATTAAGCAAGACAGTTAATACAATTCAAATAAGTTAATGTAAATCTGCAATTACAGCTTACTTCTGTGGATATATTTGTTATATGAAAATTGTTACCATTATATAGCAGCTTGTAAAATTATGAAATTGGAAACAAAGATAGGAAAAATCGCATTTCATACATATGGTACTTAGCTAAAATATCTATCTATCTATATATTATGCAGATCTATGGTAAACCATTGTCAAGGTCTTTCAAATTATTGTACTTGGATATTCTGAGCTTATATTCCTTGGAGGTACTTTTACAAGTAATAAGGCCTTATTTACCAGAATAATTCCTTACAACATAAGAGGAAAAATTGTAACAATATCTGCATAACACTAACTTCTGGAAGTACATAACATTTTATTATAAATCTCTAAAACAATAGAGCATGGCATAATACATAAAAAACATTTTAGGTTTGTTGAATTTATTTATTTATTCACATTTAATAGGAAGGCAGAATAGATCATTATATAAGATTTATTATGAAACATTATGACTTAGTTGACCATATAGACTTATAAAAGAAGGTAGAAAACTACAGTTGAAAGTTAATTAATCAAAATGCTATATGAACATCTAAACTTAATTACAAAAAATTATTGAATAACACCGTTTGACCATTTTGATTTTGGATAAATATACCTTTAGTAATGTAGTATTTCTATTGTTCATTGTTATTGGACATTGTGTTGGACATCCGTAAATTGTAGAGGTCAATCTACAATTTACGGATGATGCTCTTCCTTACTAATATTATAAATGCAAAAGTTTGTGTATATGGATTGATGTTTGTTACTCTTTCACACAAATGCTACTGAATGGATTCTAATAAAACTTTACAATGATATAGCTTATACATCAGAATAAGACATAGGCTATAATTTATATACATATTTTATGTATAACTGTCTTTCTGTCTCAATATTACGCCTTCAGCCTATTCTATGTAGTTGCGGGCAGTAGCTAATCATATATATATATTTATATATATATATATATATATATATATATAGCACAAAGCCTACAAGAGCATAGAAATGTTGGTATATAATGTAGTATAACAAGTATTATAGGTAGTATGCAGCGTGTCTTTACAATCGCGACAATAAATGAACACACATATAAAGGAAAAATTTTTAAAATTGCATTAAACATTTACATTCTTTAAACATCAATATTTACCGACTTTTTAAATTTTCCACAACAACGAATTTTAGAACATCCTTACATATAAAACTGTAACATAAAGTTCATTTGTAAAGGTCACAAAGCATATGAACGGTTTGAATGAATTTGAAAGAGACAAAACATACTGTTAGAAGGAGAGGCTTGTAATTTGACGTTGTGGCAACGAATGAAAAAGTCTCTGAATGTAATCAGCCAGTTGTAGTTGTGTAGGTGTTACAAATTCTGTTTCTTTTTTACTTAATTAGTTTGATTGTAAAAATTTTTTTTAACGTTAATATTTTTTTATGATTATTGGCAAGTAGCGTTAGACGTGTGTTCATTTACTGTCGCAATTGTAAAGACATGCTGTATAAGAAGCATAACAAGTTGTATTACACCCTTATAATAGTGTCTACATAGATAAAACTTATATTTTATCAATACCGATATAGATTGAAAACACAAATTCTTGAAATTATGCTTTTGAATGGATTGTAGCCCAGATGCAAACACATACGTATTATACATATTTATGGATGTTAGTAAGAGTTTTGTATACATAGAGTGAACCACCTATTTACTTGTTACTTTCTCGCATAGTAAATTTAAACAAGTAAAATTTTATAAACACAAAACATGTATTGTGCAATAGAATGCAAGTATTTTGCTCACATGGTTCATAAATGATGGAGTTTTGAGGTTACAAACATTAAAAAATAATAATTGGGAACCTCCATTTTTGAATTTTACACAGTCCTAAATTAGATGTATTGTCAATGGCAGCTGTGTCTACTATTTAGTGATTATAATTATATCACATAATTTTTTATGACATTGTCGTAGTATTTTTTGTAATGTGATTGGTTCCATTTTAAAGTTTATATTATTTTGTTGCAGGTTTAACCCGACTTTCAATATTGCCACCATAAAACAAGTGGTAAATGAGGCAATTGAGAGAGGTGAGTGCATAATCCATATAAAAAAATCCTAAATAGTCAAGTCAACATCACAAAATGGTCTTATTAAAGACACCAAATATGGCTGCAGTACTATGGAATAGCGTTGGTTCAAATGAATCTTATTTCGGTAATAATATAATAGTCAGTATTAATATTTTGGTCAAATATATTTTATGGATGGGTCTTTGGGTGTAATGTGATGAAAATTTACTTATATTGTCTCTACTAGTAGCGCTATTACACAATTTTAATTTGTAGTTAGAGCCTTTAATGCTAATGCTTTATATAAAATTCTAACTTTCCCCACGAACTTACTAACGTCTATTATCTTCTGCCTATAATTTGTCATATGCAATCTTCTAATTTATAGTTAAAATCTCTATGCAAATGTTGGCACCATGATTGAATTGACAAACAGCCAATCAGAAGTTGTATTCTCAGTTTTGCGCGTAGCACAAATGTGTATTGGAATGTATATTTAAGTACGTACGCAATAAATATTAAACACACTATAAGCTGTCGCCTCACTAACCCAAACGCGGTGCAATAATAGCTAGCTGGACACGCGTTTATCGAAAAAAAAACCTTTCGCTACCCATACGCACGTGTACAATTATTACACACATAATTTCCGATTGGCTGGATCTCAATCGACCGCTTTCCACTATCCATATAATTTGTGTATATTATTATTATCTTAATAATCTGTGAACAAATGCACTGATCGACGCTTTCTGTGTGTGTGTCGTCCGTAACAGTCGCACCGGTTTCAGTGCGTATGCCAACGCCGACCCGGCTCCGCGACCTGATACGCCAGATCCGCGCGGCGCGCACCGCCGCCGAGGAGCGGAGCGTCGTCAACAAGGAGTGCGCGTACATCCGCTCGACGTTCCGCGAGGAGGACAGCGTTTGGAGGTGAGTCGGGGATGGGCGCGGATCTAGCGGCGGCGTTCGCGGTCGACGTGCTTCCACGCGCGGATTCCTAGCGGATCTAGCGCCGGCGGTCGACAGATGCATTGGAGCTGTTACTTGTTTGTTATAAACGCGCGATCCTGATACCTCTTACGCCGTTCATAGTTCCATTGATTTTCTCCAACTCATATCTTAAGTTTTCTCTAAATTTGTAATGTTAAGTAAACGTCTTCTGTGACATCCTTATCGAAGGGATGTATTCTACAATTCCTTATTTTTTCTATTCTTGACCCACTATAGCCTCACACTATTCATTCATTTGCCACAATATATTGATCCTATTTGAGAGCTCCTATTGATACAGAAGATTCTTTAGTACGGGAGACGTTTTTGTAGCAGAAATTAGGTGGTCTTCCGGCGATCACGAAATATTCTCTTTGGCATATAATATTGCGCCATGTTTCCTTTTGCGACTGCAAACGCACCACGGCGCAATGTTTGGGCCGTATTTGTGTTTAGACGACATGAGGAAAATCCGTTAGCTTTTGTTCGTAACGTGTGTATGTATATTAAAGTGGCTATTTCCTCTTAATAAAGGGCCTCTTCGTTTTCAACTGCCAGCTGAAATGAAGATGATTGATCCCCGGTTTCTATATAAAACGAGCGGCCGTTAGTTACATAGCTTCGTAACCTTCATAACGAATTATAGATTAAAGGAACGTAGGTAATGCAACGGCTCGTAAGGAAAACGCCTCGTATTATTAATATAGAAACCGGGCATACACGCCTTTTATCTATACAAGTCGTTATGAAAGTCACGAAGCTATGTAACTAACGGCCGTTCGTTGAATATAGGAACCGGGCATAAGTTTTCATGGTAATGAGGACTACGCCTGACAGCAGGACAACAAATAGGGAACATAACTCTTTTTGGACGAATTTTGACTACAACTTCATAGATTATTTATTTCGTTCAAAAAGTTTGTCCTGTGTAAGGAGGTAACTTATTTGTAAAAACAGCTTGTATGTTTATACGTAACGTTATGCACAAGTGTAAAATATCTTTGTTACACCTCAAATAAAACCGTAATACATTAAAATCTGTAATTTCTGCCCACACACCTAGAAAGGCTTATGCCATAAATATGTGAATATAAAGTGTAATATATAAAGATATTCATGTAAAAGTCAATTTTACGATATAAGACGGAATTTATAAACGAAAAATTAAAACTTAAGGATTGGACATCAATTCCCGCGTAAATAATTATTTAAGAAACCAACGCTTTCTTCGGTCCCGTTCGGAAATCTCTGAATTTTTTGTCATTGACATGCAGATTTCCTCGTGTGTTTTGCCTAACTTGTGCATGTTTTAATTGCAATATACTAGACTGTGTCTACACTCCAACGGTCATGTCTGAATGGATAACAAAGAAGTTTTGCTCTACATCTGCGCTGTACAGATATGATAAGATAAGACGAAAATATTTCTAATATTTTTGTTCTAATATTACAGTTTTGGAAACAGTTTTCGTAAAAGTGTCCGAAGAAATATTCCCTTTTCAAATGCAAATCGTTACGAAGAACAGGAAGATGGAAATAAAATGTAATTTAAAAGGTATCAGCAAGTTTTTCGAGTAAGAAATTTCCGCCCAGTTATGCGTTTCACTTAGTTTAAATTGAATTATGTCACGACGGACATTTGATGGAAAACTTCGTTAAATATTATATATATTGCAACTATTACACCGAATTACCGCTGTAATATGAGAAAAAACATACATCTGATGCTTGAACTTGCTTGAACTTATTTTTTATGGGGGACCATCAGTCTTCACTATAACGTGCCTTCCTTTTTATTGGCAGAAAAGAGCAAATTAATTTTTGCAAGCAGGTATTGTCTAATTAAGAGAAAACTTGTCAAAGAAAAGGGTCTTTAAGTGAATAAACAAAAAAAATATCTGTAAGAATATAGTCGAAAAAAAAAACAATACCACCTAATGCCACCCATGCGTATATTAGTGTCATTAGTATTACCGAACCGATGCTTCCATAACAGTACTATCCCTAGCGTGGGTGCTAATTGTAAAGTTCATTTCTCTCATTAGTATAAACAGAACTTATGTACTTTTTCCATGAGTCGAGATTCCCGTTCAGAAAAAACGTGACCATTTTAAATTTTAATAAAAAACAAAACATCTTTTATTGCATAATTTATTTTCCAATGCTTCTTTTATCGAAAGTTGAACGTCACACAACGCAACATAAAATCAAATATTAGTTTCAAAATCGAGCTCATAGTTTTATATAAAAAGATATTCGAATAAGTATTAAGAAGTGGCAATAATAACTCTCGAAGGAAAACATCGCGAAGATATAAGAACTTGCGTAAAGAAAGTAGTGACACGGGTCTTCCTGTCAACTTGCTGTAGAGAAATGAAAACGTTAAATATATACATTTTCAGTTTAAAATCATTATATACATATATACATTTAATATATACATTTTCAGTTTAAACAATAAAATACATTTTCAGTTTAAAATCGTTTTGAGAGTTTTCCCGTTTTTATTTTGTAGTTTTTAGAAGCGACCGATAAAAATGAACACCCCCGTTTGAAATTAAACTTACCGTCCAATTTACACAAAGGGTGTTAAAAGAAGTTTAAAATACATGAACGCTCTGATACTAGATAGCTGAGATGATTTATGGTCAGATTTAATATAATGTAACAGCCCCCGGTTCAATCTTCGAATATTAATTAAGGATTTTACAAAGGTAATTTATAACTTGTCACCTCGCACTATAATTCTGACGTGTTGTTTACCATGATCTCAGGTGATAAGTGGGCTGTTACAAGTTTTACTCTTCTTAATCTAATCACCGTATTAAGTAAACACGGTCATGATAATATATTTAGATTTTCAAAAACCTCACTACAAGCAAGTTTGTGTCGAGAAATGACCAGAACCATTTCTCACGAAAACCCAAAGCTTAATTTGTACCTTAATAATTTAAAATACATACCAAATATGAGAAGAAACATTTTTTACCCAAATAATTTGAAGTGCGGACCAAATATGAGAAACCACATATTTTTTTTTAATTGTTAAAAAATTATGTTCCGATGGTTCATGAAAATGATCAAAGGGGTTCCTAGTAAGAGAAAACTTTTTTAAGCGTACCGTGATTACAACACAATGTTGATTAATTTCAGATGCATTATTTGTTACATTATGGAAGTCCTTAAAGTCAAGTAGAAAATGCATAGTGAGTGAGATTTGAAGATTTGAAGTTCGTTTTGTTTTTTGTTAAAAAAAATTTTTATTTTCTTTTTCTTTGTTAGTTCCCGAAAAATTACTCGGTGACGCCGCTGCTGAGCTATTGGCTTCCGCGTCGGGGTCGTGGGTTCGATTCCCACACGGGACAAGTATTTGTGTGACCCACAGATAATTGTTCCAGATCTGGGCGTTTGTTTCCCAAGGAGGGTTGACGTCAGGCAGGCGGCCGGTCGTAAAAATATAGCCAAAACCGCTTACAACACTATTCACGTTGTGCCGACCCTAGGTGGGATAAGGACTAAGGTAGATGATGTTGAGGTCCAGAAAAATTACAACATATTTATTAGATATTCACTTATGATTATCGCGGTTGTGTTGTTAACTCATATGTGCGGGAAGTCGATGGATGCAGGTGGCTCAGGATCGTACTTCATGGCAGTCTGTGGGGGAGGCCTATGTTCAGCAGTGGACTCAAACAGGCTGAAATTATGATGATGATGATGATAGCGGTTGTTCTACTGCGAGTGTCTTCGTTGAGATATCACCTATAACCGATGGGGAAGAAAGGTTCTTTAGTGGCAGCCTCTTACTGGCCATCGCAGTGTAGGCCGACCCTCCACTGGATGGAGTTACGACCTGTGCAAATGTGAGAGACGTCGATGCATGCAGGTGGCTCAGGATCGTACTTCGTGACAGTCTGTGGGGAGGCCTTTGTGTAGCAGTAGACTCAAACAGGCTGAAATGATTATAATTATGACAGCATTTAACTCTTCATGCCTCTTCCAGTTTCACTACTAGGATCACTGCTCTAAAATGACTGGGTTTATGAACAGATGTCGGAACATCGCGAAGCTCCTGTACATCCACATGCTGGGCTACCCTGCCCACTTTGGGCAGCTGGAGTGCCTGAAGCTGATCGCCAGCCCACGCTTCACGGACAAGCGAGTGGGCTACCTCGGGGCCATGTTGCTGCTGGACGAACGGCAAGACGTCCATCTGCTCATCACCAACTGCCTGAAGAAGTGAGTTAGATTTCTTTTCATGCCATTCCATTTGTTCGCACTCGCTTACGTTAATATGCACGTTCGTAAGTAAGGGAATCTTTAAAATCTTAATTCTATCCACTTAAATACGTACCTGTATTTTAAAGATAACGGAGAAGCTATGACATTTGAATAATCACTGTTTTCTTTCGTTTTTTTTTTTTTTTAATATTTGCAGATTAAATAAATTGTGTTTCTTTTTCTAATTGTGTACCTTTAATTAAGTGCATAAATATCGTAATAAAATGGACGTGGATCATTTTATATCAATTGATATTTAAGGATTTTTGCTTAACTCCGTGTATATAGATACGCTTATGTATTTTTACTTTTACTTATATGTTATTCTTTTGCTATGGGGGCTAAGAGTTCGTCCATATATTGTTTGTTCTTATTAAGTATGTTGACCTCGCCAATTTTCATTAATGTTAATCTAGTCGTATACAAATATTTTGCGACCTCTATCCGCAGTTTAATTACATATTTTCCCCACGTTCTTCATCCATCAATCTCCAATAGGATGTTATTATTTCAGAAGATTCATTGTAGATTTTTCATTATTGTTAGGAACGTGCTTTAGTGGCTTCGAAATAATTCATTCAGTCATTCGTGGACGTGAACGATTTCAAATGAAAATACACGGAAACTGTTTTTAATTAATTTTCTTTTCTTTCTTTGTTTACTAACTACAGAATTTTTGGAGGAGCAACGATTTTGCATAAATGCCGTAAAACATAACATGAAATGTACAAAAAAATGCTATAATACTTTCTCGCCCGGCGTCTGTCTCCTTCGCTCTTTATATTTATTGACATGAGCGTATTTTGACCCCTATATGGCGGCAAGACAGAGATGGCTGCTATTACTATATGCGTTTCTTTTTACCTGTTCGTCTCACTTCCTGTCCGTTGATGACAGGTGGTCCTTGTCGCCGCATATCGGGAACAAATGCTACGCCGACAACTTATCATTGCTATTATAGTATTTTCATGAAATATCTTTTAAAAGATTTTATACAAATGTCTGTACAGTATAAATATCGCTCATAATGTTTCTAACAAAATCAAAGGCAACTCACTAAAAGATACTCCTCCCATATTTTACAAAAACTATAATCAATTAAAATTATTGATTGTAGTTGGATTCACTGCAAATTGTGAATTCAACTATTTTATGAACATTATAGCGTTTAATATATTTGTAACGAAACAGATAACCCGTGATCATGGAGGGAATTATTCGAAAAGTTGAAAATAATTTAAAAAAATTAAGCCATACTTTAGTGTTATTTACAATCTTATACAAAGTTCAACTGTATGCGTTATAATCGGAAACTAGAATCAAATCAGTAGCAGGTAATGTACAATCTTGAATCCCAATTACTGTTAATTTTTTAAAAAAATATTCTATATATTGATTACCTTTCGTTACATTAACAGAGTTTTCCCCACCAATTTCTTTGACGCGCCACATTCACGACGCGCGAAACCCACCAACTGTCGTATTCGGGCTAAGCTCTACTTACTGACTCATTCAGTCGCGGGTAAATATGACAATTATATTCCCACATCATCGACCTTAGACATGACAAATCATGCTCCAATTCAAGCTGAAGACAATGTACACAAAACTTCTTAGTGATAATTCTCTACAGTCTACGCGGACTTTACGAAAGCGAACCTCAAAATATCGACTTAATAAAGTTATATCTAGTACGTTCTACGCTTATGAATGTTTGTTGTTGTTGGTATTAAACAAGATGAAACGTTTACCGACTAGTTTAAATACTTACGTAACGTTTCAATTCGATGAGCAAAAATAGGCTAATTAGAAGTAAAATGTTTGGAATATATCGAATGTTTTGGCCGGTCAATCCAAACCTTATCCTATGTTATGTGTCAGTTTGCAATGTTTCTTTCTTTCTTCTTTCTTTTTTTTCCTTTATGGCGGTCTTGCAATGTTTCAATCAGACATAAAGTGAAACATACTCTCGTATTTGATTAAAAACACTACCCCCTACTGCCCTTTAATAATTTTGTGTAAGAGTGTTTAACAAATACGAAACAGAATGGTACAAACGACCACATCCTGCAATTATCTTTGGACAATTATTATAAAATTATGTTTTTATAATAATTTTATAATATATTATATTATATTATAAACAATATTTTTCTCGGATAGAAATCAAACACACGATCCGCGGAATCGAAATATATAGTTTATCGACTACGCCTTCGGAGTCATATCTGAATAATATATCATGACGTCAGTTTTTTAACGTCTTAACAAGACAAAATGAAAGAAATTCTCAATAAACCACGTAGCATCAAACGTTGCTAGTTAATTTGCATACGTTAGCAAAAACTCGCTTGCGGCTGTTTCATTGCGACGATAAGCTTATTACGTATAGTTAGGTGGTAGGTAGACGTCTACTTGTGACGTTTAGTCTTATCAGACCCGACTCCAACGTTAAAATCGTGTCCTTTCCTTCCGTTACGATCTGAGCGATTAAACAAATTTACTTGTAACTAAGTAATTAGAGGCTTAACTTGAATTAGGATACTTGTTATGATTTATGTTTAGACTTTTCTTATTTGTGCCATTAATACATATATATTAATAAATATTTTTCTTTTTATTTATTTTACTCTTAATTTGACCTTCATTTATTATCTTACTACGCTCTAGCAACGTAATTAAATGTTTCATGTAGTGTGATATTCGAAAGTGTGCAAGTTGTGGATAAATATTAAGCATCCCGATCGTAATACAATAATTTCATGATCGTGACTTGTTGTCACCTTCATTAGGATGATTTCTATGATTAATGAAAGAACCAACTTTTATGGGTTCCTGTGACGTGTTCGACTGTTGTCACGGAATCATGCTTAATTCTCGTAACGCGATAAAAGGATAAAGTATTTTTTTTATATCTATTCTATAAAAAAATACCTTTTCCTTTATCGTATGTTGAATTTAATTTTATTTGTGAAATTAAAGACAATAATTGGTAAAATAACATGCCGTCAGTTAAATATAATCTAAATAATTTATTTTATTCGGTGTAACATGTTCTGCTTTCATAGAGTCAAAGATCAATATCTACTGTGTGCCTTGAGAGCAATGCAGGTTCAATAATTGCCAATCAAATTTAATATCTTCATGCTGATCTAACACTGATTTCTGCGTGACGTCACCACATAATGGTTGCAAATATTTGAAGTAAATGATAATTGTACTGTGTATATTGTGTACAAAATAATAGAAATTGAAGATAAAACCTAAGATATCAAGTGTCAAAAATCAAAAAGGAATAAATAAATAATCATATCGAAGCACTCTAATTTTTTAACCATTACATGATGGCCAGAAAAAGTTACAGAGCTAATGAAGAACTCGCCGCCGATTTATATAAAAGAAATGACGTTCGTTTAAACTGAAATATTTTATCCTCTAGCGCAGGGACCAACCACGACTATTGTCAGTTGCTTTCATTTAAAAAAAATTATGTAATTGAATGACTGGTAGGGCCACGCAGCAGCCTCGGCTGTTGCACGAATGGGCAGGCTCGTCCGGGTAAGTACCACCTCACAGTATACCACACAGAAGAAAGTAAAGTGGCGTAAAGTGGAAGTATAATACTTTCGCGTTTCGTCTGGTTAGTGAGGTAGCCGGAGCCCAATATCAACGCATCTGCAACCATCGGGTGTAGCTGATTGTGTGAGGGGCAGTATTCACTTAACACAAGGCGAACCGCCTGCTCGCTTGCCAACATTTCACATTAAAAAAAAGTGAAAAATGAATATTAACTTCTATCCTGTCCTCGCCCCCGCCCAGTGACCTGAACAGCAACACGCAGTTCGTAGTCGGCCTGGCGCTGTGCACATTGGGCGCGATAGCCTCGCCGGAGATGGCGCGCGACCTTGCTTCGGAGGTGGAGAGGCTCATCAAGTCGCCCAACGCGTACATAAAGAAGAAGGCGGCCCTATGCGCCTTCAGGATCATAAGGCGCGTGCCCGACCTGATGGAGATGTTCCTGCCCGCAACAAGGAGTCTGCTCACGGAGAAGAATCACGGTGAGCAACTTGACGGCTTTCGGCCAATTAGTTACATCTTATATGGTATAAGATTCTCGTGTCACGGTGTTTGTAATTGAACTGTTCGAAACGGGTCGACGATTTTGGTGAAATTTTGTGTGCATAAAGACTAAGAAACGCAGAAGTATAAAACTACTACTTCACGGTGGTCCTCTGTGAGGCCGTGGTACTTCCCGAAACGAGTCTGTCCATACTTGCAACAGTCTTCTGTTTAGTGGCCACGCCGTTCGAGCATCAGAATTGCGGGTGCATTGCCAACCTTTGAAGGGAGCCTATTTATATCTGCTTCGAGCACTAACAAACGTAATAATTCACCACCGATATTCAAACGTAGTCCGGTCCAAAAGAAGAACCGACGGATACTGTCACCATAAATCATAATGTGTCTGTTTGTTTCGTAAAATCTAGATTATTCCACGACGAATCGCGAAGATACACGGATAAAGTTAAGTTTTTTTGTTTTATATTTATATTTAGATTGATTGCATGTTATTGACTGTTTTTGTTGTTCAAAAATGAACTGTTAATAAATCGAATACCGTGCGAAGGTCGAACAACGTTTAATCAAGCCAGTGTCCAAAACCAATCAAAGTCAGCACTAAAAGTTCTCTCTCGTGCGAAGGTTTGATGCAAATCATTAAATCATAACCTGTGATAGCACGAATAACAGTAGTTGAATGCAATGTGAAAATATCGTGATAAAGCAAAAGCAAACATACGAAAAATATAAAATGAAACACCTACCAAACTGCGCTAGGGTATTGTACCAGGCCCTAATACCCTCTTTACAGATGACAACTTTTTTCAGACATCACTCTTCATACAATTGGGGCATTCCAGTAACGGCTGATGAATCACTGTGTATAAATGAATATCGTTTGAAAGTCTGCATGCAACGCTATTAAAAAAACGATACCTCATCAAAGTTGCCGGCTCAGGAACGAGCGCGCGAACCACAGGGGAACTTAATTCATGTCAATTGCGTTTGGGGACCTCATTGTGATCGGGTCAAGCTAAAACCGCTCTTAGCTCATTATGATAAAGCTCGTAATGGCTCCTCGGCTCTATTCAGTGCAAATAGCCCGTGAGGAGCGACCGCCGCGGTCTGCTTAACCCACGGCCGATTTCAATACGACCCGACCGATTTACGGCAGCAATTAAACCGCAGTACAATGCAACAGATTGGCTTTAAGTACATCAATAACGCAGCGCAGTAAAATCGCACCACGTGACGCTCCTTTATCCGTCTCGTCGTGACATAAAATCTGTTTAACTGCGTTAGGCATTTCCACGATAAAGTTTTGATTCTCGAACTACCTTTATTCGTCCGTACCGGGTCTTTTATACGTATAACACGATTGGATAGAAGACTACTTTTAATATCCCTACTCACTATATTGTACCCTGATATTTTTGGAAAAGAGCAACTGTTGAGTTTCTTGCCGGTCTCTTCTCAACAGAAACCGCTTTCCGAACCGGTGGTACCTTACAAACCTATACACATAATTTTTGATGTAAAATTTGACGATTCATAAGAGCGCGTAAGCGTCTATTTGAATAAATATATTTTTGATTTTGATTTTATGATTCACGTCATTATTGTATACTTTCGATATAACCAAAATCTAAAATCTACCTCCCCAGACAGTGTCTTATTGTGGCGGAGCCAAGGGACCGTTTCTCATGTTGATGACCTTTAATTTTTTTTACATTTTAACTAATTAAAATTTCTTAAAGTATTTATTATTTTATAATAAATTTTTTTATACAGGGAGATTTTTTGAGAAGTGGCCAAATTTACACAGGAGGTTCAGACTCGGTAGTATAATCGTTTATTGAAATAAAAAACAATAGTTTTTTTTTCCAAAAAAAAAAATGCCATTCTATTCCCTAAAAAAACAGAATGTGTTGACAATGCGGTAGTCATTCATAAATACCTAAATTTTACTGTGCACGAACTTGTGTGCATGTAAGTTATGAATGATCGCGCGTAAAATAAATGAGTTGCGTATAAATCACGCACTTTTTGAGATAAGTTCAAATGAATGTAATTTTTTATAAAACATCATTTATGTCTAGAATTTAATAAAAAAAATGGATACATTTAAAAAAGCTACCCTGTATATCTTTTTTTTCTTACATTCGAAAAACGCGCTTTAACGCCCGTTTTCTGAAACACTGATCACAGCTCATTAGTTAACATCTACGATGATCAGTGTTTCAGAAACTGGCCGATTAAAAAAAACGGCAGTACACCGAAATCATATTTTTTTATGGTTTTATATTGTGATAAACCGAACAAAAATATTTAAAAATTTTATTTTAATTAAAAGGGAGCCGTAAGTCTCGATGCGATGTAAAGTGATTTTTGGATCGCATCGATCTAGGTTTGAAATTTGTATTACTTTTGTATTACTTTACTAGTAAAATTTAGTATAACAGCCTATATGGTGACATATACTTCGCCATGCGTAATGTCAGTCTGTGGTAATATCAGTTGGTTTCTGTTCCAAAAGCTAAGTTTCGGATTCAAACCCCGGCATCGACATTCGACACCGATATTATAATTAATTGCGTTTTGACTCTACGTGTTCGACTGTAAAAGAAACACATAACCTCAAACTGCTCTATTACCCTCCGTATTTAATGTTTGTCCAGTTGAAGAATAAATTACTAAATCTTAAGTCTGCGTTGCACTTAAATGTTTTTTCTCTGTCAATTTTTACTCTGTTCCATCCTTATTCTCGTAATTCATTTAGTTGCGTAATCATCGACATGTTTTAGTTCCACTATACCGAATGTTTAACATTCCTGCCTTTAATGTAAACGCATTATTATGATGTTCAAAGTTATCTATATATTTGTTTAAATAAGTATACCGTTGGTGTGTCTAAGATAAATAGTGTTTGTTTATTATCAAATATGAAGTTATATACTTGTAGCAGAGGAGATATATGTCATGGGCCATAAAAAAAACTGTCCCACTTTCGCCAGTTATTCTAAGGCTTTTCTTTTCTGAACCGTAACAATAAGAGAGCGTAATGCATCTATCCATACTAATGTTATAAATGCGTAAGTAACTCTGTCCGTCTGTCTCGCTTTCAAGCCAAAACTACTGAACCGATTTATATAAAATTTGGTACACAGATAGTCTAGAGCCTGAGAAAGGACATTATTGGATTTTTTTTTAAAAGAAAGATATTTATTTAGGAGCTTCAACGCGAGCGCAGCCGCGCGCGAAAAGCCAGTATTAAATAAATATATTTGAATTTGAACATGGGAAGTATCAGAGTTCTTACAGACTTTAGCTGACTTAAAAGAAAACTACTTAATATCAACACAACAAAACTAGTTTACTTCGATATTATGGTGAAGACGAGGCTTTCGGCTACTAAAGAAAAACACCACTCGATCACATGACACGGGCATGTTGTTAACTGCGAACACTATAAATCACGCCTTGTGAGTAAGGAACCGCTACGTCACTCGCTCCCTTCGAGGGTTGGGGCGTTGTCAATGTCCACGGGCGGCATTAATACTTGCCTTAAGGTGATCTATCAGACATTTTGCCACCTTCCATCATATAGGTAAAGAAACTGTGGTTTTTGTCATCAGGTGTTCTCATCACCGGCGTGACCCTCATCACCGAGATGTGCGAGAACAGCCCCGACACCCTAAATCACTTTAAAAAGGTGAGTTTTTTTTTTTTTTTTTCGATTTTTAATATTTATAATGATACCGGTTTCTATTGCAAATAGGAAGTAATGTTTAATCTGTAATCATTTTATTTTTCCGTTTAAAGTCATATATATAATTTTGTCAATGTCTGAATAAAGTGTTGGATACGTAACTGACAAATAAATTAACGGCCACATAAAACTTCCTTTTAAAATAGTATGCGTTTCACAAAGGTCTTACCATTAAGATTAAGTGTCAGTTTGTTACTTGTAAGATTGAGATGGCAACGTCGCATTTTGGCGTTTCGATCTAGAGGAAATGTGAGAACATACAACATTTTTATAATTTAATCACTCTAAAAGTTTAGTAAGCATTCATAATGCATTTCTTTTTTTGCATTATTTTGTGTTACGTATTTATATATCTGAAATACATACTCTTAAATAATTATAATGATATAAAATCATTTTTTTAGATTAATTGCAATATTGTGCAACGCCACACTTGCTACAATTACAGACTGGACACGAGACGAATGTATATTATCTTTTTTGCTAATATAGGAACCCTATTTTTACAAACAACGTAAGTCCGCTTAAAAAGATTCCTACTTCTTATTCGTTATAGAGATGTTCTGCTGGTGTGACAGGATTTTGAAGTGGAGTCAACAGATAAAATGTATTTTCTTAAGCTTTATCACCAACAAATACACTATTACCAAATTCTCTGTTCAAAAATTTTTGTTTTATAAACTAATTTTTAAATATAGTTTGGTCGTGTGTGGCTTCAGGCTATCTAGCTACTTTGTCCATTATTTTCAAGTCTGAACCAACTATTGTTTGAACATTGAACGAGAATTGGCGTTTTCTGTTCCGATAGCTTTCTGCATTGTCACCACCTGTAGATTTTATTGGGACGTGGGTACAATGCATGGCACCAATAACCCTTGGAATACTAGCTATCTATACTGAAATATAAGGAGACATAAAAATCTCCTTATAATTCAGTAACATCTGGGAACTTATCAAACTGTACGGACACAGTTCAATATCGTGCGATAGCTTGTGACACCACATTCACAATTCGACAAGCTGATGCCTTACTCACTCCAGTAAAATCACCAAATACGTTCAGCAAACTTCCAGTTGCATAATATCAGGGTGTCAACAGAATTCAATCCATAGATTATATAGCATAATTCCTGAAACAATGATTATTCAAGAACCTACTAGAAACAACATGGATATTAAGTAGATAGACATTTCACTACATACGTTATTTATAAAAAAATAAAACACATAATTACCTTTCTGTACTAGAAGAAATTTTGTCCTCAATAAGTGAATGGAGATAATGAACAGTATCTTTATTAAATGGAAATCGAACTCTAAATTCCTCATCATCAAATGTCTCCATGTGATTAGAACGACGTCAAAACACAGGATCTCTGCGTGGCTTCGATAAACGATAACAAAAATCACCTAATTCGACGTCCAAGGCATTTAATAAATACATTTTTAATATTTTTCTATTAAATACGTATAACTAATTCCTTCTTGAAAATGATCTGTCAAGTAACAAACCATCAAATAAATTCCTTATCTGACAGATGATCTAACCTATAATTTACTTCGAATTTTATTTGCCAGATACGCTTAACAGACTATTGTGAAACGCCAACGATGACTTTATTCGTCAGATAAGTGGCAAGTAGCTTATTCGGGACTTTATTTGGACATTGTGAAACATACCCTAACATTTTAATAGGCTTTTCTTTATGCAAATATAATCGCTTACACTCCGGTCCGTGATTAAAAGTGGTTTACAATTCATTTCAGCAGAATTAATTTGTATCTCTCCACGCCAATTCAGCAGTAATTCGAGGCTGAAGTAATTAAATTCATTTGAAATTGGCCTCTGGAATGGTAGCGATTTGTTTAAAAGTAGGCGAATTCAAGGCCCATAGTGGCCCAGATTTCTTGTGAACGTACGTCGATAGCAATAACCTACATTAAAACCCTTTACAGAACAACAATTTCAAATATGAGGTAAGGATATAACAATGGATGCGCTAGGCATGGCTTAAAATGCCAAAAATAATTTAGTTAAAAGACGTTCAGATGTTCGTCATCCTTTTAACTTATTGGTTAAAGCGTCTGGACGCGAATCCGGAAGACGTGGGCTCGATTCTCGCAGCCGCGAGAAACTTTTCGCCCATTTTTCATCTTAAGTGTAGAGATGAGCACCATAAAATATAAATAATCTACATTTTTTTTAAATCCTAAAAGTGTACCTACTTCGTTGTTTTCTGTCTGTTTGTCTTTCGAAGTGTGATGATATTACTTTTGCGAGCAGTGAACGACTATCTTGGATTTAATTCGTGTGACTATCGTCTTCATCTCTGTCGCATCGGGTATTCCCCTAACCCACCGACGCGACGGCTTGGCACATGTAGAAACGCAAAGTTGCACGACTTATATCGATAAGCTATAGGCCTTTTTTATAACGCCTGCGATATATTACGCGGTCTTCCATTTTCCACATACAAACTCATCCAGCCGTTTGTATCAGGTCGATCGACCTCGAAGGCTACAATTCTTATGCGGCCGCCGTTGTAGGCGCTGTAACAGTACGTTCGATACTGTCTTCGATCATAATAATCCGAAACAATTATCTGTGAGTAACACAAATAGTTGTCCCGCGTGGGAATCGAACCTACAATCCCCGAAGCCAATACCACGGCAACTCCGTCACGGAGTTAAGGGAACTTGTCTGCAGTAATCCACAAAAGTGCAGCATTTGTATTAACAGATAACAAAAGTGGCGTAAAATATGTCACTATACATTTTCTATTTGATTTTGAGAAGTTAAGAATATTAGGGGTATTGAGATAAACTGACCCCATAAGAAATTTTAAAATCATATTCATAAATGATGGAGTTCGGAGGTAACAAACACAAATAATTTAAAAAAAAAACCCACTTTAAACCGAAGACTAAAAAACATTGTTAAACTTATAATATTTGAGGATTGCCCTCGATATCTCTGGGATGTTATCATCAGATCTGGGTTTCCTTATCATGATACCACCCTTGGGATATCTCCTTTCCAACAAAAAAAGAATCATCAAGCGATCTTGGTTCATAAACGACGAAGTTATCCGCGAACACACATAAAATATGTACGGTCGAATTGAGAAACCTCCTTCTTTTTTGAAGTTGGTTAAATACGACCTCACAGAAGACCAGCGTAAAGTGGAAGTATGACAAATATTTTCGCGTTTCGTCTGGTGAGTGAGGTAGCCGGAGCCCAATTTTCCAGAGGTTGTCAACACATCTGTAACCCTCGGGTGTGGCAGATGTCCATGGGTGGCGCTATTCACTTAATATCAGGTGAATCGTCTGCTCGTTTGACAACTTTTCGCATAAAAAAAAAAACCTTTTTTACACGATATTACGTCTCATTTTTAATGCAGTAACTTCTATAAGGGGCATATGATGATTACGCGTAATGAATTCGAATATTGGAAAACAAAAACATGTTGTTTGGTGCAACCCATTGTCATCCGATATCGGTTCGCGTGTTTACGCCCTGGCCACTAATACTCACGCCCGGTTTCTGAAACACTGACCATCGTAGAAGTCAACTAATCAGCTGTTAAATGGCTTTTCAAATGTTTTTTAAGTTGTCAAAAGGATTGTTAAACACTTTGAATTGATCGTTCTGATCATTAAGATGATTCTGAAAAATTCAGAGAGTTTAACCATTCTTTTGGCTACTTAAATAACATTTGAAGAGCCATTTGACAGCTGATTAGTTGACTTCTACGATGGTCAGTGTTTCAGAAACCGGTCGTAATGCTGTTATTTGTAGTGATGAAATAGTGATATGAACCGAAATTGTAGCCAATTACGTCTGATCGATAGCAATAATTTGGAGCACTGTACATCGGGGCGTGTACACTAGGGAAGATGTATACTACGTCGATACTTTTCAGTTTTATCGAAACGTTGTTTGGATCGATAGTATCTTAATCATCGATCCGTCAATGATGGAAACGAATATATCGAATATTGATGTTTAAACAATAAATTATGTTTGCCTTCGAAGTAAGAAATTTCTTAAACAAACAGCAGATATTTTCAAAACCTCTGCTTTGAAATGTATATTATTAAACGTTCATTGAAAACTGCATATTATCTAGTTTTATGCTAAATTTCGCTAATATATAATTGCATATTTGTTTAAATTCGTGCCCTCTACTATATGTAAAAATTTTAATCTGAAGAAGAAGAAACGTTTATTCACGGTCTAAAAACAATGAATACATACAAAACTTAAAAAAGATAATGTAACTACACAATATACAGCGTGTCGTTACCATCGCGACAATAAATGAACACACGTCTACCGCTACTTGCCAATAATCATAAAAAAATATTAACGTTAAACAAAATCCAAAATTAAAAAAAAATATTTTTCAAACAAACTAATTAAGTAAAAAAGAAACAAAATTTGTAACACGCCGTATTACAAGCCTCTCCTTCTAACAGTATGTTTTGTCTCTTTTAAATTCATTCAACCCATTCATATGCTTTGTGACCTTTACAAATGAACTTTACGTTACGCTTTTATAGGTAAGGATGTGCTAAAATTCTTTGTTTTGGAAAATTTTATAACTCTGTAAATATTGATGTTCAAAGAATTTAAATGTTTAATACAACTTTAGAAAGTTATCCCCTACATGTGTGTTTATTTATTGTCGCGATGGTAACGACACGCTGTATAAATAATATTGGAAAAACTTAAAATAAATGTAAACAACAAAAAAAAAATAATAATAATAACAATAAGTGACGGTCTGTGTACCAGCATAAGACCGTGAAACGGACGGGACTCTGTAAAAGTCGTGATACAAATTCGTTCTGATCCCGACACCGGTTTTCAGTCCGGCCTGTCCAAATGTCAAATCTGTCCTGTACGTGAAAACTGTTCAATCCTTATATGGCCTAGTGGTGCAATAATTGTTTTTTTTTTCTTTCTAAACGATGTTTTAAGCACTAAAACATGATGTTTTATATAACTCACATCGATATTTACGCCGTCATCGGGTAGATTCTGTTTTGACGGCGTGAGGCATCGACACTTGGTCGATATCGACGAAGTGTCGATGCCTCACCTAAATGTTATCTTTCCTGCGTGACTCTTAAATCGATACACGAAGACGATATAAAACTAATTCAATAATATTGGATAGCCTTTAACCATACCGGTAACTATTGACTTAGTCAGGTGTGTTCATATCTTTAGATTATTTATCACAAAGAATTGCTTTTTGTGCTTAAACATCTACTATAATTGAGGTAGACTAACTTCATAAGTTAAATATATAAAACTTTTTGTTTTCTGATTGGATGAAATTTCAAGACTTTATCCACTTTTAACTTATCTCTCTTCTATGTACACAGAGGCCTATTTGGTCGCTAGTGCATGCTTAAAACAAAACACCAATCCACAAACGTCCTCACAGACTTCCGTCGTACTCAGAGACTTCAATTAGCTCCAAATTAACAGATAACTTTCGTTTTTTCGCCGAGTGGGGCCTTACCAATAAGTCTGAAATTCTCAAATGTACTATTTTGACTCTATTAAAGTGTTTTAGACTACAGTGCGGACATAAATGTTCTTTTACGTGTTATACGTATTATAGGTCTTATTAAGACAACTTGAAAAGTAGTTTCTATAGTTCAACACTTTTATTTTTTATTTTTTATTTTAAAATAAATTTTAACAAATGAAAACAAGTTTAGTAGTCACGGGACAGACTGTGGCAGATGACCATGAACGTTATAAAAAAGGTTAGAAACGTTGGGAATTAAAACTAAAAATGTACGCGATAAATCCGTGGAACATATTTTCATTTAGTAATGTGTAATCGCTTAAATACAAGAAATTATTGTAAATATTAACGTAATTTATACACACATAAACTACTCAGCGCCGCGACGAAATGCTATTTGAATTATTTGAAGCACATACTAAAACTTTGATTTCTTTTGACTGGTTGTCGGGGTATAACAGGTTTACCGCAATGCGCCCTCGTCGCTATTTATTGGAGCAATCTGAGGCGACCCAGTGACCTAAAGAGCTCGTATACATTACATCCCAGGTAACTGATAAGTGGGCATTAATTAACTCCGTCGTAAAAATTTAATCGCCGTTTTCGGATCGTGAGTTAGTAGAAGCTAAAAATAGCTACATCGAAAATAGCCTAACTAATATGAATGAATTAATGAATTAATGAAATATACTTTATTGTACACAACCAACGGATATTGAAGAATCAACTAAAATAATACAAAACTGTACAATAGGCGGCCTTATTGCTAAGAAGCGATTTCTTCCAGGCAACCTAGTAAAAGGAAATAGTAACAAACAATATGGCTTCGTGTTGGTAAATTTTTACCTTGCTCTTTTTGTTATGAGTTTGGTAAATGTTTGTATGACTTCTCCTCAAATGAGAAAATAGTCCATCGCAAATTTCATATTGTAAAAGTTCACGGTAATAATAAACCTTCAATTGTGATTTCGAGTCCTCGTAACATTTATCGGATCGATTCCATGTAATAAGGCCGAAGCGGTTCTAATATCTTATTAAGGGTGTGAAATCGAGTTAAATGAACATATATATTTTAGGATTAATTTTTATTTTTAGTCCTATTCTCTGTACTCGAGTTCAAACTTTAAATTGTAAATATTTGTGGATAAATGAACAAAACCTTTCGATGACTTCGGGATCCGAACTTGCGTCTACTGGTTTCGCGTCCACACGCTTTACCACTAAGCTAAGGGGCCGTCTACGTTCTTTCTATTGGATTTTTAGCAATGCCTGGCTCCATTTACAAAGAACAAACAACAATGAATATTTTTGAAGAGGGATGTCGTCATTGCTCCTTATATTTTAGGATTGTTAATTTTTTTTAGTTTTAGTTCTAGTCTCTACACTCAAGATGAAATTTTAAATTGTAATATTTTGTAGATAAATGAATAAAAGATTTCGGCTCTGCGGAATTCGAACCTGCGTCTTCTGGTTTGAAATGATTTGAAAAAAAAAACATAAAACTTGTGTGAAACAATGCTATCTGACATATCGGGATGGGTTGATATAATAATCAGTATCTTACGTATCTGATGTTATATTATGTCTTACATTTTTTAAATATTTGATCACGCATTAAATATTTTTTATTCAAATTAAAAAGTATTATTTCGTATACAATACAACTGGCCACATTTATTTAACAGATTGCCCAGTATTATATTATCTATGCGTAAATAACTAAATTTAAGACAATTGGCAGGATTGATTTCATAAATAGAAACATTCTTTTTTTTAAAATGCATAATAATAAAATTATAAGCGCCAGCTTGGTATGTCGTAAATCTTAAATAAAGTTATGCGTTAATTCACGTTTAAAGTACACACCGGCCCGGTAGGTGGTAACACTGGTACGTCACTAGCGCCTATCGGACCTCGTTAATGCCGCGCTTACCACAATATCTGTTTACTTTTTGCTTATCGCGAAACATTCATCCGTTATGAATGTAAATTGTTGAGCGCGTGGCAGGTTAAGTAGGCATTGTCTTACTTTTATATTAAAAAAAAATAAACATTTGCTCTTTTCTTGTCGATGTATATATAGGTAACGAAAACACTTATGATACACATCACTATGCCTTCTTGTATTATTTCTATTGTTGCGTTTGTTTGTAATGGTTTTAATTTGCTATTTGAGTAGCAATCGCCACTGCGAATATAAGTAGTGTTATAAATCAAAAATTACGCATATTAAATAAGGAATACGTTGGTAGAATAAAGTGTTTCGTATAGATTTTAATTACACATTAATAAATTCATATTTAAAAGAAACATAAATATATATAATATAAAATAAATAAATATTTAATAAAGTATTAATTTCAATGAACTTCAATTTCTAGGTGTGTGAATACTATTGTAAAAACTACATATATTTTTATTTCCTTTATAAAAATGCATTGTTGCAAAAAAAATGCAAATATAGTGGTCGGATACTAATTTGTTGTTGTGTTGTCCCGTAGGAGAGCGGACAGCGCGAGGTAATCACAAACGCTGATCCTTGCACTTAATACGGCTATATGATGATATTGCACGCCATTATGAGCGGTATTGTATTTTCCCTCTGGCGAAATTCTCGTGCAGACGTTTTAGTTCCAAGCCGTATTGTTAAGAGGCGAAAGAGGCGACACTGCCTTATCTACAAACCAATCGAAAATACGACGCCCAAATCGCTTGAGTTCAATGACCTTTTCAGACTTCGTCTGCCGTAGACGCAAGCAAGCCTTTTTATTTTATTTTTTAAATTAAATTTTAAAATTTTTTGTAAAAAGAATAATCTTTTTTAAATATGGAACGCCGCCAATAATGACGTGCAATATCAGCATATGGTCGTTCATATACGCATGAATGTGACATTATTTAATCGTTGGTTAATACTATGTACACGTGTATGATTGGTCGTCAAAAGCCTTACAAGTCGTCAATTTAATTTATTTTATATTTTAGACCTTATTGAAATAGTTTTAAAACCTAATTTCTACTGTAGTCATAATTTTTGCATCGATATCAATTTGAAGAAATTTCACATTGCTGTAGACTTATTCGTAGGTACTGTATTTGTCATGATATTTATTGCGTTTAAAATTTCACTACATGTACAAAATTAGTTGAAGATTTTAGTTACACTGTCTCAATATTCGTGTACTTTAAATATTTAATAAATTGAATATTTAATTAGTTAGATAGTAGAAAACAGAACTATTTGTAGTTATAATTCCGTAAAATGTACCTTAATAAAGTTCCAAGCACTATTATTATGAAGTAGTTATTTTATTCACATTTTCGTTTCGACTCGAAACATTTAAAATAAATGTAAGTTCTCTACTCTGAAATGTATGAGTGTTATATTATATAATATTTACCATGTAGTTTTGTACAATTATGTATCAATAAAATAGCATTAGAACGTATTTTAAGTATATTCACTAGCGATTATTGTTACTTGTGAGGCTTTTGACATCAATCGAGATTGGTATTTTGCGGCTTTAAATATCTGTATGTTTATTATATACTTTGTATTGTATGTATGTAGACAACGAAACATATTTTAGTGTGCGCTTTTATACAATTAAATGGTTGTCGGGCAAATATTCAATTCCAACCTCTTTCAGCTTAATCTTGACTTATAAAATCTAGTGTATGCTGTGGGGAGTTATAATAAAACAAAAATGTCACCTATGTTTTATGTAGCACCAGGGAATTATGGACTAATTTTTGGATGGATAGGGTTTTTTTTAATTCCCGTATTGAATTTATTATATTTTTTCTTTAATTACAATCAAACTCCGTCAGAATTCGTTTGCTTACTTTTATATATTTTTGCGAAACGCTGTGCCCTATATGTTGTGATTTTGGTACCCTATGTGTAATAATAGTATCATTTGAATGCAGTCAGTATTTAGAATGTCCGAAGCATAAATTTGCCTGGATTGTAGGTACTTGTGTAAAAATATTTAAACCTTTTTGGCTTATGTACTCAGTCTATGTTAATCCAATACCTTTCTCTGTCGTTCGATGTATTTTTTAAACACTTTCTGTTTCTAGATCGTTCCAAATCTGGTGAGAATATTGAAGAATCTAATACTGGCCGGTTATTCCCCGGAGCACGACGTCAGCGGGATCTCGGATCCCTTCCTGCAGGTGAAATATTTATGGGCAATCTGTTTTATTATAATATTTGTAATTATTATTGTAGTTTAGCTATTTATGCAGCAAACTGTTAAGTGGCAACTTTTGCTAAAGAATACAGCCGCACATTTATATTAAGTGTTAAGTTTAGTTTTTAATGCACTGATGACTGTGTTACGGCCAGGCAACATTTGCACGAATGGGCAGGTCCGTCTGGGTAAGTACCACGACTTCGCAGAAGTTAATTGGTAATAACGGTTATACTTCTGCGTTTTGTCTTGTGCGTGAGGTAGCCGGGGCCCACTTTATTAAAAGTTGACCCATCTATAATCCTTCGGGTATTATAATATTGTATGTAAATGTCAATAGGCGGCGTTTATCACTTAACATCACATAAAAATAGTATGATTCGCTCTAAACGTTTAAGTTGCTCTCTAAAATTTATGAGCAACAAAAAATGTATATTGAAAATATACTGAACAAAATATATAAATAACGAACAATATAATTATTATATATAATATAATTTAAAAGAATATCGATTGAAATTTTCTCCATCTTGATGACTCCGTTGCGCAATTGCCAAGGTATTGGCTTGGCGTCGGGGTCGTGGGTTCGATTCCCACACGGGACAAATATTTGTGTGACCCGCAGATAGTTGTCTCTGGGTGTTTGTCCACGTGAAATGTATGTTTGTAAAACGTCCTTACAACACAGGATAATGTTATCCTTAAGTAAGGGCAATGTAAAAAAAAAAAAAAAAAAAAAAAGAAAAAAATTTTTTTCTCAAAATTTTTATTACGTAAAAGTACGTTTACAAAAACATGGTTCAAGATTGCATAGACATTTCACTTACTGCATATTCCATTTGGAAATTGTTAGATTACTAACTGAGCGCGCGACTCCCCCCGGCAGGTGAAGATACTCCGTCTGCTGCGGATCCTCGGGAAGAACGACGCCGAGGCATCCGAGGCGATGAACGACATCCTAGCGCAGGTGGCCACCAACACGGAGACCAGCAAGAACGTCGGCAACACGATACTGTACGAGACGGTGCTCTCTATAATGGACATCAAGTCGGAGAGCAGCCTGAGGGTGCTCGCGGTGAACATCCTCGGCCGGTTCCTGCTGAACAACGACAAGAACATCAGATACGTGGCGCTCAACACGCTGCTGAGGACGGTGCACGTGGACACGTCGGCGGTGCAGCGCCACAGGACCACAATACTCGAGTGCCTAAAGGTGAGGGGGGGGGGGGGGGGGATCGGGGGAGACTCTCCCCCCCTCTTCAAGGGGAAGGAGGGGAGAGCTCTACTTTTCGCTCCAGCGCACTTGCCCCACTTCAAGGGGAAGTAGGGGAGAGCGCAACTTTTCGCTCAAACGCACTCACCCCACTTCAAGGGGAAGTAGGGAAGAGCTCTTTATTTCACTCAAGCACACTCGCCCCTCTTCGAGGGGAAGAAGGGGAGAGCTCCACATTTCGCTCCAGCGCACTCACCCCACTTTAAGGGGAAGTAGGGAAGAACTCTTTATTTCACTCAAGCACACTCGCCCCTTTTCTAGGGGAAGAAGGGGTGAGCTCCACATTTCACTATAATTTTCAAATTAAATCTTCTTTTACAGTCTTATTTTTCATTGAATAAACTGTAGCCGCCAATGTGACTAAGGGATATTGTAACTTTACAATAAGGCAATTTTTTTAGTAGCTTAAAGATCATTAACGAACAGAAGAAGTCAACATCTAATTTTAACATTTACTTATGACTTTTAGGTTTCTGAAGAACATAATTTTTTATATGTGTATCCTTTTGTTGCACCGATAACGTATCATAAATTATCGTTGCTAATGAGACTCGTATATAGACCAAGATTTGTTCTCTCGTCACGTAGCTAGTCGGTCGGTTGGCCTCGGTTATATCGAGTGCATTTGCACCGAGACGCGATTTTTACATGGCAATTGAAGCATGATAAATCATGCGAAGCGTTGACTTATAAATGTCGCAACAATAAAATAACACTTGATATCTGATCTCGCACTCAAAACAAAATTCATCTCTTTGCAAGGGGCTTGAAGGTGCATTGTCAATAACACTGATCTGGAACGTTACTACTAAAATAAGTTCCTTAATGGGTCGGGTCGGTTAGAGAAATAACATCGTCGCGTATTTAAATTTTCTCCCTTCGTCTTGCGAGACTACAATAGATCTTCTAGGTCTTAGTACTCGTTACTTAGTACACTTAGTACTCGCCGTCATCGAAATCTATGAGGAGGACTGTATATATATATATATATATATAGATATATATATATATATATAAGCCGTGGTAGCTCAGTGTCCGGGCGCTCGCCTTTAATTCAATATACTCGAGCAACCTGCGTTCGATCCCCGGTGCCGGCACCAAAGAAGTTTTTAACTTTAAGTGCTGACTTATCACGTGTTCCGCGGTGAAGGAAAACATCGTGAGGAAACGGGCATATTTTCGAAATAATAACAAAAAAATATATATATTTCGAAGATATGTGAAGTCCGCCAATCCGCAGTGGGGCCGCGTGGTGGACTATGCCCTGATACCCTCTGTATAGAGGAGGCCTTTGCCCAGCAGTGGGACATGTATAGGCTGTTACTTTACTTTTTTTTAATATATATATATATATATATATATATATATATATACTCGTTGGGACTTACTACCTATCCCATTCCGTACAAATCGTCAATCACCGGCACCGTCTTGCTAGTAAGGCGTCAGCTCTCCAAACCATACTTGAAAACCAAGAAACAACAAACGATATTAGCCATTGAATGATGGATTGAATATTCTTTATTGCACACACAATGGTAAAAAATAAAATGCATTAAAAATAACAATTACGTAAGAGTTGTAAAATAGGCGGCCTTATCAATTAAAGCAATTTATTACAGTCGACCATTTAATGGACACAATATGTAAAGACTATTTGAGGGGTGTGAGTCAAATTCGTATAAGAAAGAAATGAAAGAAAATACATTTATTTACTAAAAAACAGGACGCATACAACAAAAGAGAAAAAAAAACTAAATGTATAAAAAAATAAAATAAAATAATACTTAAAAATAAAATAAAATAATACTTTTAAAAAATACAGTAAAGCAAAAAGACATAAATGCATTATTAAAATATAAAACAAATGAAAACTAATTTTAACAAACAAAAATTAATGTACGCCCTATTCCGGTTAATCAGGTCAGCAGCTCAGCATTATGCTGTGCCGGAAGACAAGGCCCCAACACAGCGCTCATTTTCAGTGCTAACCTTCACGCTTACTAGTAATTCGATGCCTTACTGACCCATACGTATAAGATAAATACATACTAAATATATAATATTTTTAAATGTTATTTGTAATGGAAAGTGATTAAACAGCAAGCCGATTTGGAGCGGCATATTCGCTAAGCGTAAAGCCCCATATAATTAACAGCTTAAAAACAATGTACACCGCTGTGATAGCTGAGCCGTGATAGCTCAGTGTCCGGGCGCTCGCCTTTAATTCAATATACTCGAGCAACCTGAGTTCGATCCCCGGTGCCGGCACCAATGAAGTTTTTAACTTTGAGTGCTGGTGAAGGAAAACATCGTGAGGAAACCTGCATATTTTCGAAATAATAACAAAAAAAATATATTTCGAAAATATGTGAAGTCCGCCAATCCGCAGTGGGGCCGCGTGGTGGACTATACCCTGATACCCCCTGTGCAGAGGAGGCCTTTGCCCAGCAGTGGGACATGTATAGGCTGTAACTTACACCGCTGTGACTTCCTCCACAGGACCCGGACGTGTCGATCAGGCGGCGGGCGATGGAGCTCTCGTTCGCCCTGATGAACGGCCAGAACATCCGCGCCATGATGAAGGAGCTGCTCATCTTCCTGGAGAGGTCCGACGCGGAGTTCAAGGCGCACTGCTCCAGCGCGATGGTGCTGGCGGCCGAGAGATACGCGCCCTCCAGCAAGTGGCACCTGGACACCCTGTTCCGGTTGCTGCTCAAGGTAACCTACTCCTTTAATGAATTGGTCATCTCTCCTCAGGTCAGCTATTTCCTACCGAGTGTCCTTCGCCGGATCGTATTAGTAGTAATACCAGCGGACCGCACAGAAGTTGTCTTGTATACACGACTTAAATCCGACAACTTCAAAAAAATTGTGAATCTAAACCATTTTCGAATCGACTCGAAGACACACTAAAAATTTCATTAAAATCGACTCAGCCGTTTAGGAGTTCAGTGACATACACAAGTACAGAAGAACTATATCATATCAAAATATATAAGTGATACACTTTGCGACAATTTAATATAAATATTGGAAGAGAACAAGACGAATTCTATATTATAGAATTACTACAATTTATTATAGCATTCTTACTATTACTTAGTCTCGTTTATAAGTCCGCAAGCGCAGAGTCTAGGTGTCCGTATCTTTAAGCCCCTTCAAAGGCCTCAATGATAGTTTAAGAATGTCCCAATATTAAACTATCATCGAGGCGATAAAAGCGTAAAAATTGAACGGTTCACTCTCCCGGCTTACCGTTGAACGTGACTAGCACGCGTTGGGTGAACTATGAAATTAAATTTTGAAGTTAAATTTTTAAAGACATAATAATGTTCATGATATAAATACTAGGAACAAAAATAAATTGATCCTACCCACAAGTAGACTGCGTAAAATAAGTAAATCTTTTATGGGACAATGTATACGTTACTACAACAAAATTCCAGAAAACGTTCAAAATGCATCAATAGGTAAATTTAAAAAAATAGTAAAAGAACGTTTGTGTGTTAAAGGCTACTATAATATTAATGATTATTTAAATGATAACACACTCTGGTAATGAACTGATCGCTCAAGGCTCTTTCAATTGGTGTTCTTATATTGTATTTTTAATGAATTTATGTCAAACTGATTATTTAAAAAAAAAAAAAAAAAAGCCCGCTGAGTTTCTTTCGCCGGTTCTTCTCAGTACAGTGGCTTTCTTTTCCGAACCGGTCCGGTGGTAGTGTTTTGACTATCACTAAGTGAGTGTAAATGCTCCTATTTTGAATAAAGACATTTGATTTTGATTTTATGAGCGAGTCCCCTCTCAAAGCAACACTAACCGTGTTCCAGGCGGGCAACTACCTGCGCGACGACACGGTGTCGAGCACCATCCAGATCGTGTCGGCGGCGCCGGCCGAGCGGCAGGCGTACGCCGCCATGCGCCTCTGGACCTCGCTGGAGCGCTGCGCCCTCTCGGGCGACGCCACCGAGCGGCAGCCGCTGGTGCAGGTGACGGCCCCCGCCCCTCACCCTCACGCTCGGTTTCTGAAACACCGGTCACGGTAGATGTCAACTAATCGGCTGTCAAAAAAAAAGTAAATTATCAGCCTATACACGTCCCACCGCTGGGCAAAGGCCTCTGTACAGAGGGTATCAGGGCATAGTCCACCACGCGGCCCCACTGCGGATTGGCGGACTTCATATATTTTTCTTTTTTTTATGTGAAAAGTTGTCAAACGAGCGGACGGTTCACCTGATGTTAAGTGAATACCGCCGCCCATGGGCATGTGCTACACCATAAGGTTTCAGATGCGTTGACACAACCTTTTGAAAATTGGGCCCCGGCCACCTCACTCGCCACGACGAAACGCGAAAGTATTGTATTTCCACTTTACGCCGGTTTTCTGTGAAATCTTCGAAATATTTTTTTTACAATATTATTTCGAAAATATGCAGGTTTCCTTCACAAATATGTTTTATTTCACCGCTGAGCACGTGATAATTCAGCACTTGAAATTAACAGGTTCATTGGTGCCTGCACCGGGGATCGAACTCGGGTTGCTCGAGTATATTTAATTAAAGGCGAGCGCCCGGACACTGAGCTACCACGACTCTGTCAAATGGCTTTTAAAATGTCATTTTAGTTGACAAAAGGATGGAAAAGAAACTTTTTGCATTGATCATTCTGATCGTTAATAAGGTCATTCTGATGATCCAGTGTATCAGAAGCCGGGAGTTAATCTCGTAACTGTGGTAGGGCCACGGCTATTGCACGAATGGGCAGCTCCATCCGGTGTCAAGTGGAAGTGTCCTACTTCTGCTTTTCGTCTGGTGAATGAAGCAGCCGGGGCCGACTTTATTAAAAGGTGGCAACGCCCCGGTCATCTCATGCGCCAGACGAAACTCGAAGGTATAGGGCTTCTGGTCTTCTGTGAGATTTTGGTACTTCCCCGGATGAGCCTGCCTATTCGTGCCACTGTAGATGCTGCGGGGCCCTGCCATAGATAAAACTTAAATGTATCTTTGAAGTTATACTTCGCGACACCTAAAATAGACAACCAACTTAATAAAATCTGTAAAATATTTTTCACAATGGAATTTCAAAATTATTGAAATAATTTCAGGTGGCAGCATGGACGGTGGGAGAATATGGCGACCTGTTGGTATCGGAGGCCAGTAACGCAATATCTATGGTGGACGAAGATGGAGTTGGTGAGATTTAGTTTTTTAAATGAACCTAGAAACGAAATAGCTAAAATGAACCTAGAAACGAAATAGCTAAAATGAATCTAGAAACGAAATAGCTAATATGCTTGATACTGCTGTACTAATGTTAGTAAAAATACATTTGCATTTACTGTAAGAGCTGCGATAGCTGTAGATCAATGTTTTCGCTTTTTGTTCAAATCCAGGTGGCTACACTATTAAAATTGTAGTTGAAATAATAACAAAAAAATACTTCTAAGATAAATTCTGCCATATGCAATGAGTTGCATGGTAATCTATGCCCTAATATTCTCAAGATGTTAAGGCCTTTGCCCAGCAGTGGGACTCAACTGTTACTTTATCTTTTTTGTTCATGCATTGTAAGATATTAAAGTCACCATACTTAAAAAAATTTAAAAGATCACAGTGTGCTGTGTAAAAAAATTAGAGTTTTATTTGAAGAGTATTTTTAAACCAACCTACAACTTGTAAATCGAGAATTTATTCCGCAGACGACTTCAGTCGACCTTCAGAAGAGTACGTGATCGACATCTACCAGAAGCTGCTGTGGTCGACACAGCTCTCCATCACCACCAAGGAGTACCTCCTGCTGTCTCTGGCCAAACTCTCCACCAGGTTTACCACCAGGCCCAGTCAGGAGTGAGTGATTTTTATACGACAAAAATGAGCTCGAGCTTTACTACCAGCAAACATCTCAAAACATGCTTTCATTTGTGCAGCAGTCGAGTTTTAGGTCTCTATGGCGCATCGAAGGCAGTAAAGGGAATTTTGATTGTGCAAGTCAACATGATTGATTGCATGAAAGTGGACGAGAATATTCCCCCACCATATCATATTTTGCTCAAAATGTTTCTCCTCTTTCTCTTGCCCCTATCCCACTTAGACGGCACAATATGTGTCTTCTCAATGTAATCATGTAAATGGTCAGCCCTCCTTAGGAACAAATACCAAGATCCGGAACAATTGTCTGTGGTTCACACAAATACTCGTTCCGTGTGGGATTCGAACCCATGACCCCCGGTGCCGAATCCGAGTGGCTCAGCAATTGCGCTACTGACAAGATTATTAAACTATTATTTAATAGCTGTACAAAAACTAGTCTTATAAAAAGTGTTACACTTATCTTTGTTCAATCCTCTAAGGTGCAAAGGGAGTTGTTTATATTTTATGTATTGAGTTTTATATCGCCTCGCTCAAGTGTACAGGGTTCAGCTCAGCATCACGCTCAGGTACACTATCCACTATACCTCAAGTATAGTAGATAGTGTACCTGTTCCTTGTGCCAGGTGATGTGGGTTCGATTCCTGCTCCTGAATCCTGTTAAAGTAGTGTGTGATTAAAATAGTGTTTTACTAGAATGTAGTTGTTGATAGATCTATAAAATATTTTGAATGCACTATGTTCATTTGATATTATAATTGATTTGATTGTTCGCAGCAAAATTCGCGTGATCATTGATACGTTCGGCTCGCATATACATATCGAACTGCAGCAGAGGGGAGTCGAACTGTCGCAACTCTACAGGTATATCATTTTTATCAATACAATAAATATGAGATAGTCTTTTGCGTTTTTAATTTGTCACGATCTTACCTGAAGCTGTCCTGTATAGTTTTTCCTTTGTAATGTTGAGAAGGTGGCAAGTGAAATGGCGGTGTACAGCTGAGCCACTGACATTTGCAATACCCACGGGGTTGCAGATGCTTTGCCACTGACCTTTTTAATAAAGAGTGCCCCGGCTAACTCACTCACCAGATAAAACACAAGTATAACACTTTCATTACACTATGAGGTCTTCTGTCTTCTATGAGGTTGTGGTACTTACCCGGATGGACCTGCCTATTCGTGCAACAGTAGCCCCACCATCAAAATTCATAAATATAATTTAAATATTTCCTTACCTCCACACTAATCGATTAAATGTAAATAACGGAACAATAACCGTACTAAAGTTACAAAAATAGGCACAGATACAGATACTTCCTTTAATATCAGTTTAATGTATCGCAGGACATTCAAAAACCACAACTCGCTAAGTTTTGAATATAGAACACAAGCACACACTTCTTGTAATATGTCGCGACAAACGATGCGATTGTATTGCGGGCCGTTGAACACCAAAAGCCACACGCGCCATGTAGACGTTTGTCATGTCCTCAGGCAGTACGCACACCTGCGGCCGGCGCTGCTGGAGCGGATGCCCGCGATGGAGGCGCCCTCGGCGGGGGCGCGCGACCAGCTCGACGCGGAAGCGGAGGCCGACGCGGCTGAGCTCGCGCACCACTCGCCGCCCCAGAGGGCCGACAGGCCGGAGCAGGTGAGCGCACGCGCACGCGCACGCACACACACGTACGCGTACGTGTACGCACGGGCGAGCGCACACGCACGCGCAATCAAACGCGCACGCACACATACGTAGCCAGTGATCACCAGGTACACGCACGTAGCTGCACACGCATACACGCATACGCACCCGCTGATCACTCCGCGGTGCACAACTGAGGGTTGCCACACGGGACATCTATTTGTGGGTCCACGTGAAGTAAATCGAAACAGGATAATGTTATCCTACAGGTAAGGTCCAATGTTTTCGAGGGGGTCTTCCCTACAATAGATTTTTCTATCTCGCCGTGCTCATTCGGGCTTCCAACCCCTTCCACACAAAATACAATTACAATACGCACCCACACATACGCAAAAACCCCGATGCCAAATGGAAGGTTTAAATCCTTGCACGTCTTACGTTCGTGGGTTTTCATTGTCTAGTTATAAAAATTTGGGAATTGTGTGAGTACACCGCCATGCACTTTTCTAGACTGTTTTCTGTCGACGAAACATAGTTACTTGCGCGTTCAACTGTTGCAACCAACGTTTAATCTTATAGGCCAACAACTCTTTTACAACTGTCCTGAGTAAAAGTTCTAGGGCGGCTGTGATTCATCCGTGGACACCTGCCTTTAAAAAAATATAAAAACCACCACCACAACAAAGGATTTGTTGCAGGACGCTCTTCTGGACCTGATCATCGGCTCGGAGCCGCTCTCAAATGGAGACACCGAACACGAGCCCCCAACGGCGCCCGCCAACAACGACGCCACCAGCAACGTTAGTCCCAACTAGACTCATTTTTTTTTTAAAAAAACATCTACTTGCGCACTACGAAAGATTTTCGCAGAGGTTACTTAATCTTTTACATACATTTCATAAACATTTACCTGAACAAGCAACAACCATTCATTGAGCACACCCATTTTGACCTGTTTGTCTTCTTGCACATTAGGAAAGGTTTTCGGGAATGTTACTTAACTTTTACTTACATTTCATAAAGGTGTGTACCTTTACGAGCAACCATTTTATTTAGCACACTCATTTTGATCTCATGTGTCTAGTTGTTTTGGGGGAAAATGGGGATCGAACCCGCAACACGTCACGCAATATTACTCAGCTGGACCTTTAATAACTCAAGAAATATTGGTCTATGTCCATTATTTCTACACGGTATAAATTATAATCATACATATATGATCTTCTAGTCATTCAAATACTTAGTGGCAGTAGTAAGTTCTAAATTTCTTTCCTTAAAAAAATAAATTAATTTATCATAAAACCTGTTACAATTCAACATACAAATTATCAGAATTAGCAGCGCAGAGACCTTAACTTCAATTTGTTTTTGAGACAATGTGGAATGCTTCATGGTCTCATGTCTATCCTCCTCCAAGGATATCCTGGATCTGCTGAGCGGCCTGGACCTTAGCACGCCGCAAACCGTTCCCACGCCCATCGCGAACAGCGTTCCGGCATCGAACCTCCTACTCGACGGGCTGTTCTCCACGCCGCAACCGGCGCCACCCGCCACCCAGCCAGGTGAATGCGAAACTATTTCAACTAGTGTAGGTGTAGAATTGAGATGACTGGTTAGAGTTTCTGACCGGAAAAATTAACTGTCTCAAATTATACAGCGTGTCGTTACCACCGCGACAATAAATGAACACACATATAGAGGATAACTTTTTAAAATTGTATTAAACATTTACATTCTTTAAACATTTATATTTACTGAGTTATTAAATTTTCCTAAACAAACAATTTTAGAACACCCTTACGTATAAAAGTGTAACGTAAAGTTCATTTGTAAAGGTCACAAAGCATATGAATGGGTTGAATAAATTTAAAGGAGACAAAACATACTGTTAGAAGGAGAGGCTTGTAATGCGACGCTGTGGCGCGAGTTGTATAGGATGTTACAAATTTTGTTTCTGTTTTACTTAATTAGTTTGTTTGAAAAATATTTTTTTTTTATTTATGGATTTTGTTTAACGTTAATATTTTTTTATGATTCTTGGCAAGTAGCGTTAGACGTGTGTTCATTTATTGTCGCGATGGTAACGACACGCTGTATATGTATACTTTTTGTTCAAAACAACCTGTTCAAAGTCAAAATTTCTTTATTTAATATAGGTTTATTTTAAGCTCTTATTGAACATCAAATTTCCGCGGGTTCACTAAACTATGTCTAGACAGAGAACAACCGGCAAGAAACTCTGTGGTGTCCTTATCTTAAATATTTTTATACTTTCTTGTTATTATTTACAAATATTTTATGTTAAAGTCAATAAAGGCAAATTAGTTGGTGAAGATACATAACCATTTAATATCTTTATAATTTGTACAATATAAAGAATTTAAAACCATGAAAGTTTCTATTGTATATGATGACGTGAGTTACTAAGCTAAGCAACTCATGTTAAGGGCCTTATCTTTTCTTTAACAGTAGTAAGTTTCACAAAAATCGGGTTATTACAGTTATGACTCTTTTTCCTTTTTTTTTCAAAATGTGACCATACTCTAATACCTACAAAAGATGTCCTGTTCAATGACCTGACTAATTCCAAAGGCGAAGTTTTGCGCATAACAGCCATAATGTAAGTTTATATATATATATATATATATATATATATATATATACAGCGTGTCGTTACCATCGCGACAATAAATGAACACACGTCTAACGCTACTTGCCAATAATGATAAAAAAATATTAACGTTAAACAAAATCCATAATTAAATGTTGAATATAACGTTAAAAAGTTATCCCCTATATCCGTGTTCATTTATTGTCGCGATGGTAACGACACGCTGTATATATATATATATATATATATATATATATAATTATATAATTAACGGTTGACGACCTTGTTTCTTGAGCGGATTGTTCGTGTGAGTTCGAAACAATTTTGTTTGTTTGATTGCAGAGAGCACGGTGACGGCGCTCGAGCGGAACGGGCTGCGGGTGGAGTTGGGCGTGGCGAGGGCGGGGCCGGGCGGCGGGGACACCGCCACGCTCACGATGCGGGCCGCGAACAGCGCGCGGGCCGCGCTCACCGACTTCCTCTTCCAGGCGGCCGTGCCCAGGGTGAGTTCCTACGGCCACCCCTCTGCACCATCAATACCTTCCCACCCCCCCACACCCCACAGAGTTCAATGTCCCCGAGAAAGGAACTGACACGACCAGGGTGAGTTGCTACAACTATCCCTCTTCACCATCCAATCCCTTCCCACACCCCCCACAGAGTTCAGTGTCCCCGAGGAAGGAACTGACGCGACCAGGGCGAGTTGCTAGAACAACCCACCCACATCATCACTCCCCGTGCCATAGAGTCCAATGTCACCGAGATAGGAACTGGCGTGAAGATTATAACGATGATTCAAAGTCAAAGTATATTTATTCAATATAGGCCTAACTTAATCTCTTATTGAACGTCAACAATAAATCTACCACCGGTTCACTAAACTAGACCTGCACAGAGAAGAACCGGCAAGAAACTCTGCGGTCTTGTTCTTTTGTTATTTTTTTTTTATGCAATTATACACACTTATTTAGGTATAAAATCAGCAGTAGCCAGGGGTCTTGCAAGTGCAGAGCAAGAGTCATTTCCAAACATCCTTGTCCTCAATGTATTCTTGGATATTATAGTAGGCCCTTGCCATTAAGGTAGCTTTTACAAATTGTTTGTGATGTTAATAATAATAACATGTCAACAAAGTAGGCGGTTTGATGCGTAAACTAAATACACATAGGACGTAGACGAAGGTGTTTCAATGTAGGCTCTTTACGCCGGTCTTCTGTGTGGTCGTGGTACTTAGCCGGTCATACAACAGCCGCGGCTGCTGCGTGGCCCTACCGCATTATATAGTGTTGTATATATTGTTAATAGTGCTTCAGTAACTGTAGACCTAAGGCAGCACTCAGATGTCCATCAGAACTTAGCTTGTATTAAATTCTTATTCTCTTACATGCTCATTGTCAAAACAAGGGATTTATTCCATATAAATTTTTTGCAGACATTCCGGCTGGATATGATGTCACCATCCGGCACGGTACTGACACCGCAAGGGGAGATCACGCAAGTGTTAAAAATCACCAATCCATCCAGGGTAAGACGGCGGCGGATGTCACTAAACATCAGATCAAAAAATTAACTGCGGTCTTATTTCTTTTTAGGGTTCCGTAAAAGGATAAAAGGTATTTAAAGACTAAGACTGCTATCTGTCTGTCACCAGGCTATATCTCATGAACCGTGATAGTTACAGTTGAAATTATACGGACGAATAGTACGGAACTCTTAGTGCGCGAGACCGAGTCGCACTTGGCCGGTTTTTTATTGATACGGCATTACTTTCTTTATACTTGTGTAGTATTAAAAAAAAACTCACACGTCACACTCCCCAGACCCCACTGCGGCTGCGGATACGCGTGTCGTACAACATCGAGGGCACGCCGGTGCTGGAGCAGGCGGAGGTGAACAACTTCCCGCCCGACCTGTTCAACTGACGAGTGGCCAGCCCGCCCGGCTGCTGTCTCTAGCCGCGCAACGGCCCGCTCCGCTCGCCGCTTGGGCCGCGCCGCGGCGCGAGCCACGAGCGGAGGCGGGAACGCGGCCGACGTTCGTCGTGCGACGGACGGATGCGAGAATGGTTTCAAACTCTTGACGGTTGGCGAGCTCTCGGGCCCAAATCGACTTATATCACGACCGATGAACTACGCGCGTTCTCCACGTTAGCGCTAACCCCTCACACGGAACGCACGCGGTTCCTTACACATTCTTTACTGAAGGCAGCTTTCCCCTATCTCCGTTAACAGATTCGTTTTGTATTACCAAATACCCGACGATATGGTGAGACGGCGATTTGGACAATTTTGGCTAAGCTAAAAGTAATCACGGTCGATACGTTTCTCCTCAGTTCTCAAAACTTAGTTACTGACGTGACCTGAAAAGCGTGTGGGTTTCTTTCGGTTTAAACGTTATTGATTAGGCGAGTGTAGTTCGTAGTTGTCGATAATTTTTAGGAGATTGCGTTTAACATTCCACTTTTAGATATGTTTACTAAGACATTTACCATTAAGTCTGAAAATGTTAGGGCCCAAGCTTTGTTGCGAGTTGTTGTGTGTATCGACATTTTTGTGTACAGTAAAATAAAGGTATACCATTGTCTATCGGACAATCATCCCAAATATAGTTTCGCAAGCCAATAATTGTACAGAAGTCATTTTACTACTTAATTTGATTAAAAATTTAATCCGCGAACATTATTCATGTCATATAATGTTTTAATTCCGTTGCATGCCATTTTTTAATAATTAATCAACAGGTATATTAAATATCAATATTTTAATACTTTCTTTTTTATTTAACGACGTTATATTATTGCCTTTGCTGCTGTAATGTGAAGAAAACCTTCATCAAATTTCAACAAATTTTTCTAATAAACTGCATTGGGTTATTTTTATAACGTTTCTCTGTATTTTATTGCACTGTACATAAACTGAGATTGTGAGCATGTAACATATATAGTAAGATGTAATTGAGACGGAAGGAGACTTTGTGGAAATGTACTTAACAAGACATAAATTAAATATTTGTCACTCATATGTTTATTTAAGCATGATGCACTTAAGTTTGATTTCGTAATTCTTTATATTTAATTATCGTTTTTAACTTGTAGTCATTGGTCGTAATAAATTTTATTTAAATAATATTTATTCAATATTTCAATTTAATTTAGGCTCCACAATAAACTGAAAATTTGAATTTTTCTCGAACTTTTGAAATGAAAATTTTAAAGTTGGTTTATTTCAGGTTAGGGGCTTTAAAACGCGTTTACTTTTGCTCAAGATCTCTTTAGTCATTGGCTCCAGTGATACTCTATTAAATCGTGAAATTAAAGGGTGGAGCCTGCATTAATTAGCGGCCTTATATTCCATAATATTTCTTTTAAGAGTAGTTTACTTGCATACGAGATTTTTCAATTGCTTCAAATATTAGGCGATGTTTTGTTAGTTTAGTATTGTTCCTTTTGTTATATGTTGAAAATATTTTTCCATTTTATTTGGCGTCAATGTAAATAATACTAAGGCTAACAACGTACGTCGATAATAATTATATTTCGGTAGGAATACAATGTTATATTTGATTTTTATCCCGCTTTTTTGCGTTTGGGATATTTAACATTATATTAAGTTAATTCGTCCTATTTATGTTCAAGCACTAACCGATTGATGCACATTTTATTAACATACCTTTAAACGTCCTCGCTTAATTATCGGTGGAATGTGCATAACAGTACTATTTGCCGAAATTTCATCCTTCACTGTGTAAAGAGAGCTTTGCAAAAGATTATATCGTAATTTGGTGCTTGTTTTATCATAGTATCTGATTGAATAGAAGGCCCTCCACAACGTGAGATGTTATGATTTATGTATAACTAAAGCTATGTGAAAGATGTACATAATGATAATGGTTTTATGTAAATTGGTTAATAAATATTTGAGAATGTTTATATAATCAACAATGTATTTTATTTCATTACATATTTATCTAAGATATTAAGAATTATTACCCCATTCATTATTTGTTGCATATTCAATGCATCCAAGTCTTTTATTCCAATGTTTCACAAAAACTATAGCAATACACTAGACTATTCTCTATATATATATAGTCTGTATATGTATAGTCTATAATATACAGATCCCGGGGTCTTGAGATCGACTTATATTTGTCATGACCACCAAATCATTGGCCGGTGATCACGCTTAGTGACATCTGATGAAAAAAGCGCGCAACATGTTTGACCAGCACCAGAACAAGAAGCACACTTGTACACCAAAGATAAAATTCAAAATAGTATCGCACTTTATTCAATCTGCTGACTGATGTCATAGTTGCCACAACTCCAGGATTGCTAGGTAGAGAATAAGGCAACGCAGATGTTACGACTTTTACATGGTTCAATGTTCGATCAATTGAGTGTGACTATCTACATGTACACATTATCCGGCAACGCATTTGCTAGCCATCCAGTATTGAGGTTACTTTAACATGCAGACTTGTATCTGTTTATGATTGAATTGTACTAAATTGTGTTGTCCCCAGTCTGAGACTTTGGTTTAAAAATTTATTTCTTTGGAATCTAAATAATACAAATAAATGTTTTTAAACGTTAAAGCCACCAAGCTAACAGTATACTCCACTTCACAAAAAAACATAGTATTGTTTATAAACTACACAAAGACCGGTAAATAAAAATTTGTGAAGTATTTTACCACATTTATTAAGGATATTAAGATAAAATAGAGCAACTATTTAATACAGTGCTGCTTCTACAAGGAAAATTGAAACATCTCTATCTTCTTACTTTCACGGTGACTTAGTGAGATCTCCCTCTCGTTAATATCAGTTCCATAATAATGATTGAATCTATTTCTTGCTACATAATACAAATTATTCAATCATGGGTGTAGGGGGCGCAGGTCGGCCGCTGACGCTGTTAAAAAGCCTGTCTTTGATCATCTGTGCCATAAGACCATGGATCACTTCTATGGTGGTCTTGCAGGCGTCTTTTGTTGCCTTGCTCAGTTTATCTTCAGATCGCTTCTCATGTGGGTCAGTCACCGATACTAAGAAACCACCGCGGTCTGCAAACATTTCATATTAGTTCACTACATTTAGAAATTATCAATTTGCAAAGAAAGGTAAATGGTAATCAGGTTATATAGTTTATAGTATATGTAATTGATGTAAATAATTAGTGAAATATTTCAGTAGTTTCGGAGATTATCCATTACCTAAAATTATTTCTATATAAAATAAGTAAAGATCAAAACAACCCCCTTTAATAAAATATGCAGTTATCACTTAATATTAGGTAAACCACCACCTTGTTTGCCACCTTCTTACACAGATATTTTTTTTAATAAAATTACAACTTACTGAGGAAAACTTCACTCTGCTCAAGTTTATCGGAGAGATCAAATATTTGTCCAGTTGTGTAGTCAGAATTGGTGATGAGACTAGAACTGCTCAGGGTATTAACCCAGTACTTGTTCCACAAGGAGTCAAGAAGCCTTCTGTCCAAAGATGACTTGAAGTATGACACTTCAAGTGAATAGTACTGCTTGCAATGCACACCAAAATCTTCAATCTTGTTCAGAGGAATGGTTTGGTATTCAGAAGGTTCTTCATTTGCTGGTTTATACCCCTGTAGCATGTAAGAACATACATTATGTTGTGGTACAATGTAATACTAATTCCTTTATACATTTACTCTGGCATTGTAATTCTGACAAAGAGCAATAAGGTCTACCTTGGGATAAGTTCTGAAGGCTCCAAGGCACACTTTTCCTGCAGAAATAGTTCTAACTGGGTCAATGACAATAGCCACAAAAGGCTCTTGGAAGTTTTGGTTCAGCATTTGAGTGGAAACATCAATGCCAGACAGCCAGCAGCCATAGCCAGGATGACTATGGTACCATCCAATTGCATTCTCATGTCGACCAACCTGAAAATTATAACAACTCTCTTAAAAGTCTCGGAAAAGAGGGTAAGACCGGCACAACTAGTTGTTAATAATACAAAAGTTAAATCTACTTCATATAGTAGTAAAAACAAAAATGCAAAGATGGCCCAGTGGTTGGGGCATAGGACTTTCAAGCCAATGTTTAAATTCATATTGACATTAGTCATTGATTTTAAGCTGTTTAGAATCATTGAGTGTAATTATTACTTAAACATGCTATGTCATACAGACTAACCACATATTTTGTTTGGTAAAAATAAGCTCTGAGAAGTGAAGATAGTGTTAGCTATAATATTTATCAATTATAGTCAGAGACATAATACTTATAATTACACAAGGTGTCTCAAAAGTAAGTTTTTAGTTCACTGCATCAATGCAACAAATCCGAAGGCGCGGGGGTTATGTCAATCAGTAGCCTGGCGCTTGGAAATTCAGTCACTATGGATGGAGCAGACCGCGCATTGTGCGTGCGAGAATTTTACAAAAATAGTGATTACGCGACTGCAGCGTGTAGAAGATTCTGCAGTATTCGAGGATTGGAAATGAAATTATGCGCCAAGCATTCCTCTTATACGAGACCAGTACAGTGGAGTGTTAATCAGTCTATTTGTGACAACCAGAACCTTTCAATTCAGAAGCGCACAAGTGCTTTCAATGTGCATAGATCATCATTACACCACATTTTACACAAAGACCTAAAGCTGGACCCCTATTAAATTCAATTGGTGCAAGAATTAAGGCCCCAAGATACCAGTCAAAACCATCATAAGTAATTTTACTGTTCGATCAAATGAGTGCCGCTAACTCGAGGTTCTTCATTTGGACGATATTATTTTAAAGAAATAACATTTCTTTTCGATACATGGCTTACTTTTTTTCTAATAGATCCACTTAATAAAAACTTTCTTTTGAGACACCTTGTAGTTTCGAGTCTAGGGGATACATCTCCTATAAAGACTTATTCATTAATAGTTATACCACCATTTTTTTTCCTTTCCTTGAAAGGCATAAATGCTTGCTGTGACAACTGACATATGTACCTGTTTAGCTGCCTCAATATAAGCTGTCATATACTCATAGGCTTGTGCCTGAGCATTGACTCTGGTTTCAGTACCCTCTACTGGCAAAGCAAAGGAATCCATTACTATCATAGTGTTTGCATCCACTTTACCTGCAATGTAAGTCAATATTAAAACTGAATAGTGTAGTATCTGGCCAATCATATTAGAACTGTAGAAACTTCTATTTCAAACAAGATCCCCATCGTAACCTATTACCCACTACTGTAGGCGCTCGGTACTCCAGCACATGTAGTAACTCACTTGACTTGCCCAATAATTTGGCAGTTCACACTACTGGCTAACGGATTACCAAGTGGGTGAAGGCTGTAGAAGCTCTACATCCCATACAGCGTGTCGTTACCAACGCGACAATAAATGAACACACATATAGAGGATAAATCTTTAAAATTGTATCAAAAATTCACATTCTTTAAACATCAATATTTACAGAGTTATTAAATTTTCCAAAACAAAGAATTTTAGAACACCCTTACCTATAAAAGCGTAACGTAAAGTTAATTTGTAAAGGTCACAAAGCATATGAATGGGTTGAATGAATTTAAAAGAGACAAAACATACTGTTAGAAGGAGAGGCTTATAATACGACGCTGTGGCGCGAGTTGTATAGGATGTTACAAATTTTGGTTCTTTTTATTTTAATTAGTTTGTTTGAAAAATATTGTTTTTAAATTATGGATTTTGTTTAACGTTAATATTTTTTTATGATAATTGGCAAGTAGCGTTAGATGTGTGTTCATTTACTGTCGCGATGGTAACGACACGTTGTAGATATCAGTATCCATTAGGCAGAATAAAACAATGTCTTACACATTACTTATTTACTTTAAGGAAACTAAAAGAAATTATTAAACAAATATTATGAAAGAAATTAAAATTGAAAATTTTTTATTAAGGCATCCTCTTCAAGTACATGATAATTATGTAAAGAACTTCCAATTTTATGTTTGATAAATGACTATTTATTTTCAACTCAGATTCTATGATAGTTTATGTATTCGATATATGTATATAATTTACACTTTGTATATTATAGAAGATTATTACTATAGGAGTATAGACTATAATTAGTATGGGAGTTTTAGAAGTTTAACAGTATAGGAGTATAGACGATCAATAGTATGGTAAGAGTATAGACGATTAATAGTATGTGATTAATGATAATAGGAGTAAAATTATTGAAGTTTCCTACAAAAACTTCTGTGCAGCTACATTCTGGGGAACTGGTGATAGGTTGTTGAAGTGTAAACGTGATTTGTTATTATTCTTATATCGCTAAGAAAATAATATTGTGTGCAGAGATAATGTTCCTTTTGTATTATAAAGGTTCTTTTGAAAAATTAAATTCCTTACGGATATTCTAGAATATGTTATTAATGTAATTTCTTCCTTTTTTATAAATTAAATTAAATTTTTCATAATCTTCAACTAAATACCAAAAGCCCATTATGGCAAAAGTCTAAAATGTTATGTTGAATCTAATTTACTTTAATTTATAAACTAAAATATTTTCAGTTTCTGTGTCCTCCAACATATTAAATTCATTTGCATAAATATTGTTGGTAAAATTTCAGCAGCCCACTACTTTTATATAGCAAAGAAAAATAAAAATTTAATGATAGAGAAATATAGATAGTAATACCTAAAAAATAAATCAACAAGCAGAATTGGCTAATCACTAATAGTTTTCGAGAAAAAACATAATTAAAATTTATTATTTTCACTAAAGAAAACCGCCATTAATACGCTAATAACATTAATTTTATACAAGTGGTAACTCACGTTTTTACTTTATTGGATGATATAGAGATACAGTATACTTAAAATCAAATCATAAACACATATTTTTTACTTGGCGAGCAGGCATTATCAACAATTTTTTATATTTAAGGTTTAACTTTCAAAATTAAAATCATAACAAAAACAATTCAATAATACACATTGAACACAGATTCACATACACACGACATACTACAGATAATCAATTAATTTAAGTATCGATTAATTATTATAATTTTATATTGATTATTAAATAAATTACAAAATTTTAGTAGTTTAATTAAAATTTTAAAATAAATAAATAAATTATCGCTGTTTATGGCAGGCCTTGGAGATGTCATCAGGACTTGTTATTAATTAAGATAAATTGAGTTCTACATTTATTTATCATAAAATTAGGTAAGGTTCAAAATGAGTCACAGATCCGACACAGTGCACCCCGACTCCATGTGGTCTTGTGGTCCCTACCCCTAGAGTGAACATAAAAAGGCGGAGCCAGAACCTCGCGTCGGAGGTCCTGAGACACTCAGGGGCGACATAGCGAGTGTTCTGGCGAAGCACGTGGGAGAGTCAAACTTAATAATAAAGTCATATTTTTTTATATTTCTTATATTTTTGATTTTCATTTATTGAAATTACAAAGCTTTTAAAATCTACATCTTTAATTTTTTTTTGTTGTTTTATGTAAAAAAAATATAAGAAATATTCAAAATTTATTACTTCATTGTAAAGGACTCTCCCACGTGTTTCGCCAGAACACTCGCTATGTCGCCCCTGAGTGTCGCTTCACCCACTCGGCCTTCGCTCCCCTACGGATTTCGCCGGCTCGCTTCGCTCGCCACCTCGCCCCTTCGCTACACTTGGCCTCGCGGGCTTGCGCCACTCAGGACCTCCGACGCGAGGTTCTGGCTCCGCCTTTTTATGTTCACTCTAGGGTTAGGGACCACAAGACCACATGGAGTCGGGGTGCTCTGTGTCGGATCTGTGACTCATTTGGAATGTAACTTAGTTCATTATTATCATAGATTTATAAAAATCACATATAAAACCATCAGCTTGAGTTACGTAAAGACGAATTTAATTTAAATCACTTTATAATACACAATGTTAACATTAAGGGCTTTTAACAAAACATTTTATAAAATTTGTAATCGAGTTTTGAAATTGATATTAGCATATTGGCTGTATCATTATTTTTGATGCCTAATTGTATGTCAAATTTATAACCAAAAGTATTTCCCGCTCATTTTATATTAATCAAATATGTATATACCTACATTATTGTATTAGTCTTATTTTTTTAATAAAAATTTATTCCAATCAGAATCAAATCGTTCAGTGCTTTTTAATTTTTTTTTGTGTTATCATGAATTCTTGTAAAGAAATTTGAATGTTTTAAGTGTGGCCAAGACAGTGTTTTACGGAAGGTTTTTAAATGTGAAAATGTTGACAATAGTAAAATGGCGGATTTTCTTAGTGAAAATAACAAGATTTAATTACATTTTTTCTCGAAAACTAAAGGTGACTATCCATTTTTTTTTTATTGATTACTTAGTGATATGTCTCTATAGTTATCTGTCGTTTAAATTTTTCTTTTGTATGCTATATAAAAGTAGTGGGATGCTGAAATTTTACTATATTGTTCAATGCTATGGTGGATTTTCTTAGTGTAACTAACAAGTTTTATTAGTTTATTCTATAGAAAGTAGGTGTCTTGCAATTTTTACCTAATATTTCTATTACATTTACATACATACATTTCTTTACATCACATCATACTTTTACTTTACCCAAATTATAATTAATGATGCATTAAATGTCACTAATATAGTGATTAACTAACACTTAGGCCACTTCACTTGATATTTAAAAATAAATCTTACCAAGCAATAATCCCATTACTTCCAAAGTACCCCCAGATCTCGCGTGCATGACCATTTTCAACAACGCTAGAGCAGAGATTTTAATGTCTTTGAAGAAATGAGGACTGAAACAATGATATTGACATTAAATGATAATTGTTTTCAATAATGCAGTACCATAAAAAAAATGAAGTATCTTACTCTTTTTCCCATGGTTTAGCTGCAAGAATATCTTGTTGTTGTTTTTTATCATAACGATAAATTTCATCCACACTGGAAACCGTTTCGATATTGTTAGCCATAACCCATGTCTTTTGAGCTATGTTAGATTGGGAATCGGCACTTGTTGATGCCATTTTTACCTTATTTTGTATGAAAATACTTGATTGTTTTATGCAGAGTGCCGACACTTCTTTAATAATACACAATTACAATCAGTTCAGCAAAATTAAGAATAACTTGCCCAAATGATTAAGTGGTTTTGACAGATATAAACGGATGGATCGATTTATACACTTTTGACATCTGTATTTCTGATATAGATGTCAAAAGTGTATAATCATAATCATAGAGCTCTGTCGAGAGAATACCTCCATCTCTATCTTCATCAGAAAATATTTTAATTAAAAGGAAAAGAACATTCCACACAAAAGCTGACATTCTACGGGATAATTAGACATGCTTGTGAGATTCATAGAATTTAAATAAAATTTTATATAAATATAAATGTGCCTCTGGAAAATATACAATATTGAAATTTATGAAAACCTATTTTTTATCAGCTGAATACAATCTTAGATAACAAGAATATGAAGATTAAAATATTTTTCATCATCATTATCATCACTTCCGCCTTTTTGAGTCCACTACTAAACATAGACCTCGCCCACTGCCAAGCCAAGAAGCACGATCCTGAGCTACCTACTAGGTTGTAGGTAATACTAGATAAAAACCGGCCAAGTGTGAGTAGGACAAGCGCACGAAGGGTTCCGTACACATTATCTATAAAAACGGCAAAAAAAATCAAGTCTGTTGTATGTGAGGGGCTCACATATTTAAATATTTTTTTTAACATTTATTGTGATCGTGGCAACAGAAATACATCATCTGTGAAAATTTAATGTAAATAGAGTCCCGTTTTACCCTTTGGGCACGGAACTTTAAAGTATGTACATATTACAATTGTATGTCCCATCCCATTACGACATATTAGATATATAAACGCACGAATTAAATACTAGTATATTCGCTACGAATAATACTCGCAGCGACAATTCTTTGTCTGTCTGTCACAAACAGCTAGTTCTACACGAAAATTTCGACAGTCAGTTGGTTCCCCAAACACAAATATGTCGTCTATTCAATATGCAATGCGCTGAACAGAATGGCTACCCACAGCGAAACCCCGTCGCACATACCGAACTCTCACGGTGAATGTGAATTCGTAAAGAGTAAAACTGAACATCAGTTCATATCGTGACGAATACAACTCGCAGGAAATGAATCTATTCGTAGCAAGTAGCCTGTCACACACTCAATGGCGAATGCGAGTACCCCGATTCCCGATTCGTAGTATCGCACGATACCCTTTTATGCCCGGCCAACTCTGAATCACATAACTAATTTAACGTAAGCGATAGGTCAACATCGACATGTCTTGTAACTAATTCACAATTTCGACCTTATTCCTTCATTCCTTGGTGGAGATCCCAATTTTGATTGCAATTCAAGCCGAAATTCCACCGGGGCCCTCTGGTCGTGTCGTGCCAAAGCCTAGTTACGATGCTACAAGCAGTCTTTTATTTATTCTATGAAATGGTGAATTAAGATAGGAACAAAAAATAAAAAATTGACACCTGTTTTTTACGTGACCTATATTTTTTAAATAAAAATCCAATCTTTTAAGGGCAATGATGTTTAATAATATAGATGAAACATGTTCATATTGCGCGGCGTTTAAAAACTGTTCCACTTTTATAAACGACATATTTAAGTGAATGTGATGGATGATATAGAACGTATGATACAGAAAGAGATAGCAGTCTATAGACTATAGAATTGCAATCTCATTACTCATTAATTACACCAATTGGTGTAATTTTAATGCCTCAGTTTCGGTGCGCTAGTATCATATCTACCTCGTATTTGTATATAATGTAATTGTTTTAAGGTATAGTAGTAATACAATATTTTGTATTAATAATTTTTATAGTGTTACTTTCATACTCTAGTGAATTTTAATTTCGAACGTTCACTCATACATATTATAATCTCCCGTGCAGTATATCTATCTCACTCTAAAATACGATAATCGGATAATGATTCCGCCTACTTGATAGCAGTCCGCCAATGAGGTAATTCCACATACGAATTTTCGAGAACCGTACAAAACGTCATAGCTTCGTTTGCGTTCGAGCATGTACGACGAAAAGTCGTGTTCGTGTGAAAGAATATATCAAAGAAAAGTATTCTAACAAATGCTTAAAGTGCCTAACGAAAAAGTGACAGTTATTATGCAATTTACACGATATTAAATTGATATCTTAAGGAGAGTCAGGAGTGTAAATACGAAGCAATAATGAGCACCCCAATCATCATCACCGTGCCCAACAACTACTTGGCGATTGAAGAGATGGATTCACCGGTGATGGTTGACGTTGCGTCACCATCACCATCAAGGAAAAGAAGACTTGACCATCTTACATGGGAAGAGAAAATGCAGCGGAAGTAAGTCACAGTAACTGCTTGCGTGTCGGAATTTCGATTTGTTTTCCTTTCACAAATACGGATGACTTATATTACACGACAGCAATTATTATTATTAAATAAATTCTGTTGATATAGGATAATCTTTAGATATTTAAAGAATGATGAAATGTAGCATGCGATTGCTAAATCTTTCATAATCATTAACCTATTTCTAGAACAGTCGTGCAAATCAATAACCTGGAAGGTTAATAAATGAGCACGTTAACTCTTTAGAGGTAAATAGTACTTGATGTAACATTATTTGAGTGGAAATTCCACATTTATTACAGAAATCATAAGGATTTTAATTTTAACTCCTACAGTTCGATATGTTTTGTATTTTAATGAAACACCGATTGTCTTATCTATTTTCTATTAAAAATTGTGTCTAATTTGATTGCAGGAAATTAAAAAACCGAGTGGCTGCACAGACTTCTCGTGACCGGAAGAAAGCAAAAATGGATGAAATGGAGAATCGCATAAAACATTTTATGGATGTTAATGAAAAGCTTATTAGTGAAGTTCAGAGTTTGAAGGTATAAGAACAAAGTTATTTTATTTATTTTCATTTATTTCTTCCCTTTTGGTTGTTTTTTAGGCGACACAGATACAATTTTTATGCATAAAAATGTGTCTTATGGGTAGTTTTTCATTAAAGAATATTGTTTTTAGGCATTGAATGAGCGTTTGTTGAGCGAGAATGCACAACTGCGCAGTGAGGCGGCGGCTCGCACCGTCGCGGGAACCCCGGGACCAGCAGCGTCTCAGCCTCAGCAGAAGGACGGGTTCCCGCCGGCGATGCGAGCGGCGCGCCTACTGCTGGCGATGTGCCTCTTGCAGACATCCTCGCACACCTCGACTCTGACGAGTACCTCGACACCCTCCATCAACTTGCAAACTCCCTCCTCGAAGAGATTGATGCAAGTGCTGCAGGAGCGGCTCAAGATGTAAGCTTAAATAAATATATTATCCTTATCTATAACAATGAATTGATTTAATATCAGAAATAATAAATATTTAAGATGATAACTATTTAGTAAATGTCTTGTGAAGTTGTAGTCTTGTTAAGTAGTTACTTTAGTTTAAATGTAAATTCATGCTAATTGATGTACTGATTTTATGTAAATATTATTGGCCAATACTTACATGGCCCTAGAATGTGAAGGATGATGCAATCTGTATTAGGGATTACTTAAATGATTATTTTTAAAATCACTTGAATTGTTTCATGCATTTAATAGCATAAAAACTGTTTTCAATGCGTTTAATTAACTGAAAGTGAGCTTCATGCGTCGCTATTATATTTCTTATATAAAATTGTGGTAGTTTCTCGTTTTTTATTTCATTGGTCTAATTTTTACTGTTTTTATAGGTCACAAACAGGGAAGCTAGAGAGTGCATTGAAAGAGCTGCAGAGGGAGAAGTGGTGGGGCCCACAGCAAAGCAACTGGAATCCAGTAAAGGTGGATGCATAGAAGATGGTACAGAATACAAAAGCGAAATTGACTTCAAACATGATGTAGACAGGATAATGTCACAGCACTCTTATGCACATCCCCATCCAGACATTGTGATCACTGAACCGAAGTATGAAGAACTTCAAATAAAAGAAGAGGACAACTGGGATAAAGGAGACATGTTCTTTACTAGTGTTGATGAAGCAAATGATTGCATCACTATTGAAGTTCCATGTGAGGATCAAATAGTGGAGGAGATTCCTTTAGCCAGTACTGATATAGACTTGCTAACCCTGACTAATAATTGTTCTGATATAACATTAGAATGTGACATGAAGCTGTTATCACCAATGAATCTGTCGCCAAATCCAGATGAAAACCTGTTGGGGGTTTCCCCGTCACATACAAGCTTAAGCTCGGACTTAGGCTATGAGTCATTGGCGTCTCCACTTAGTGAACCAGAGTCTATGGACTTGTCAGACTTTTGGTGTGAATCATTCTCAGAGTTGTTTCCTGGTTTAACTTAAGCAGGATGCAATCTGCATACTATTCACTCCATGAGACTGATTAGTTATTAAGTAAAAATTGTAATTACAATCACATTTATGCTAAATCAAGTGCTTAAGTTAAAGTTTCAAATGTGACATATATTATCTATATTAGTTATTTATGAATAAGTTATTCTTTATATTCACAATGTTTGTGAAGAGAAATGTACATAATTGAGTGCTGTACATAATAAAATATTTCTTCTTTCGTCAATGAGTTTTTATTTTCGTTTTCAATGACTGACTTACTATTCATTAGTTCTTTAATAAGATTACGTAATGTCTGGAGATAGCGGCAGTCGTCCAGGTTTACGTTGCTTTGATAGCACCTTGCAAAATGGGGATTAATTTGTTTTGTACAGCCAGAAGTTTTTCATGTATGTTTAGAGAACTTGCACAAAGACATGCGTAGGACAGTGCGGGCTGGGCGCGAAGAAGAGTTTATGTTTTGAAAGACATTTTGATCAAGGAGTTGAAAGATACCTACTGAAGTAGGCTTGAAACGAGCTTATATTTGTTTTTTATATTATTTATGTGGATGAGGAGCATCGTCATCCAAATGTGGTAGGGCTACGTATAAGTTCGGTGTTGCACGAATGGGCAGTTCCGTTGGGGTAACACGAACTCGCAGAAGACCGGCGTGAAATGGAAGCGTTATACGTTTCGTCTGGCGAGTGAGGAAGCCAAGTATACTTTATTAAAGACATTATTGCAACGCACCGGCAACCCTACGGGTGTTAAAAATGTCGATGGGCGGCGACTCTCTCTTAACAACAGGTGAACCTTCTCACATTTAAGAAATAATACTATTGATATCTTTCCCAAAGATATGGTTAATAATAAAGGGGAAGAGTTATTTGCCCTTTTTGGGGACACTTAACAGTTTACGATGTTCACGGAAGAGCAGCGAGAAGTAGAAGCGCATTACGTATGTGTTTCTGATGATTGGGTAACGGGAGACCGCTTTTAAAGATTGCAAAAGCATCTGTAACCTCCCAGAAGTTGTAGATAAACATGGACGGCTGCCCGTCTGCCAACTGTTCACATAAAAAACTACCTGTTCTACTGACCATCAACTGAGTGGAAGAACTGACTCTAACATCGCCTCGTGGTAAATATTATGTACCGTAAGCTGGAAGTTTATCGGACAGTATCGTCTGCGAAAAGTAGGAGTTAAACGTAGTTTTAAATTTCCTTTGAAATAGCCCTAGTGATAGAGAGAAATTTTATTTGACGAACCTGAGTGGAGGGTCTAAGAGGATTCTCGAATATCTAGTTTTATTGTATTAAGTTTGAATAGCTTTTAAAGACAGGCCAGCCACTTTACCAGACTTTGTGCAATGTATACATTTTTGACATAATAATAATCAGTATTATAATAGCTATGACAGTATTTGATATTACAAGGTTAGCTACGCTACTAAAATCTGAGGTCAATGACCGTTATATGTATTGAACTAGGCAGCAATTGCCAACAGTTATGCAGGAACAGCGGTAACCGCTACGTGCTAAAGAGGAAAATTACGAATACCGTGTGAATAGTAAGGTAATGGAGTGAACAGACGGAATAGACTTGATGCAGATCCTTGCGCTAGTTGTTTTTTCTGTTTGTTAGATACAAACGTATTTTCGAAGTAAAGTCCAAGGAGAGTAGTTCCACAACAATTATAAAACAGAGCACATTTAATGAATTATCAATAAAACGTTTGTTTTCATTATATAGGTATATTTAGGGTATGTTTTATTTTTGTTTCCCCTAACTACGATTGCTATATCAGTAGGATTGCATAATAAAACGTTTACTCTGCGATTCTACTGCGACTATATGGAGACTCTGCAAAATTACAAAGGCGATGTCCTATTATATGCGTCACAATAATCTTTTGTAGGGATATATGTAGATATAAAAAGAATAATATACAATTTAAGTGGCTGCGCACACTAATTATATACGTAGGAATTGACTGGGTAACGGGACACATTTAAGAGTGAGAGCATTGAATAAATATTAAATTGTATCCTATAGTATACGAATGAAGCGTATTTATCGTAATAGGTAATTATAACAGGTATCTTGAGACAACAGATTATTGAACGAACAAACCTAAATAAAAGCTACTGTTCCACACAAAATGTTCCTTAACGCGCTGGCACAAGCTTTTCTGTATTCTTGCTTACGACTGTTACCATAGTTAGAAAAAGATAAAAACTGTTATATCCTGTGTCTATGCTAACAGTGACATACGTTGTCACAACATAGTATGAAATGACAGGCTGTTATTTTGTAACAATAACAGGTATTTGTCACTGTTACTATTAAGTCACAGGAACAGACGTAACTCGTACTACAGTAGGCTGCAAAACAATGACCTCAATTCCGAGAACAGTCACATCACAGCCAAAGCCCAACATGAAAAAATTCCATTATTACAAAACGTTAACGTTGCAATTTTATACAAGGTGTGAATTTAAATTGAATTGGGTCTAATCAAAAAAGAAAAAAAAATTGCTTAAATGTAAATTTACTTGTATTTTAAAGTAAAAAAAAAAAATATTAAATAATTGTAACTGAAAATAAATCGCTGAAATTTGCAAATCCATTTGCCGATAATCATATCGTCATGATTGCACTCGAGTCATATTATACTTCATTCAAAATGTTTTTTTCATTTTCTCATTCCGTGACAAAGGTGTAGCAGAACTTGACTTTCAAAACCAAGGAATTGTAGAGCAGTCATAAAAATATTATCACAAGCTACATATGGAGACTTTCAACTCGCTGACAACTTGTCGAAATTTTCAATTATGCGAATTTGATAATAACATCATACCGATAAACTTTTTTAGTAATTTAAGTATTGTAATTTTTTTGTCCTTGCATTAATTTCCAGTTTAATGTCAGTCAACTTTGGTTCTGAAGAACAAAAATAATATTTAAAGTAACCATGATTTTAGGCAAGTAATCATGTTTACTATGACAAAACGTTATAAAAATCTCGATTATCTTATCGCCAAAATAATACCTAGACAACAGATATACATATATAAAACTAATGTCACTAATTAATCTCAACTGATAATACATCAATGGCACAATGTTTCATAACAAAATTTCAGTTTTTCATGCAGCTTTAAATAATGTAAGCGTTTGTATTTAGTACTAGCGGCGTTACTAATTGTAATGAATACTTGATTACGTAAAGTTACATAATCAATACAAAAGATCAAAATTCACTGTATGTTTACCATTTACGATATCATTAAAGATAAATGATACTTTTTTTTGTAGTTGTTGGCCAAAATGTTCTTGAACATGATAACGTAAATGAAATTATTATGCTTATATATATTATAAAAAATAATCTCATATTTTTAAGAGACAATTTTGCGCTGCAATTTCTTGAGTTTCTTGAGTACAGAAAATAGCACTAAATATGAAATATAATATTGTATTTTTTTTTATGTGAAAGTTGCCAAACGAGCAGACTGTTCACCTGATGGTAAGTGAATACCGCCGCCCATGGACATCTGCTACACCCGAGGGTTACAGATGCGTTGACAACCTTTTGAAGATTGGGCTCCGGCTACCTCACTCACCAGACGAAACGCGAAAGTATTTGTTATACTTCCACTTTACGCCGGTCTTCTGTGAGGTCGTGGTACTATGTATAATATATGTATATATATATATATATATATATGTATAATATATGTATATATATATATATATATAATATTGTATAATGTATAATATAATATGTTTCTTTCGAGTGAAACCTATTATTAAAAACTGCTGCAGAATATCATCAGTTCATCTCTACACTCAAGATAAACCCGGCCTTAATTGCGATACCTTAGTTACGGTGTCATAATTAAGGTGTCGTTAACTCTCATGACTATTTATTAACAGAAAAAAGTTGTATAAGCTATTCTACTTTTTTCTGTTTAAAAATAAAATGCATATGCTTAAATAATGCAATATATAATAAAATAAAAAAAATTTCTAGTATAAAATGTTGATGATATTTTATTCAGACGTTATACGCCAAAATAATTGCACTAAACGCAACTCAAATTACCGTGAATACTATTAAGAACGACACGACACATTAACGAGTGACTATCTGAATGTTTTCTTCTACTTCTAATGAATAACATACTAGGATGGTATTTATTATTTAAATTTTTGGTTTATACTGCTGTGTACATACCTATTTAGTTTCATGCCTTTGGTTATATTTTTTGTCAATTGTTAACATAATTATACTACTTATTGAAACTAAATAAATATTCAATATTCATCCAATCATTCATTCATTCATTCAATTTCGGGCAAAGAGTTCGCTTTCATATTGCCAATAGATATTGACCATTTAACCATATCATAGAGAGGATTAGCTTAGAAAAGAAACGTTGCCCAAAAAAAAAAAACATTAAATATATTTGTTAAAATATTACAGATTCAATAAAATCATATATCTTAAATTACATACATAACTATCACGACTTAACTGTCAGTTTTACACGTGGTACACTTAAACCACAGTCAGTATAATAGAAAAAAAATATAATGAAGGCGGCCTATTAACAATATATTTCTTATTTTTATTTTATGTAGACAAATGTCACGTTTTTATACACATTACAAACAAACGACAAAATTTATTTCTTCTTTAAACATATGATGAGAGTAATTATTGTATTTTTTTAACTATGGACAAACACCTAGTCTTATTGAACATCGAATAAAAAGGGTAAATCGTTTTTACAACATTGGATCAAAAATATTACATAGAATTCATTTGTACTTATTTTTTATAGAAATTTCGAGAAACGGCGAGTAGTTTCTGCATGATAATTAATATTGTTCGTGCACTGTAGTAAACGATTTGGCACACGCGCCTAACGAACTAAACATGCGATAACGATAATTGGCTTGAATAGAAAAAAAACTGCAACTTGCAATCAACATGAGGCCTTTACGGGCCATTATAACGCTAATGGAAGAAATTGTTAACTTAAAGCCTACACAGTTAATTTTAACGAAGCATAGAACATAAAACGCGCTTAAAATAAACTATCGCCTAATATAACATCGTAAAATAATGTAACGGTACTACCAAAAATTGACTATATTCATTATTTATTGATAACTTCTCATATTTTCTCATTTATTAATAACTCAATGAACACAACAAACATATTAATCTGAAAAAGTTTTTATTTACTATGATAATTATACTTTTTTTGTATACAAATACGGAAATCTATAATGTATACACATTCTTTAAATTTTTTGTTCGATTAATATTTTATGTATTAAAAATAAAATTATAAATGTGCGAAGCGGAATATAATATTTAATTTTTTTTATATCAATAGCATTTTTATTTAATCTCTACATAGATTTTATATTTGTGGTAGTACCGAGTCAACAATCTCATAGAGTAATCACAAACATCGAACAAATGTCTCTGACATATCCGACAAAGAAAACAGCTCGAAATCCAAATGATTTTAGAAATCCTTTCTACTTTTGGAGTAATTTCTTGTTACAACACTACTTTTTTCTTCATCACACGCACCATTTAATTACAGTTAACTACATATTATAGTATTATCAAAGTGACCTATTAATATTTCTTATTTTAAATATAATAAATACTAACATTATTTTAAGGCTTTTACGAAGGGGTTTAGTTAAACTTTGAGCGGCAGGTTAATACAGTCAACGGTAGAAAAAAATAACAAAACTCGGAAAATAATAAATATGATTTAACTACAGGTTAATAACTGCACCAAAAATTTGTAATCAGTTAGTCAAATGGTTGCGCAAATAAAAAAAATATCGACGTTAAGAATAGAAGTTAATACAAGCCAATGCGCTCGAAAGCATAATAGAAAAGAATTTGTACGTACGCAATTGAACTCGACAGTTTGCGTTACAGCATTGAAATTTGAAGAGGGAAGCAAAAAAAAATAAACACGTTAATGTGCAATTTTGTAGAAAGTTAGTTTCCACACGTTAAATTAAAACAAAATAATATCAAAATCTGCAAAAAAAAAAAAACAATCACTTTCGCGCGCATAAACAGCTGTGATGTCATCGCCGGTCATAGACCGGGCCGGATACAGACAACGAATGCGAAGAAAAAGCAAAAAAGGCAAAGGCGCCGTTGGCTCAGCCGAAGAGCTTGTCGAAGCAGGCGTGGCAGTAGGGCTTGTCGTTCTGCTCCTTGAACGTGCCCTTGTTCAGTTGGCGCAGGCAGAATGCGCACACGAAGTGCTCCGGGTGGAACTTGCGGAACATCGCCGTGATGCAGCGGCCCGCTATCGGCTTGTGGCAGCCGGCGCAGAGCGAGCCTCTCTTGCCGTGGTAGTGCGTCTCGCAGTAGGGCTGCCCCTCGTGCTCGAAGAACGAGCCGCCGTGGAACGGCTCGCGGCACTCCTGGAAGAACGGCCGCCCGGTCAGTTGCCTCGCTTTCGCAATGTTTTATCGCTTACAACGAGCTTCGCTCAGGCGAGCAAGTAGGCGAATAGAAAAGAAAAAGAGTACTGTTTCTACATCGGAAGGATAATACATCAAAAGTGCAGAAGTGGTAGCTATAATAAATTAAACGTAACAGGAGGAATAGTGCCTATTTTTCAAATTAGATGAAATAGACGGATAAAACTTAATCGTTATATATATTATTCTTCTGTACGTCTGTATGTCACTGCACTCCGCCTAAACGGCTGGACCGATTTTAATGAAAATATTTTTTTTGTGTGTGTGATGTGTGATTCGAGAATAGTATAGATTCATAATTCATTTTTTGTTTGTTTTTTTTATTTTTATTTATAAGTTTTTGTCAGATTTAAGACGTGTGTACTGAACAACGTCTGTCGGCTCCGCTAGTACCTTATATTATAACATATTATCTACTTTTTGCTTAATACAATTAAATTCTGGTAGTGATAAAAACCTTTCAGACATTTTATGCACAGATTTTTAGACGATTTAAATTAAAAACAAAAGAAATATTTTTCTATTAACTTCATAATTGAGAGACTGATTGGTATCCCGAGTTAATGATTAATATATATGAATTTTAGATCTACTAATTTGTATAGATTAGTAGACGTAAGGTAACATATGTATGAAACACGGCTGGGAAGGTGGAGGAACTTTCTGGTACAGAAGGTATCTAATTCTATATGTGCTATTCCCGCCTCGCGACCTCACTTCGAATTGATCTATAGTTTGAAAAACTCTTTTTTCAAATATTTCAATATCATTAGCAGAAATAATAAAATACAATATTTTAAGTGTTTATTTCAAAAATTATAAAAACTACGTTCGACCCATAAACGTCTTTTACTATGTCCTTGTAATCATTCATACTACTAATATTATTCTTTCTTTATTCAGGCCATCCCCTGATGAAGAATGCTGAAATCAGGATGGCCAAGAGTAGCATTCTTTTTGAAGTAAATTTCGTGAGCATTTAAGTTAACAATAACTGTCAGCAGAATCAGTTTACCGTTAATATAGGTTGTTTATGTTATATATTAGATATATAGTATTTATTATTTATTGTAATGTACTATAGTGTGTGTGGTGGAAAATACCATTGACATTAAGTCTGCCTTTGTACAAGGCTGTGCAAGAAGTTTAAATAAATAAATATCTAAAAATCATCAATCAATAGTAGATAATCATAAGAACTGAATGATTACAAAAAAAATTTATAATGAGGGATTCTCACGGGTAACATGAATATCATCTATGCGAGTTTATTATAGAAATAGACGTGGATCTTACGGGACTCATGACCCCCCCAAAACTGCATCATTAAAGAGTCCGTTGCACCATGATTTGTAATCTTACAATGAGATGACAACGAAAAATTTACAGTTTTTAGTTATGGTGTAACGACTTACTCCCTTTACTCACTTCCTTTAACTTAAATTACCTCTGCATTCTATTAAACCTATGTGTTCATTAAAAAAAATAACGTATTAATCCGTAATTACGGTAATAAAAAATTAATTTAGAATAATTAGTATTACCAAATTATAAGTTAACAGTCAAAAAACCATGTATGTATATATATTTAGCAGGATAGAGGTTATTATGACAATAACTAATCGTCTTCGTAAAATTTTAATTTTATTTAACATTGGATTGGCACTCTACCAAGATCCCAATACTGTTTACTTTATTGTTACATTTCTTTTTTATTTGATTAAAAACTATCTAAAATATAATATTCATTCACTCTGTGATCTACCTTAAACTTTACTTTTTTGTGTAATAAGATACTCGACCTTAGGGATACGCCTACAGCCAAAATGTGTTTGAGTTTACTATTACACTCCTCACTTATCAAACTATTGTAGTTATGTTACATTAAATGTTGTTTTTTCCTTTGCATTTTTACACTTTTTTCCTCATTGGCTTGAATAGGCACGTAATTTAAAAGTAATACTAAAATTAATTAATATGTCCATCGTTTCTGTCAGATTGAGAATCGATACTAATTGATTGCGGGCAAATCGATAAATATACTATCCGATCTGATAGCCCACACGGTGGCCTAAATCCCGGTTGCGGACGCGCTTGACGACACTAGCGACGTCTATACATAGAACGGTGGAAACCTTACACTACGCCAGTGACCCGACCGTATTTGCGACATTTTTTCTATTCGCAACTATCGCCACCAAAACGATACGAGGTCAATGCCGCAGACGGTCGCGGCCTTGACGGCGACGAACGGTGACCTTTAACCGGTCAACGCGTCACGCGAAAGCCCGCGCTTTTCGAATGTCATCATCTGTCATTTTTGTGTTGTTTTTTTTATTTTAATTTTTTCATCTTTTTTTTTATTCATCTTTATTATAAATCTTAACATTACATATACGTTATAAAATAAATTATATAATTTATTATCGCCTATTTAAGTACACTAGACTAGTTTCTGTTATTTTTTTTTGCGTTTGAGTAACATCCGTGTGTGTGTGTATTGAGACATCCATCGTTCCGCCATTGTGGCGGAGGCATAGCTGTAAGAGAAATTTTTGGGGAGGGCATTCGTTTCAGAGAGAGGGTTTTTGTTTCATTCCTTATTCATCTTCATCCACTCCGACGCATTTGGGGCATACCGGCTTCCCTTCCATGGCGTAGAAGGACTTCCCCTTTACGGGGTTTTGGCATTCCTGTGTAACCGAAACCTGAAGTTACCTTTCGCATATAAACTTCATCAGTTGACATTAGAAAGTTCTATACTATGTTTATACTTGACCTGGCGTGGAACCTTCGCTGAAAACATTAACTATACTTTACCTGTCATATAACTGCAAATGCATCGGGTGTACGGGCAGAACCTGACAATTAAGACTGGTACGAACCTTGCAGACGAAACAATCTGGATGCCATTGGGTGTTCAGGGCGGAGATGTAGTTCTCCATTATCGGTTTGCTACAGCCGCCGCATTTGGGCGCGAACATGTCAAAGTAATCCGCGCGGCAGTAGGGCTTGCCGTCCCTCTCGTGGAAGCCGTCCTCGCCGAACTGCTGGCCGCATTGGGCGCAGAAGAAGTGCTCCGTGTGCCAAGTCTTCTCGAGCGCGGTGACGCATTTCTGTGAACAGACGCGACAGGACCTATCAAATGGATTAAGCTAGAGAACTATCGGCCTAGACAGCGCTGGTGTAAAGAGGAACCGTTCGGAGTGGAGCTTGGGAACTAACGTCGAGGATGGGCCCGTTGCAGTACGCGCATCGCGGCGAGAACAGATTGTGGTAGTCCGGCTCGCAGTAGGGCCTTCCGTCGCGCTCGAAGAAGTTCCTGGTGCCCAGCTCCTGGTTGCAGTGGGCGCACGTGAAGTGCTCCGGGTGCCACGTGCGGCCCAGGGCGGTGATCACCTGCGCAGACCAACAGACTAGTTAAGGACGCGCCGATGCGGACACCAAAACGAGGAAGCGCCCGGTCCAAAAATCCAGGTTCGAGGGGATCTCGGGCTTCCACCACCTGTCCAACGATGGGCTTCTCGCAGGCATTGCAGCACCCCTTCTGCGGGGTTTGCACTCCTTGGCGGCTCATGTCTGCCCGGAGGGATCCGAGCATGTGCTCCAAAGAAGCTGACTCCGCCTGGCGCGGGTTGCTGCGGTACTGCTCCTGCCACGCGCGCTTCTCCCGGTAAACGTGGGCGCCGCTCTCCGTCGGTGTGCCGCTCACCTGAAGAGGGAACAAATCAATCACCGTCCCTTAGAGCCTCGACGGGATCGAGGGGCGACCCGTGTGTCAAGTGCATGCAAACGGCGTCGACGTACGGAAAGGTAAACCGGCCGCTCGTAGAGGACTGGGGCGAATGCGGTCCGAGTGAAATCTTTGACTATGTACTCTAATATTATATGCTCGCGGCCCCACTACGCCTGTGATGTAACCGCGCGCACTATCTTTAGACGCGAGAGTTGGGGCGCGCGAGCGAGAGGGATAGAGACGGCGGCGCTGGAGTGGCCCGCTCCCGCGGCTGGAAATAGACGTCGACCAAGAAAGGCGACTTGTAAATATTATAATGAACGGAAAAGCGGCTGCTCAGTGGTGCAGTGTGCCGAGGACACGGTTGCAAGCGATTTTGGACTCTAAAGCCACGGGAGCAGCATGGGGATTCTTCCCAAGGTTCGCGCGCCGGCCTTGCCATTGTCCTAATTAGAAACGGGGCCCGTCACACTCAACTTAGTGACGCTAAGATTGTATAGCGCCGTTAGTGGAGTCGGGTTTATCTTTATTTCTGCCCTGCTACGTCATCCTTACATTGACTGTGACTCACTAGAATGTGTATACAGCATCGTAAATATACTACTTTAAAGTAAATAGACGGGAGCTGAGTAAATAAAATGTACGATTTACGAACGCAATTCAGGTTAAGCTAGGTCGACGAGTATTATTCGCCTGATGTAACATACCAAGTCATAATAACGGGTTAAGTATCGTTCTGGCAGCTGTCGCCGGCCTTGTACTGGGGATATTTGTCACCCAATTAAACGCTGTTACACATAAATCAATGGAAACACTGTAGCGGCTTGGGTAAACAATATAATGTCAAACCTATTTCACGATCGGAGAGACATGTTTACCAAAACCTTTCGTTCAGAGACTATTTTCAGGTTGATAAATAAAGTCATTATTACATACATGATCCAAAACATATCACAATATCACTACAATGGTTATCATTTCAATTTATAGTTACGTCGAATATTTAATAATATAAGAATTGAAATCGTCCACAAACAATATTGCTATTGCAAATCGGATTTACAGAACAATCTTTAAATAAAATAGTACAGGCGATGGCAGTGTGTATAGCAACGATTGTTATCGAAATCAAGAAAATTGGTTTTACCTTGAAATCTGAGAGTGACGCCATGAGATCATCGAGTTCCTTAGTGGCGCTGGATGCATGGTGATGGTGGCGAGCCGCGATTGTGGGCGGCGGCTGCTGTTGGGCCTGGCCGGCTCTACCACCGTCTCTTGGACGGTCACCGTCACCTGCTTGGTGCCGGGTCGGGGCAGAGTGCCCGACGCCGGTGGAACTGGCGACGTGGAGGCGCGGCTGTGCGATGAATCAATGATAATTCCATTGGACGTTAGGCAAAGACCGCGGGCTCGGAGGAGACAGGAGTAAACTTGAAGTACTCAAATTAAATTCAAAGACATTCTGGTATGGTTTATCAACCATCGATTGGAGATAATCATTTACCATTCTTATTAGGCACCTAAAAAAAACATTTTCGCATTGCCGATAGGTAGGTCAAACACCAACACGCGATGACGGTTGAGCTTGTCCTATGTCGAAAGTGTTATTATTTTTAGTCGGTTTTATATGTGAATAATAGTTTTATCGTTATTTTTTGCCACATGAACATCTAAGGGTTTTTTTTCGAATTTTAGGTAATTATACCCACCATGATTTCAACAACTAAATAATGTCAAAGTTTGGGTAAGAGTGAAACAAATAATTTCTATCTCCGGTGACAGTTTTTATACACAAATAGCGGAAGAACATTTTTAAGGTTCCGTCAAGGCTCCTTGATCGTTACTCGACGAGAGACATGTTGTCAAAGCGTAGAAAAAATTAACACGCCATCTTGAAACGGAACACGTGCTGTCAAACAATTAAAATTGGCGCCAATTCAAACAACGCTACGTCTGTCGCGCGACAGTCCAAAACAAAAGCTGACGTCAGAGTTGTGGTGATGTGTGCAAAACACAGCCAGTTGGTCGTGTTCGGAAATATTACAATCACGAATTTAGCGGATTACGGATTGCTAGTCGTCGAGCGATAAATTTTTTCACCATGATATTGTAAATTCGTGAACTATTTCTATTGGTACTTCTTACGAAAATTATACATGATAGTGATCCTTCAAATGAAAATTATACTTTATCTATAATAAAAAGAAAACGACCCCACAGCATGCTGAATCGATCAGTAATTTGATTATTCTTAATTATTTTCTTTATGTTGACAATTAACAAACTAGTGTAAAACCTTTGTCACCGACTATTGTGTCAACTCTAACTTTAACAGCCGAGGACGCAGGAAACATTCATCGTGGATAATCACCATTCGTAGAATAAGCAAATGAATTTATCAAGTAAGTAACAGGTGCATTGCTAACACCCATTGTCCGTGCCAAAGGGGAGGTTCGTATCCTTCAAATGATTAATGGTACAGATTAAAGTTTGGTATATTTGGTTGATCGTGGGTCGAGTTTTATTCATTTTTTTTAATATATAATTTAAAAAAATCTAAATATTTTTATATGGCTCGTTGAAAACAGTTTTTTTTTAATTGAAAGAGCACTTATTAACAGAATGAAACCGACATTTTTGTAAGCTTCTGTGGCTATTTCTATTTACGCAGGTTATAATATTTTCTTTCGCTTATAAAGTGAAATTCACAATTATTTGTATATTATTCTACGGTACTTTTTATTTAATGCTATGAAAAGCACTTATTGCACATAAGTACTTTTCATGCACACTCTTGAACTAGACATAGTTCTCAGAAGAAGGCGATCAACAAGACCAAAAAATTTTACAATGTAATACACATAGCTTGGGAGGATGTCGTAAATCATAGCTCATGAATGCCCGAATCGTAAACATAGCCCTTGAATTAAAAATAAATCTACACTAATGAACAAGATAAAAATTACCATGGAGAATGATTTGACTTATCGATTACCTAACTCATGTATGTTTTTGCAAATCATTTATTTAGCGAATAAATAATTGAATAAGATCTTATTGTATCTATTATGAAAGAGGACCTTTTGCAGTCTATGCAAAAAAGCAACATTTCAGGAGCGAGGGTATTTAACTATTTAAGATTTATTTCTGTTATACAGCTGTCTGACGTGCATTGATGCGAGATTGTTTAATCCGTTACGACGGGAATTTCGTGTTTATACAAGCGTCTTTAAAATTAATAAAATGTATATACGATATAAGATACATGATATTTATGTCTGATGCTTTAGAGCCAAGTTATTTTTCACAATAAAAACATCATAAATATTGGAAAGAGATTCACTAAAATTTTGGAGCCAATTGTAATTTTTTAACTTATGGAACTGTATTATGTCTGTCGAACATAGGTAGAATTTTACTCGATTTAAGTTATCAGTTACATGTCATATTTGATGATCGTGCTAAAATAGCAGTAAAAATTTTGGCTTTTTAAGGCTGCTAGAGTTGTGAAGAGAGTGACTCTGCCGATTGAAGCATTACGCATTAAACAAAAAAGTAAAAAACTTTGCCGATGCATAATACAGTTCTAAAACTCAAATGTATATTATATGAGACATACCTCAATTATTTATTAAAATGGGTAGCAAAAATGCCTTTCGTGTAGATGCATGTAAGTGTTACTGAAAACGATTATACAAGTTAACATTATGACATATTTTATGAAGTATTTCCATATTCTTTGAAAGATGATATCAGAAAATAAAAACACTATTAAATATATAAAACAATATTAAACATTGGAGTCGACCGTGGGAATGAGAGTTCTGCAATGGCAAATGTTTAAACTCTCACGGTGCTCGATTTAATTCAGAGTAAATAAATATTTACGTGGTGGACTCTGCCCTGATAACCTCTGAACTGACGAGGCCTTTGCCCAGCAGTGGAGCATATATAGGTTGATACTTCAAGTTACTTTTAAATCAATATAAAATTTGTAAAAAGTTTACAATTACTAACATTTTTTTGGCATTGTGCAAAATCAAACTATTATTTATGTAATAACCCTTTTCCTAACTAATAGTGGTCGGTACATGTGATCAAGTGAACCACTTTGTTAATAGTATAGCGAGGTTAATTAAGATCGATCTTTCGTATGAACAAACACCCAGATCCAGAAGAATTATCTGTGAGCATACAAAATGTTTGTCCCGTGTGGGACACTAACCCCCGGAGCCGAAGCCTATAGCTCAGTAACCGCGCGACACTAAAAACAATTAAATCTAAATTCTCTATAGCGCATTGTGAGTCTCGCGCTGACACGCCCCTATGTGTTCGGTGTGAATAGTACTTTACGTCTTTATATCCGTCGGGAGTCGTATAAATTGCGTGCGCGATGCTAAACCGTTACGCGCGTCCGATCTATTTTCGACGTTTCGGTGCTACGCGCGTCGATTTCCACACGGCCCGCCACTAGCTGGTCTCGCGTCTTCACTGCCGTCAAAATATTATAAAGCTACTGATGTTCGCATATGGAAAAGGCCTTCTTAATAAATTATAGGGAAGTAGTGCAATACTTCCCTATAATTTATTAAGTAGGGCAACTCAACTGCTTCTGTTGTTCCACTGGTGGGCAGGCTGATTCTAATACCACAGCATCGCAAACGATCATACTTTCGCGTTTCCTCTGAGTAGTGAGATAACCGGGGCCTACTTTTTTATAAAGGTTATTTATTTATTTATTTATTAAGGTTCACCAACATTGGACACATTAAGCATGCAAAGCAATTTTTAAAAAAATAAGTCGTAAATGTTCCAACAATTACAGGTGGACACAGCTTTCTTAACATAAACTTATACCCTAATTAAAATAATGTAATATCTACAAACTAGTGTGAGAAAAATTTAACAAATAGAAGAACGGAAAATAAAAAAGCAGAGCGTGGTCGTAGGGTACGTATGAGGTTCGATAGTTGATTATATCAACGTATCTGCCTCAGGTGTTGTAGGTGACTGCACACGACAGATGAGGCTAAAAAAGGTCACAGTCTAACCGGGGTCGCGGAAGATTGCGTCTACGAGTTACCGTGTTCCCCTGCCATGCGACAGAGACAGGTGCAACGTGGGTTTGTGGGACTCCCACAAACCCCTGCTACTCACCTCCGGTGGCGGGGGTTACATTAACTCCTCGATTCAAAAGTTAAGTTAGAGTTTTTCCGTTGTAAGTCCCAACGAGTACAATTATTTCGTAATGATAATTATATTAGCATTACTAGCTTAAATCATGAATTTGGCTACCCGTTGGTAAAATGTGGCGTTACAAATGGCAAATTCATAAACATTCCTTCGTTTTATGTACGATTGATTGATCAATCGAGGCGCTGAATTAAGAAGTATGAAAACCACTGAAGCTCTTAAACGATGAGTAAGATCTTGAAATGAATCTCTTTAAGTCAAATGTATTTTGAATTGTTGTTAAAAAGGGAATGGGTCACTGTTTGTAACTACAGCGGTTATGTATAAAAGTTTGCTTACACAGTAAAATAACAGCCTATACATAACCCACTGCTGGGCAGAGGTCTTCTCTGTACAGAGGGTATTAGGGCATCCATGCGGCCCACTGCAGATTGGCGAACTTTAGGGGGCGTCCATAAATTACGTGAGATTTTTAGGGGGGGGGAGGGGGGTCGAGTCAAATCTCATCTAATCTTACGTTGGAGAGAGGGGGGGGGGGGTCTCGGCAAATATCACGCAATTTTTTTTCTGATTGAAACAAAAAAAAATTATACTATTTTGGTCCATATGCACTGATTGCCTTCATCAGCACGCCTTATGATCTCTATTGCCCAAGTGTACGTGATGATTTAGAGAAAAGATGCTGCAGTACATGCGATATTTACTTTGGATCTAGCACAAGAGCTGCAGAGCACAGGCGATCAGCCTACATTGCACCAGCTAAGCAAGCGCGTATGTTCCGCAAAGTGCGACCCTCACGGATTGTCACAAGACGACCTAATGAGTTACTGTGTGCAAGTGCCAATGGCTTAGAGTGGCTAGATAAGAACGAAGTTGAAGGAGCAGATGTTTTTACTCAAAATCAAAATAAAAATGAAAAATATATTTATTCAAATAGACGCTTGCGCGCTCTTATTAATCGTCAAATTTTACATCAAAGATTATGTGTATAGGTTCGTAAGGTACCACCGGTTCGGAAAGCGGTTTCTGTTGAGAAGAGACCGGCAAGAAACTCAACAGTTGCTCTTATTCAAAAATATCAGGGTACAATATAATATACAGGTATAATAGTCTTATTCTAGCCAACGTGAATGTCAACAGTATTAACTCCACACATTGGCGTCGTCGAGATATTCCGAAATGGTATAATATGCTTTAATCAATAGTTGATTTTTTATTTTACATTTAAATTGGTCAATCGGCAGACTTAATATCGACTGTGGGATTTTATTATACATGCGCACACTTTGCCCCATGAACGACTTATTTACTTTTTGTAGACGAAACAATGGCGTAGTAAGTTTGTCCTTATTTCTAGTGTTTATTTTATGTCTGTCACTATTCTTTAGGTAATAATTAAGGTTATGACGTATATACAAAACATTACAATAAATGTATTGAGAAGCAACAGTGAGTATATTAACCTCTTTGAAAAGATCTCTGAGTGAGTTCCGGGCTCCGATATTGTAGATTGCTCGGACAGCTCTTTTTTGAAGAATAAATATAGAATTTATATCTGATGCACTACCCCACAACAAAATGCCGTACGAACGACAAGATGCTGTGAAAATAACTAAAGTAAACAAGTCTGGCAGTGTCGATGTCTGTTAGCTGCCTAACCCTTCTAATCGCAAAAACCGCGGAGCTCAGCATATTCGCAAGAGATGATATATGGGGACTCCACTGGAGCTTTGAATCTACTGCAATTCCCAGAAATACAGCAGACTCAACTGGATTAATGGGTACGTTATTTAATATTAAACTAAAACTTTTCCTTCTTATACTGGGAAGGGTGAAAAGAATACATCTGGTGTTTTTGGCATTTAATACCATATTATTAATAGTAAACCAGATGAGGATATGTGAAAGTGCACTATTCACGTCGTCATAATTTAATACGTTTCGGTCAACTTTAAAAATAAGCGATGTATCGTCAGCAAACAGTACAACATCACACAACCCACTGGCATAAAAGGGGAGATCATTAATATATATACTAAAAATAATAATGGGCCCAAGATTGATCCTTGTGGGACTCCCATTTTCATCTGGGACCCAGCGCAATTAACATCATTTATAGATACTTTTTGAATTCTATTACTAAGGTAAGAGGTAATGAGATTGAGGGCGATGCCACGAATGCCATAATATTCTAACTCACAGAAAATTAAAAAAAACACCTCACGTAATTTATGGACGCCCCCTTAATATTTTCCAAATATTTTTTTTTGCATTTCGAAAATATGCAGGTTTCCTCACGATGTTTTCCGTCACCGTTGAGCACGTGATATGACAGCATTTCAATTAAAAATTTCATTGGTGCGGTCATCGAGGATCGAACTCAGGTTGCTCGAGTATATTAAATTAAAGGCGATTATTATCATGGCTCAAGTATATTTGAAATTCGATCTCAAAAACCCCAAAATGAACCGTAATTTAGAAGTTTATTTAGATCTAACTACCTATGTACATAAATAAACTAGACGTGAAGTTTCATTATTTAATGAGCAGCGAAAATAGGTCACGGTAAATTTGCCTCATCCATTACCAGAGTCATTTTAGTCATAACGAGACTGCGTAATGGTGGTTTTATTTGCCTAACTAATTTCTATTATATCACGGGAACGACACTCTGCCAAGTGCATGCCAAAATTGCCAAACAACGGTGCGCTCGGAAAACCGTTTTCCCGCGCGACAGCGTGTCATGCTAGATCTAGGTTATCTAATACATCCCAGTTCCCAATCATAGAACAATCCAACTATATCGTTCGTATAAAGGCTATGCACACATTGCGTTACTGATTACTGATGATGTCTTGTTACTCATTTTTCCTACGGTTTCCATCTAAATTGGGAAAACTAAACTAAGCTTTAAAATTGACACAACAGCACATATTCTCTTAGAAAGGTTGACGTTAGGTTCGCGATTGTTCTTAACAGTTGAGAGGATTATAGTTAGAGTAGATAAAAACAAAACAATTCACGCACATACGTCATCAGAATAGATATATAAACTCTAAAATGTGTATTTGTAAACATACAATCCCTTAATCTTGTCCAATACAAACGAAATATAAGATCGCAGTGAGTTACTATTCCGGTGGGAAAACAAAAGTTACGACACCATAATACGTTACCGCTATTCGGTATTAGAAAAAATCAACAGTAAATGCAAGCATCACTATTGTTTACGATGATTTGTGTAACAAAGAAAGTACGAGCGATGAGGTGTTGGTGAAATAACAAAGCACGCAAAAGTATTGGGGAAAGTAAACTTGACCCGATATAATACTCTATATCTCACATTTCTGTGACCTCTCTCTGTCTCACATTTCTGTGACCCTTTATTTAGTGGTATGGGGTATTAAGCATTGAATTTTAAAGTTTTACATTAATTACGATCAAAGTAGATATTAATGTCAAACTATTTTGTCTCTATCTACTATATCTATACTATACTACTGCTAAGGTCAATATCGTCTATATCTACTATACTACTACTTATGACAATATCGTCAAATTTAGTTAATAAATAAAATCGTTTAAAAACTTTTAAGTTAAACGGTTTTATTTTATGTGCACTGAAAACTATTGTAAATGTATATTGTATTGTGTAATATTGTATTGTCATCTAAATTAAATGTGTGTACCAAATTTCAGATCAATCTGACAACGGGAAGGTGCTTTAATTTCAATTTCTAATTTTGAACCAAATAAACAAATAAATTCCGTACGGGTCGAGCTAAATAAAACCGTTTAAAAACGTAATGGCGACGCAGCTTATGGCGTTTGGTATACTTACGCAGCACATTTTAGACTAAGATAAGGAGGGCTCTTTAGATTGTTTTAGGTATATGACAGAAGAATGCACAAAACTCACCCATTTGGCACGTCGGTACTGAGCTGGTCGAGCAGGGAATCGACCGTAGGCCGAGACGACGCTGGACTCGTGGCACCGTTAGCTCTTGCATAGCCCTCTGCAGGCAACATTAATATTATGAATAATTGTACTACGGTGGTAGGGCCACGCAGCAGCCTCGGCTGTTGCACGAACGGGCAGGCTCGTCTGGGTAAGTACCACGACCTCACAGAAGACCGGCGTGAAGTAGAAGTATAATACTTTCGCGTTTCGTCTGGTGAGTGAGGTAGCCGGGGCCCAATTTTCAAAAGGTTGTCAACGCATCTGCAACCCTCGGTTATAGCAGATGTCCATGGGCGGCGGTATTCACTTAACATCAGGTGAACCGATGAACATCTTATATCATGAATCAGATCAGATAATATGGTCCAGGTCATATACGCGTTCGGTCGACGACATTGGACTATTCTTCCAAGATAATTGGGACCAATTAATATCGGTTTAATGTTTTTAGGTCCTTAGAGGTCATGATGGGATGGTCAGGACGTGATGGATATTGATTTCGAGGTCTTTTGTATTTTATACTAGCTGTGCCCGCGATTTCGTCCGCGTGGAATTTAAAATAAAAAAGTCTAAAATAAAAGTAGCCTAAGTTACTCCTTATTACATCAGCTATCTGCCAATGAAAGTTCCGCCCGAATCGGTCCAGCCGTTTCAGAGATTAGCCGGAACAAACAGACAGACAGATAGACAAAAATTGTAAAAAATGTTATTTTGGTATATGTACCATACTATATATCCATATTCATTTAGTAAAAACCGGTTATTTCAATATTAAAAACCGATACTCCAATTTTATTTATCTGTATCAATAAAAAATAACACTAGTTATATGATTGGGGGTGCTAGCCACAATTATCTCGCCGCTCAATAAGAGCTTAAATTGAGCTTGATTGAATGAAGAAATTTTTACTTTGACTACCTATTATAGTATTGATCACATGATTGCTTAACCCGAGTAATCGTTAGACCTACAGATAATACTAATAGAATGGGTTTTGAATGTGTGTATGTAAAACGTATTTAATCCTTACTAATATTTTAAAGGCGAAAGTCTGTATGTATGGATGGATGTTTGTTACTCCTTCACGCAAATACTACTGAATGGATTCTAATGAAACTTTAAAATAATATAGCTTATACATCAGAGTAAGACATAGGCTATAATTTATATACATATTTTATGTATATCTGTCTGAATGTTACGCCTTCACCCTATTCTACGCAGACGTAGTCGCGGGCAGCAGCTAGTATAGTATAAAACTATCCTCAGGTAAGGTAAAATATTTTTATTATGACTGCTTCTCTTGAATCGCTTGCGTGCATTATTATTGGATGTATGATCTTATTTGATCTTCATAGTCCTTGTTTTTTAGGCTTTATTGGTCACGGATACTGGAAAAATTTATTACTCATAAACAGGCCCGAGATCTTACTGGAATATATTTTTAAAACATATTTCACATTCGACAAATATATAAATTTGCGTCTCGTATTATATAAAGAACTCGCTAAAGTTTGGGTGGTGATCGATACCAATATCGGTGCCAATACAGCATTATTAATAGAAAAATAAACGGCGACCGAGACCAATTAGCAACGACTATAATTATCCACGCTAAACATAAATTTTCATTAACACGCCGAGCGTGTCCAAAGGCATTGAAAAATAAAACGTTAACTGTGTTACAGTCGAATGTGATATCAGAGAGATTAATTTTTTCATGTATAATGGTGGCGGCTAACAGAGGCGCGGGATACCTGATGCGAGTAAATATCATCGCAATGGTCATCCAGAAAACGCGAGGAATGGAGTGGACTGCCAATACTGTTGTAAATGTCCATGGGCGGCGGTGATCACTCATCATCAGGTGAACCGCTAACTCGTTTACCACTTTATCTCATAAAAAATGTAACACTTCTATTTACGACGGTCTTCTGTGAGGTCGTGGTACTAACCCGGACGGACCTGCCCATTCGTGCAACAGCGAACACTGTTGCGTGGCCCTACCACCGTAAAATGAATTACAAGTCATCAAAATTTGTCAATATCGAGAAAATCATGTTTTCCGAAATTGATACCGTAATGTATCATCGCCCATAAGGTGAAGCCGGATTTCTTTAATCTCATTATGTCCAATTTTCAAAATCCAAATAGCGTAAGGTTTCATCATCATCATTTCAGCCTGTTTGAGTCCGCTGCTGAACACAGAGCTCCCCCACAGACTGCCACGAAGCACGATCCTGAATCACCTGCATCGATCGAATTCCCGCACATTTGCACAGGCCGTCATTCCATCAAGTGGTACAAGTAAAGTTTATAAATTACTTTAAATAAAATCGAATAACTCGTTTACTGCTCCTTAAATATTGGTAGCGAAATCAAAAGCGCGATACATAAAGTGCCACGTGCTTTGTTTACATTCGCGTGCGCTTTATTTATGGGGATCTGTTTGAAAAGAAAGACTTCGACTAATAGACCAGCATGTAGAAGTATTAAATGGTGTGCCAAAAACAAAACGTATTGTCGGCGTTCTGGCGACGGGAGACAGGTGGGTCCGGTCGTTTCGTTTACGATGCCAAAGTCTGACGTTGTACGATGATATACCGTGAAAATGTATTAATGCTAAAATACAATTAATCGATAAAGATACCATGGGTAATTATTTATAATTATAATAACTAAATACACTACGACAGCCATGAGGACAAACAAGAATCGAGTACAAGAGCACCACATCAAAAAGCAACCTAATCTTCTTTGGACATAAAATGCGATCACAAATGCAAGAGTTGGAGAAACAGTTGATCGTGGGACAGATGCAAGGGAAGCGCTCCAGGGGTCGAATTCCGACACGATGGAGTAAAAGCATTGTACAGGCAACAGGAGAAACTCTTCAACGATCTATTAAACTGGCGCAGCACAAAAATAGAGGTACAATAATACAAGAAGCAATTGGAGATAAATTATATATGGTCACGATCCTCATTAGTGAGGGAACGACAAAAAAGAAGAAGAATAAGAATTAATTGAGTACAACGTGAAGGTCTTACTATTGATGTGTAATTGAACTGAATGGTAATATAAAAAACTTAAGTAAAAGCCTATACATGTCCCACTAGTGGGCAAAGGCCTTCTCTATACAGGTATCGGGGCATAGCCCAATGTCATGACAGTCTCAATGCGGATTGGCGGTCTACACATATCTTCGAAATATTTTTTGTTATTATTTCGAAAATATGCAGGTTTCCTCACGATGTTTTCCTTGTTCCCTGTAATGTTTCTAGACTCTTTTTCTTTTTATTATCTAAGTACTGTTTCTGATTTGCATTATTTTTTTTTATTTTACGACTATGGCGGTTGCTGTGAACTGCTCTTTTCACAAATCTTTTTTCTTTAAAACCATAAGTCCTGGACTTTACGAGATTCTATAGTCAGAAAGGCGTCTATGTCGCGCAAATATTTGCCTCGTTAAAATTCGAGTCAAAGAACTTACAATCAATACATCAAATGTCAATTCATCAATTTTCTTTTTATTATATAAGTACTGTTTCTGATTTGCATTATTTTTTTTTTATTTTACGACTATGGCGGTTGCTGTGAACTGCTCTTTTCACAAATCTTTTTTCTTTAAAACCATAAGTCCTGGACTTTACGAGATTCTATAGTCAGAAAGGCGTCTATGTCGCGCAAATATTTGCCTCGTTAAAATTCGAGTCAAAGAACTTACAATCAATACATCAAATGCACAGGAAAATATGTCTTACAATTGTTCACTTTAGTTAAGTTTATAAATAATCGTTATTTGTACAATCTCAAGTCATAGATTTGAAGCTCAGTCATGGATATGCACTATGGAGTTTTAGGTTTTTTAAGTGCCAAAATTGCTTATTACTTATTTGAGAAATCGAGGCAAAAATCACTCATGGCTGTCAGTCAGAAAAAAAATCCCTCACGTGAGCGATTTTTTTCTAAAATTAAAATCACACTCAATGAACACATACAAGTTTAATACACAAACGGTTGTTTCGAGTCTTGTACAGTGACCGTTTATCGATTACACGAGATGAGATGACCACCTATAAATAATTGCAGTTTCAAACCTCATATCCCTATACGTCTAAACACGAAGGCTTCTGCCGTCAAGAACCGTGGGTTATTTTGGCGAATGAACATAATGGCAGTCGGTTATTGTCTGCGGAATGTAATAACAGTACGGCTTGGCTTTGAAACCCAGAGCGGAAGATCGATCACAGCTGGAAATTATTGTCCGTTGTACAACGTGCCCCGTCGTACATCATACGCTTATATATAGACACCCGCGGCTGCCAGGCCTCTAATTAATAACCGGCATCGTCGTTTTGTATAACGGCTGTCAATGCCGCGTTGTGATAGAATTATAAAAACATGATATCAACGCTTTCGGTACGTTGCATTCGATCGAACTTGTCAATTAAAAATAAGCTGCAATAGGAATTTTTGGATTTTGGTTTGAAATTCATGTTAAATCTCATGCACAACAGTTCTACTAATTGAGTTAAAAAAGAGAGAAAATAAGTAACTTGTCTTTTTCTCCTGTAGGTATTGCGTTCTTTGTGAATCTATATTTTACATGATATGTACAATAGTCGTTTACAATGGTAACAATGACGCAGAGTTCAAAAGATTCTAATACTCTAATATTACAGCGCCGCCATTAAGGAACGAATCTTTAATGATACTTCCTCACACAGTAGAAGGTTGCAACACTAATGATGCTATCAATAGTGGCGTCAATTAATTTTGTATAAAATTTTCCTTTTTGTATAAAATTTTGCTTCGAAATACTGTAAGAAAATAATGTAAGAAGTTAAGAACAGATAAGTTCCAATTAAACAATAGGGGCTTGTTACTTACTTCGTCCTATTAAACTATGAATCGGTTAAATTATTTTGTCATCTTTTTACAGTAACCGAAAACTGGAGAAGGTGTCTAGGGTCCTTGATATTAAGTGATTACCCCCGCCCATGGGAATCTACAATATTTATGGGATTGTAAATGCTTTGCCAACCTTTAAAAAATTGATTGACACAGGTCAATGGTTTTTAATGGAACTCACCCGAGGAACCGTGCTCAGAGAAGAACGGCGTGTATTAGACCAATAAGACAAAACTGCATTGAAGCTCAAACTAAGAAAATAATTTAATAATTTCATTTACTTACGCGAACATTACACATTCTATATAAATGGGCCCGTGACCCGTGACCATGGGTGCTGTAGAGCATTCGAAACATAGGGTGTTTAAAATAAAAATAAGGCGCGAATAAATCTGTAATTTAGTTTTATTAAACCAAGAAAAGATACTTCTAACCGGACATAACAATCCACTTGCCCAATTCCTAACATTTCGATCGTAAATTACATCTTGCGAGGCTGAACAAAAAAAAACATTTCATGATAGACCACTTATGATACGACCATAAAACGTCCAAGTGGCAGATAAAACGTTCTTCAAAGCGAAGACGGGACGCGCTCTACAATTCGAATCCCGAACATTTCAGATCATTTCAGCAACGGCTATTTTCTACTGGAAGGGAAAACGGAGGCCGTGCCAAAGTCAACATTTCGCCAATGGCTTCATTGAATGCGTGGCTTATTCTAAATAGAATCGGGCGGTGCGTTTGCGAAACGCTCTCAACTTTTTGCGTCATCCTGTCTGTACTGGGTATAGTCCACTCCGTACAGACAGCATGCCTCAATAGACTCGGAACTGTCTGGAGGCTCTCGTCCAGTGTTTGCATATACATGATTATAACTATGCTAGGGTCACGCAATAGTCTTCGCTGTTGCACTAACGGGCAGGTCCGTCCGGGGTAGTACCCCGATCTCACAGTAGACCGGTATGAAGTGGAAGTGTTACTTCTGCGTTTCGTATAGTGAGTGAGGTAGCCGGAGGCGACTTTAAAAGGTGGCAACGTGTCTACAACCCTACGGGTGTGGCAAAAGTCCGTGGGCAGCGGTTATAACTTAACATCAGGTGTCGACCTGCACTCTCCCTTGCCACCTTCTCAATAAAAAAATAACAGAGTGTCTGCTATGGGTGGTCGATGATTTAAGGCATTGGCCGCTTAGATGGACTGATTACCATAAAAAGCCTATGGCGCAAGATATTTGGCAAGGTCATTATCTAGCAGCAGTTTTATGATGATGATAATTCTATGCCATTATTATAATGTTATCATAATACTATAAAAAAACATTCATGGCTTGAGCTATAACCGAGAGGAGAAGGCCGAGATTTCGGGTTTTCAATTTCATGGAGCCTGGTACCGTTCCCGTATACCAAATGTATTTCTTAATGTAATCTTTTTATGTGAGTATTTTAAAGGACATTTAACTTACTTATGTAAGTGCATGCATATAAATATATGTTTACGATTAAGTACATTAAAAGGCAACATTCCAAGGAATTCCCATACTTTTCGAATGAATCACGTTGCTATTCGATTCATACCAGACCTTTCACTCCTCGTGGGTTCTACTACTACACTTTATACTACTACTTTTTTTTACATATAATGTTTTATTTTATTAGCTTTGGAAAAATAAACTTACCTCTAATTTTAATACGATACAATTACATTATAATTTTAATATTTATTCAAATTGAATTTTAATTCAAATCTAAATGTAATATACTTGACAGGCTTTGTTTCTCTATTATATTACCTAATTTATAATAACCGATATCTTGCGTGTATAAGTTGTTTTTATATTCGATTACCGGACGGGACAAGTATTTGTGTGAGTGCTAGATAATTGTTCCAGATCTCTTTGTTCCCCGCACACATTTTGAGCCGACCCCACCTAGCTCGTAACGACAGGAGAAAGGAGATTAGAAACAAACATCTTAGGATTATCAGAAATATCTGAGGATCATCGTCAATATCATTACTGCGTTTGTTCCTAAAGGTAGTAGTCAAACTAGTTCTAACTTCTCAATAAGCCTTTTCCTACACACTGCTCTCGCGACTGAAAAGCGCTCACCGTTCCTCTCGCTGTACGTGTTCTTCTCCTCGTAGTTGCCGTACCGAGCGTTGCTCAGGTCGTCCAGCAGTGTGTCCAGCTCGGAGAGGTTTCCCCTGCCCGTAGTTCTGCCGTAGCCGGTGGTCTGGCTGCTGGTGTACCCTGGAGAGTGGCTACGGTAGCTCTGCGCGGTGGTATACTTCGATGGTGCAACCTTCTCGTGAATAGCGCTCGTGTTCTGATACGTCGGCTGCAACAAAACAAACATTGATGATTTGGGATTGTTAAAGTTAAAATAATCGAATAAAGATTAATTTTTAGTGTGTATAGTAAATTATTAAAAATTATTAAGTATGGAACAATCTGTCAAGTCTTTTCAGTCAGATTACAATGAAGAGAAATTCGACCGCTTTTGCTTAACGGCTAGAGCGTCTGGGCACGAACCGGGCAACGCAGGTTCGAATCCTGGCATCGTTTTCGACTATTTACATGCATATTTATATGCACATTTGAAGTCTCATCTTAAGTGCAGAGATTAGCACTAAACAATAAAAACTTTTCAATAGCAATAGCGATGTCTCTCTAGTTTTAAATTCATTGTAAAAATGTCGTTTGAAAAAGTATGTTTGTGGTAAGGGCAGCACACTAGATGGCTAAAAGTGCACTGAAAACAAAGTAGATAAGACCGTGGCACTTTCGGCCGATGAGGATATCGAAGCCACATCTTTTATATTAATGGCTATGCCGTCTGGTCACCTTACCCGAAAGGCGTAGGTAGTAACTACCCCAGCCCTGTAGTCCCGGGCTCATAGAATAGGACTAAGGTATCTCCTGCCTGCCGTAAAAGGCCGCTAAAAGGGGACACGGATTGGCAGCAGCTAAGTGGGTAAGAACCCCACATAACCCTGTCATTATCTAATGATTCAAAGATTTCCCTCCCGATACAAAAAAGGTGGTCTACCCATTTTATGTAGAGATATTTTTAAAGGAAGAGTGCAAAGGTTACTTCTAAGACACCGCGTTTACCACCATAGGCTGGATAAACATTTACTCAAGTCGGGTGGCATCGTAGTCAAACATTAAGCAACCTATGATAAAAATGTCGGGCCTTAAGTTTGCGTGTTGGCAAGCAAAGTGCAGTGAAGCTAGAGCTTATCGGATTTTTAAAACACATCTAAACACATCTAAACACATTACAACACAGGTTCATACAATAGGTATACAGCAATAATGTTTAAAAGATTTTGTAGAATTCTCGGATAGATTGAAATACTTATGAAATACTACTGGCTATAGAGGGCTTGTATGAACCAAAATACTATGATTACGAATACATAAATCATATTAATTTAATGCTATAAATGTTACTAAATCTTTTGTTGACATATTATTGGTGTAGTCGAAAACTGCGGGTTCAAGGAATCTAAGGAGTTTTAGAAATTGTGAAAATGATTCTCATGCTTTAAATGTATATTGAATGTAATAAAATGTATATTACATTATTTAAAAAAATAGAAAAAAGTTTCCATTTTACTAAATTTATATTTTATTTAATTGTGAGAATACGATGCCTGCGAGCCACAAGTGATACTATTCCCACATAAATCGATATGGAAGAAAGAAAATGCGCTTTAAATAATATAAAAGAACGACACAATACGACTAAAAACTCGATATTAAATAGGTGTTTTTGTAAAATCTTTTCAAAAGACTTATAAAACATGTTGTTATGGAGGAAAAGCGTACAAAAAGTTGCAGTATACAGAAACTGAATTGGTATGTGGAAAGATTAAACAGTAATTAAATAGCAATAATAATATTGCAATGGTTTCAGACATTGGGCTCAAAATTTCGACCAGATAGCGCATGAAAGCTATTAGTTTTAGGCTTTTATTAGGCACTTCGACAATTTTAAAAAGGTATAATAGCCTTTTATTTTCTACAAGATATGTCACCATTGTTTCACATCCATTCTAAATCTATCCATCCATCCATCCATTATGCCATCCTAAACCTATAAATCATTTAAGAACATGCGAAGCGAAGCAGACTTAATGCTTTTGGAAATATTATATAATTTTAATTTTAATTATATAATTTTAGAAATGAAAGAAGATTTTTAAATTAATTTTATTGATCATTTTTATTGTATGTTCAGAGCAAGCGATTGACTTGTCGCTACGTGATAACTAGCGCCCGTGGAGATCTTAAACATAGACCCTGTAGGTGTGTTTTCAACCTTTAAGTGCTTACCTTATTTACCACATTATCATACCCTAATATGATATTTCACGTCATTATCTAGTCTCAAACCAAGCAAAGCCTAACATATGTTACGGTAGTAGATATTAAACAAAGTTAAATATACTTAGTTTTTTTATAAATAAATTTGTCGATGATGACTTGGTGGCGCAGTAGCTATGCCATTGGCTTCGACCAGGGGTCGTGGGCTCGATTCCCACACGGGGGCAAGTATTTGTGTGCTTTACAGATAATGGTTCCGCATCTGCATGTTTGATTTGTTTGATTCCTACGGAGGGTGAAGTGAGGGAAGCGGCCAATTATAAAAACATAGCTAATATTAGTTTCAACATTATTCAGGTGTTGTGCCAACACCACCTTTTTTTTTTTTGGTATCGGGGGGAAATCTTCGTAAGATACCCTGTCATTCTATGACAGGGTTATGTGGGGTTCTTACCCACTAAAACCCCCTCGGTGGCCACCTTCTGTACATTTGGAGGGACTCCGGGATCTCCTACGGAACGCACCGGTGTCCCTCGGTACTGGGCGTGAGCAAGCCGCGGAGAAGGATAAACCTTCTCCTATTCCCTCACCATCTTGCAGCAGCTCGAGGCCACTTCGTGCTGCTGCCAATCCATGTCCCCTTTTAGTCGACTTTTACGACAGGCAGGAGATACCTTAGTCCTATTCTAGAGCCCGGGACTACAGGGCTGTGCCAACACCACCTAGGAGTGGTCTGGATAGGAGAAATAGGATTAGCAACATTTTCATCACTAAATTTTGTCACTAGGCCAATAGGGTCGCGATGCCTTTAAAGCCCGAGCTTGTCTTTTCATGCAAAATAAGCTATTGGTAGACACTGCTGACATAAGTAGACGCTGTGAATGAATCATCGAGGAACAAGTCCATTTACTCAATCATCAGAACTTTCGAATGAGTGAACCTATTTTGATGATCCTTTTTTCTGAGGTAAAAAAACAAAACAAAATACAGTCGAATTGAGAACCTCCTATTTGTAGTTGGTTGAAAATAAAGGCCACGGGATATCTTGAACACAGATCACAGAATATAAATAGCTTTTGAAAAATAATAAAAAGCGACACCTATTGACCGCACGGCAAATAAAAACTTGGATCGTATCCAAATGTACGAATGACTTACTTTCAGTATTGAGTAACGGACGATAAAACTAGATGGCGTGAATTTCTGTTATGCAATGTCACAATAAAAAGGGTCGTTATAAAATGTTACAACATTTTTAATGTTTCTTTCGGGTTAATAGTTACGCTGACCTGAGATAAAACGAAGATCGTTTTCAAGACAATTTCGCTAGACGTGTGTGTAAATGAATCGATCTAAAATGCGAGTTTGTGGAAATATTTTACCGATTTTTATTATTGACTGTGGTAGAGCCACGCAGCAGCTATAGCTGTTGCACGAATGGGCAGGCTCGTCCGGGTAAGCACCACCGCCTCACAGAACCACATAAACTATTCACATGAAAAAGTTAAAAAGAATAATTATATCCCATTGAACCTAATGATTTAAGCAAAGGCTTTTTTAATGCATGGACCTTACCAGAAAAATAACTCTACTATAAATAAATGCTTCTACCACAATCTAAAAGAGGAAAAGGAAGGTATTCAGTCGTTTCAATAAGTATCACAAAATGTGACATTGATATCTTTTCTGACCCTATGAACATTATTAATAAAAAGTATTTACTTACTGTAAAAATAATTTATAAAACTATAGACACGATTTTTTTTTAATTTCTTTTATATTTAAATTTTGCGTTATTAACTAGTTAGTAAGTCTCTGTACGTAAGTAATTTTAAGATAAATGTTTTGTTCACCTTTAATTTAAATAAATATGGTTATTATTTAAGTTTAAGTTTTTGTAAGTGATTTTGTATGTTTATTTGGTAAGACTAATCAAATAAATAACTAAATCACGAAAGTTTAGTCCACTTTACATTATTGCTTGTCATACGGCTAATCCGAAATGTCACATGTTGTTTTCTTTGCAACAATTACCCAATAGCTACTTGGCCCAAACTCGGAATGGACCCAGATCACGTTTATAGTTTACATGGCGCATCTCCAATCGTGATAACTTGTTGAAGAGTACTAAAACAAATATATAGATTTGGGGCGTTTGTATGCGATGTTGCCAATGGCGTTATAATTTTCTCCGAATCGAAAATAAAGAGAGCTCAAATTCCTCACGTCATCGATGAGTCAGGAATAGGATGACGTCACTAATTTATTAATACTATTCGTTACGCATCGTGCTTTAGTCTACAAGTACTCAAACGTATGTAAGAATAGACTGTATGCCTTTATGTTGCTTAAAGCATGCACTGTACTGCTGAAAGGTTAGAGTTAAAGAGTTTTATTGTTCACATAATCTGCTTCCAGAAGAATTGTCGAAATATAAACCGTTAATAAACGCTTACGTCTCTGGATAACAGACGTGTTCTTTTATAGAAACGCAAACATAATTTGTAAGTTATTCCCGTTTTCTACAAACAAAATTAGCTATGCAAAAATTAAATGTGATAACAGTTAATTCATACGAAATTTCTATGATCCATCACCGAATGGTTAATATATTTACGTGTAAATAAGTAATTGTCAATTTTTACATTATAAAGAATAGCCTATTACAAGACTCCGCTGTCTGTCTGTACATAACTTTTTAAATGGTGTTTGAATCATATGACGAAGTATTATGGAAGTTATGACGTATCGACAGAAACACGTTTGAGAAGTAATAATAAATCTAAAGCATTTTTCCATAACTGTAGACGAGACGCAGCGATTCATCGTTTTCAATTGTGAAGCCATCAAAAAATTGCTCAAAAGTTAGACAAAACACAGTGTATTCTTTAGTACTAGCTCTTAGACCGCTCATTCGGTGACGGTTCTAAGATAGAGCAACAAGCCACCCGGTTGGCTTGGCGGATATGTTCGAAGCCGTTTTCACTTTCGACTTCATAGTGATCA